GGAATAAAAGAAAATGAAATGAGAAAACAATTTTTTTTAATAAATAAATTCATTTGGTAATTCAAAAATCTAATTATTGCTTCAAGTATAAAAATATCACTGAGAATTCTTCAAATCTGTTATTCTGATTAAATCTTCTACTGTATACTTATTTTTTAAGTTTAACTATAAAAAAAAAATAAAAAAATAAAAAATAAACTCCAGTAAAAACCAAGAAAATGAAAGATACTCCAAATGATAAGTCGTCTCCAATTGGACGATATCTTCTTTGTTTTAGATTTTAAAAAAATAACTATATGTAAAAAATGTTTATCAAGTAAGTATATGTAAGAAAAACAGAAACTAGAAATCCCACGAAAATAGGAAAGACAAGATACCTGGTGATTGGGACCTTAGTGGTCCGTATTCTTCATCTATCGATGATCTAATCCATTTAGTTTTCTGTCGACTTCAATCTATAACAAAACCATTTAAACAAATAATCAAATCAAACCCAATACACAGGTAAAACTTGTGTTTAAAAGTTAAAACACTAGGGTGATTACACAAGTTGAAATGGTCTTTCGTAATTAGTGAAAGCAATTTGGTGCTTAGACATAATTCAATACAACGAGATTTCGACTTTTGATTATTGTCTAAAAAAACAGTAATAATATTTGACAATTGCAACCAAGATTAAATATTAGTTGTCAACAGTTCATTTCTCTATTCTAGTGCAACATATGTTCGTCAATTCGTTGAACACATTTTTATATGTGGATACACATCTTTTAAATTTGATACCTAAAGCATAATACAGACAAGACTACAAGAACAATAAATTTAGCATCTAATTTCTCGTTCGAATAGATAGATGAAGCTCTAAGCAAATGTTGTGGGGACCGTCGAGAAACGACGACACTTTGGTCGGTGAATCTCTCTATCTTTCAACAGAAGAATTTAAGATCAAGGAACTGTCTATCCTTGTCTCACCCCATACATTTCATGCAATTGTATGTTTGATTGTTATAAAGTCAGCGTTTAAGAACAAATAAATTAATAAGCACAATTAAAGTACGGTTTAGCGAGAGATTAGAGGAGACTGGAGAGTAGTAAATGAATAAAGAAAGAAAAACTAAAAAGCGGAAAGAGAGGCATGTCGAGTGATGGCATGTAAAAACCTAACATGGGATCATTCCAATTGCATTTCCAACGCCACCAGCTCCGGAATTTCATTACACCGAATCATTCTGTTTGCTCTTATGTCTCTCTACCACAATCTATATACACTCATTATCTAATCTAACATGTACTATAATATATATTTGTGTGTCAATGCTTGTAAAATTAATTGTTTATTTACTTTTTTGTTGCTTAATCATCTCATTGTTCGTACAACTCTCATGTTTATTTCTTCCTAAAATAAAGTGTAAAATTTTAGAAAATTGAAAGTTGTGGCCATGTCTCATCAGCTTTGAAAAGGAAAACACATACGTTATCTTTTGCAAGCCGTGCTAGACTCCATTTGAAATTCGATTATAACACCACTCAAATAGCACCCATTTTAATGATCTAAATTAACCGTATTTGAACAATTCAATGGAGAAGTTTCGAGCTTACACTCATAACTTTATCGGGACGGAAACCATAGCTTCTTAAATTAATCATCTAGTTTTTGTACTTTTATCCGTTCAATTACTGACGCCGAGTTGGTCTCTAAGTAACAAACAATGTTATTCTTTATTAGAAAGTTATCTTTGTGTTAATTAACCTATATGTTGAACTAGGGTCTATAAATAAAAAAACTCGTTTACTTGTTATTTTATACGTTTTATATATGGATCGAATGGGAAATAATCCCAATACATTTTGTTTCCGCTTATACCTTTTTTCTGTTAAAGATTGTTTCCGCTTATACAATGAGAACTAATTTATATATGTTACAATATATACATGCATTCATATGATGTCGTTCGTATAACAGAAAAGAGTATTTTGTATTCACGAGAAGTTGGCCACATTTTCCTTTAATTTTTTTTCATATATATTTTGGAGATTCTATAGAAATAAATTCAGAAGGGAATAACGATGAAAAAAAAGAAGCTTGATTTCGTTAAGTTGTGTAGTCATGTCATATAGTTTGAAGTGCACTGCACCGAATCACATGCCATGTGAATCAGGCAGTAATCAAATATGTAGTAGAAAACTAGAAACTAGTTTATAATTTCAATGGGCATGGTAATTCCACTCAAATATAAACTAGTTTATCGTTTTTCTCTTACAAATTATTCATTTTTATGTGTTGTGTACGATACAAATTCTGCAGTATATATCCATCTTTTTGGTCAACATAATATATGGAATGCATAGTTTTGTTTTTTACTGTGAAAGAAATGAATATATAGTTTCAAATAATAATAGGATAAAAATCTCTCGTGAATTGGTTTTAATAATTATTTGAATTGGTTCTTTCTGTTATAAATGGGTACAATGACAAGAGAGGAAATGGAGAGTAAGAAAAAAAAAATGGAGAAAGAGGAAAAACGTGTAATCTTGATAGTAAGATTCTCTGTTGATTGGTGACTGTGAAAAAGGGAGAGGTAGTTGGGTCTTGTCGCATAATCTTCGCTTTTATTAACGTTGGTTTTCCACATTATTCTAAACCTTGTTCCATTGGTTGTGTTGTCCTTAGTGTTGGTTGCTATTTGTGAATACGTGTCATTCTTATAAAGATCAAAGTAACAACTATCAATCGTATGAATTTACATCATTACATGTCATAGTTCATGTGTTATAGCATAGATTCGTACGAGCTTTCTTCTTTAATCAGAATTCTTGAGATGAAACTAAGTTGATCTCGAAATCTGCAGTCACAGTTTATACATTTTAGTTGTTAAACACAAAGAGAAGTCCACCGTTAAGATATCTGGATTTCAGTTATCTTTTAAAAATAAAAATAAAAACGATCGAATGCACAATTAAGCTCGGACTTAATATACAAGATATAGTTTTACGTAATTTTATGTAATGTAATTTTTTAGTTCTAAACAAAGTAGAAATCCTTTAACAAAAACAAAAAACAGAGCAGACATCAAATGTTATTATTATTAATATATATGAAACTAAACATTTTTTATCACTGACATCATTTACAACTTTTTTTACAAGTGTTGTGTGTAGATGTACTAGCTAATAGCCTAATACTTACATGAAGTCGCAGAAAATATCAAAGCAAGCTAAACCATTACCTCATAATATGCTCTGACATCAGTCTTTCAAAAGAAAAGGTGCGCATGTTCATTTAAGATGTTCATATGTACTATGATTTGGAGATTGTATCATCGTGGTAAGAAACTAAAATTCCAACCCAAACGTTACGTAATAGAAAGATTCATGACATGAGATGTCTTCCTCTCGCCGATAGGTCATGGAGTGGCCAGGAATATCTTTAATAAAATATACATATTTGACCCACCAAGACATGGAATGGAAGTTACAACAAGATCAAGCAATGACTCTGAGCCTCTGACTAATGTTATACAGTGTTTTGGAATTTACAATACGAGATTAGTTTATTTTATATACTAAAATATGTTAGTGAATGTGTATATATTTGGATGCATATCAATCAGTGACATACATGTGCAGCTGTCTCTAGATATGTAGAAGCTGTCTAGGTTTGACCAATCTCTCTATAATTTTTATCCCTCATCATGTAATACTCATTACCAACCGCCACATGTTTTTTGTTTAAATAATATTACAAACAATATTCTCGAATATTACGCAAAATAATTGTTCAAATAATTTAACAGTGATAGCCTACACACCCATGCATACATAGATGCAAAATGACTAGAAAAAAATGGATTACATACTTATATGTTCATATGGCACTTGTGGACAAAAGTAATTTCACTTGGCAGCATTTGAGTTAACATTGTGTATTGATGTTGATGTTGATTTTGATTGCGTCATGCATAGTGTTTTTGACATGATATGTCTCGCGCGCTTCATAATTGCATGCATATCTCCTTATGGTATAAGAGGTAAGAAACGTACGAATTAATTACGCTCGCTATAATTTCATTATGTATGTGTACCCTACCACATCAAACTCGTAAAACTGATTGTAAACTTATGTGTAAGGTTTAATATTTTCTCCAGCGAATGATCCGATCCAAAATACAAACTAGTTATATAGAACAATCAAACTTGCTTGAAAATTAACACGTTAAATAGTAATCAATCATGGTTAAAATTTTAAAACGGCTGTGGAAGTATTCATACATTAATTTTGGTTCTCAAGGTAAATCTTCAACTAATTAACTTAGGTGTATTTGATCATACAATAGAAATGATTGATTTGAGTCTTAACATTGTCAAGTTGACAATAGTGGTGAAATTTGTTATGAGTTATGTCTTATTTTGTTTCACATTTTGTTTGTTTTTCGTCGACTCCTTGATTACAGATTGCGAATTTAGGAACATTCATTTATGTGCATGCGTGCTCGGTCGTAAGAAAAGTTAATGTGCGCAGTCGACTTTGGTTACATTCATCTGCATTTGTGCAAATTATTGGTTTGGATAAACAAATGCAAAACCGAGCTGTGGTGGTGGGTAATTAAAGAGTTTTTATTTTATTTGTTCTGGCTATCTAGAGCATAAATTCGATTGTATACATAGCTTTAAACAAAAATTGTGCAAACTAAATTTTATAACCAGACAAGTTATGACTGATGTTAAAAAAAAAAAAAAAAACCAAACAAGTTATGACTAAATCATATAGAATCGTAACTCAAGAACTCAAGACTAAAGAATATCTCTCTTTATTAGTTTAAGAAAATTAGCTCAAAACTTAAACTCTCCAAAGCTCTTAAGTTATGCCACATCTTGGCATCCCCTTATATAAGAAATCATAATCCTAATCCTATTATAATTCACCTAAGTTTAGATAACTCCTAAACAACTTGTGACTTATCTCTAACCATAACTCGGTTAGGATTAGGATAACTTCTAACTCAAGCTTTCAAGCTTAAGCCAACATTCTCCCTCCTAAGCTTGAAGTCATCTTCAGCTACAACCTTCACTCCAATGAGCTCCCTCATTTCCTTGAACTTGAGCTTTCCAAGAGCCTTTGTGAGTATGTCCGCCTTTTGCTCTGTCCCGGGAACATGCTCGACTTCTACTAGCCCATTCTCAACACACTCTCTTATGAAGTGAAACCTGGTGTGTATGTGTTTGCTTCGGCCATGGAACACTGGGTTCTTAGTGAGAGCAATGGCCGACTGATTATCTATCTTGATAACCACCTTCCTGCTTGTTGCCTCAGTTATTTCACTTAGTAGATCTTGAAGCCATATCGCCTGTCTTGCTGCCTCTGTTCCCGCCATGAACTCAGCTTCACACGACGACAGCGCCACTGTGTCCTGCTTCTGAGAACACCACGAGATAAGGCTCTCTCCAAGGTAAAACACGTGTCCAGTTGTGCTCTTTCCATCATCCGGGTCTACATTATGACTGCTATCACTGTACCCTACGAGTCTTGTGCCTGCAGATGATCTCTTGAAGGTTAATCCAAGATTGGTGGTTCCGCGTAAGTACCTCAAGCACTGCTTCATCGCCGCTTCGTGAGATTCCTTCGGGTTCTGCATATAGCGACTGAGAACTCCTACACAATAAGAAAGATCTGGTCTTGTGTGTAGTAGGTAGCGTAGACAGCCAACGTTCTTCCTGTAGGCCGTTGCATCGATGTCCTTTTCTTCTGTTGCCTTAGATAGCTTCAATCCAGCCTCCATCGGTGTATTAACTGGATTGCAACTCATCATTCCGGCTTCCTCCAAGATTTTCATGGCATATCGTCTTTGGCTTAGCGTTATTCCTTCACTATCTTGTTGTACTTCTATACCAAGATAGTATGTCAATCTTCCGAGATCACTCATCTCGAATTTCGATGACATCTCCCTCTTGAACTCTTCTATGATAATCAAGCTTGTCCCTGTAACAAACAAGTCATCAATATACACGGCAAGAAGGAGAGTTTCTTGATTCACCTTCTTCCGATACACCGACGGTTCCTTGGAGCATCGTTTGAACTGGAGGTCTCGCAAGATCTGATTAAGCTTATCATTCCAAGCTCTCGGAGCTTGTCTCAAACCATAAAGTGCTCTGCTTAGTTTGTAAACTTTGTCTTCACTTCCCTTTTCTATGAAGCCCTCTGGTTGAGTAACATACACGGTCTCCTTCAACTCTCCATGGAGAAACGCCGTTTTTACATCAAGGTGATGTATTTCCCACCCATTGGTTGCTGCGAGGCTGATGAGAAGACGAATTGTCTCAATTCTTGCTACTGGGGCAAATACTTCCTCGAAGTCAATCCCATATCTCTGCACATATCTTTTGGCAACAAGTCTTGCCTTATGTTTGTTGATACTTCCGTCTGAGTTTCTTTTCAGTTTAAAGACCCACTTTAAACCGATTGGTTTAGCTCCGACAGGAAGATCAACAAGTGTCCAAGTCTTGTTCTTCACTATAGAATTGATTTCATCTTCACAAGCAGCCATCCAACTCTTGGACTCTTTAGCCTCATAGAAATCTCTTGGCTCGTCGTTTAGGCACATAAGCAGAAGTTCTCCTTCTATCTCCGCAAGGAGAATGTAATCATTGAGATAGCTGGGCTGAGTGCGTACTCGTTGAGACCTCCTTAGCTCAATTTGATTATTACCTTCTCCATTGTCACTATCTTCTTCACTATCTTCATCTCTGTTATTTTCTTCCATCCCGCCGACATCTACAGCCGCAGTTTCATCATTCTCTGCTTCTGTCTCAATGGTTTCGCTATTGGCTACACCTTTTATTCCGTGATTCCCATACTCTCCATACTCAATAGTGAAACCGTCGACTTCGCTCTGGTTTTGACTATTCCCGCTCCAGTTCCAACCTCTTATCTCATCAAAGACAACATCACGACTCACGACTATCTTCTTTGTCTGGGGATCAAGCAATCGATACCCTTTCGTTCCTGGTTCTGTTCCGAGATGCACCAGTCGCCTCGATCTATCATCAAGCTTCTTTAGTAGAGCTGAATCTACTTTTGCGTACCCTATGCAGCCAAATACTCGTAGATGACTAATATTGGGTTTCTTGGATCGAAAAGCTTCATATGGTGTTATCTCCTTCATCGATCTTGTAGCTATTCGATTCAAGAGATATGTAGAATGCCTCGCTGCTTCACCCCAAAGAAAACTTGGCAACGACATGTGCTTAAGAATGCTTATGGTCATCTCCATGAGAGTTCTATTCCTTCTCTCCACCACACCGTTCTGTTGTGGTGTGTATGGAACTGTGAGATGCCGTTTGATCCCTGCACTTTCACAGAACGAATTGAACTCTTGAGAAACAAATTCTCCCCCTCTGTCTGTCCGAAAGGTTTGAATCTTCTTTCCCGATTCTTGTTCCACCAAACTCTTGAATCTCTTGAACCGGTTAATTGCGTCGCTCTTCTCCTTCATTAAGATCGTCCACATATATCTTGAGTGATCGTCTATCAGTACAAAGATATACTTGTTCCCAGCTGGCGTACTTGGTGTGATGGGGCCGCAGAGGTCACCATGAACAAGCTCCAGAACCTTATCTGCTCGATACGAAGTGGCTTGTGGAAATACTTGTCTTGTTTGCTTTCCCATCAAGCAAGAATCACATACCTTCTTTTCTATATTGACCTCCGGGATCCCCACAACAAGTTTCTTTTGTACCATTATCTTCATGGTGTCTAGGTTTACATGCCCTAGCCTTGCGTGCCATCTCGATGATTCGCTCATTGAAGCCGAGATCAAGCACATGGTGTTTCTTATTCCCATACGGACTCTGTATAGCCGATTTCCTCCTCTAGTTGCCTTGACAAGAAGTTTCCATTTAGCATCATGCATCATTAGGTATTCCTCCTTCATTCTTACATCACAACCTGACTCAGTCGCTTGACCGAGACTGATGATGTTGCTTCTCAAGTCTGGGATGTAGTAAACATCGGCCATAGTTCTCGCTTCACCGTTACGGTCGATAAACTCGATCAAACCTTTTCCCTTGATGTCAATACGAGAGTCATCTCCGAACCTGACCTTTCCCGTAATAGATTCATCTAGCCTTGAGAAGTAACGTCTATCTCATGTCATGTGGTTGCTGCTCCATTGTCGAGGTACCAAACGTTATCATCTTCTCGATCCTCCTCATACTTACTTGGAACAACTTTCTTCTCATTCAAGTAAACAACCTCATGCATCATAAGCTTGTCTGCCTTTTCTGTGTCTTCGATCTCATCTTCTTGTGCTTCCTGCAGCTTGAGCTTGAGCAATCGATCAGGGCACTTCGAGGCATAGTGACCAAACTTGTCACATCGGAAGCACTCTACTTCCGACATATCCCTTGTTCCATTGCCTCTTTCACGACCTCTTCCTCTGTTTCCTCCACGACCTCTGCCTCTGTTTGCACCATAGACTCACGATATGCTTCACCCGTCTGTGAATCTGCGTGGGCATACATTAGCTTGCTTGATCCTCTTGTTCGTCCTGATCCTCAGCAACACGTTCTTCAAACGCTTTAAGTCGACCCGTGATATCTTCAAAGGTTGTAGTTTTGAGATCCAGCACTTGCTCAAGCGATGCAACAATGTGTACAAACTTCTTTCGAGGTAAGCACTTTAGAAACTTTTTCACAAGCTTCGTGTCTTCAATCTCCTCCCCTAGGGCAGCGGTCTTTGATGAGATCTCTGACAATCTTCCAGCGAAATCATCGATTGACTCTGTATCTTTCATCTTCAATCTATCAAACTCTGTCATCAGTGTCTGCAGTCTGGCTTCCTTCACTCTATCCGCCCAACGTGTACGGTTTGTATGGCTAACCATACCTTCTTTGCCGAAGTCAACTCCCCAAAGCGTAGCACAAGGGTTTCAGGAATAGACTGGAACAATAGGGCTATGGCCATATCGTTTTTATAACATCCCAAGCCTTGTTAACCTTTAGTAGGGCTTTCATCCTTATCGACCAAAACGTGTAGTTGGACGAGTTCAACATCGGACACTTGATTGAGGAAGATCCCCCGACTTCTTTGTTGGATGATCCTCCCTTTCCCGTCTCCATTAATTCATCCTTAGGCATCGTTTCGCCTATCGAATAAACCCTGAAGCTCTGATACCGATTATAGAATCGTAACTCAAGAACTCAAGATTAAAGAATATCTCTCTTTATTAGTTTAAGAAAATTAGCTCAAAACTTAAACTCTCCAAAGCTCTTAAGTTATGCCACATCTTGGCATCCCCTTCTATAAAAAACCATAATCCTAATCCTATTATAATTCACCTAAGTTTAGATAACTCCTAAACAACTTGTGACTTATCTTTAACCATAACTCGGTTAGTATTAGGATAACTTCTAACTCAAGCTTTCAAGCTTAAGCCAACAAATCAGTAATTATACAATGGTTCTAAAGTGTAGTTACCATATGAAAATGTTAAACTGAAATAGAAACTAAATTGTATTCGTTGAGCGGACATATATTTTTATAGATTTTTGATTTTATAATATGAAGCAACATCATATAAATAAATTAAAAACCGTACTTTTGTTAGAACAGGGTTTGAACTTTGAAGACAGTACCCTTGTTAAAAAAAATAAAAGAGTCTAAAATCCGTTTTTAGAAAAAAAATTGTTGGTTGGGGAATAGTTGAACAAACGAGAGAGAGAGGAGAAGAGACACGAAGGCACAAACTCACTCAAAAGCAAAACCATTTTGGCTAAACCGAAAGACTCGGTCGGACTCTAGAACCTGTCTCTCCCGACATCGTCTGCCACTTCTCACGTGCATGCTCACCCACACTCACGTGCACACGTATTTTTTAGTGTTTTAATTATTTTAGAGAAACGAAACAAAACAAAAATATGTATTGACTCTTTCTGTAATTGTATATTACTGCTGGGATAAATCGGGAAATTTTTAAATCTCAAAAAAACAAATAAAGTCGTATACGGTGCATGAGTACGAGAGAAATATGTACATGTCACTTTCGATTTGAGGAAAGAATATGTTTGCAGAATGCATATATATTAGTATTATATTGAAGCAGAAGTCAAAAGTGAGAAGTAAATAAAAGTTATAATTTGAGAATATATCTAAACAATGATTGAGTGTTTTTACTTATTAGTATGGTTAATTCATTTTTCATGAGGAGTGGTTTCTAAACACATCAATTGTTGTACGTACATACACCCCCACGCGCAGCAAATATTGACCCAAAAGGAGGAAAAATATCAAAGCATGCCTACTTTTGTTCTTGTTGAGATTTACCTTTTTGGTGCCATATCTTTTTAAATTTTGATCCTGTATATATGTCTAAACTTAACTTATCCTACTATTATATTATACATTCCATTTTTATTGTGGCATTTTTCTTTTACCACTGGAGATAGCTTCACAGCCCTTGCTCCACGTTTGTTGATTTGTATATGTTTGATTAGTCTATTTACATGTTATAAATTATAGATTGTAAATTATGGAGAGAAGAAAACGATAAATGAGATCATCCGATGGATATTATACTGCTAAGTTAAAGACTAATCTTCCGTATTCTTATTTAGTTACCTCCATACGTTAAAGTTCAAACGTTGAACATATATATGAGCATGTATCCTATATTTTCACTAAAATATTACCATTTCCATTTGAACTTTTAGCTTAACCTTGAAATGGTTTCTAATCAAAAACTTGAGCAAGCCTAATATTATAATAGCTTGGTGTTTTTTTGTTAGACGTTATCCAAAATTTTGATAAATTTTAACAATAAATCAAAACTAATTAATTAGTTCTATACGTTGAGCAATCATATTCTTAAAATATTGACATAAAATCAGTAAAGAATATCTACTTTGGTAAGAGTCAGAGTTGTTCACGTAACATATTTAAATGTTCCAAATTAAATTCGGTTTTATAGGCATATAATAGCTTAAACCCACAGTGCTACGATAAACAAATATATAGGTTCTATTAGGTCAAAACCTCCCCTACGACACACACACATAAAATCGGAAAAAAATCAATAAATTCCCAGAAAAAAAACATTTGGAAATAAAAATGTAGAGAGCTGAAAGTAAGTCAAATGTTAAATTTTATTTAGAAAAATATATATACAAAAGTTAAATCAAATGTTAATTTTAAATAAAGAGAAAGATGACGCTGAAAGGAAAAGGCTTTTACAAATTACAACAATAATATTTATACGCACAGAGCTGAAAGTAAGGAACTACTCTCTACTCATTCATATATTAATTGTAAAGTACTTTAAACATAAATTAAAATAACACTTTATACTGTAGCACTATTAATTAAAAGAACAGAAGATTAATAATTATTTCCCTGAAAAAATAATTATTACACATGAAGCTTAACTTTAATTGGAGTATAATGATGTCCGTAGCTCTGTAAGCATGTGAATTTCTCCTCCTTTTGCGGCTAGTGGGTGCTCCATTGCGTATCAAAAGGTATAATTAAGAAACTCGTTAAAATACTAACTTTATTAATGTATAAAGAATATTATTTCCAATGTTTTTTGTTCATGGCTCGCTATTTTTTTCTCGCATTATACGGACATGTCTCGGTTTGGAGTCTTTGGACCAATCCATAATAAATAAACAATAAATATATGTAGCTAGGATACATTACTTCTTATGACTAACAGAAGATATACAATGAGTTTTGTGATTTTGTTCGTTTAAAAGAGATTAAAAATATATTTTTTCTTCTCATGATAGCTCTTTATTAATTTGTTATTTAATTTATTTAATAACAAAGAATCTGCATATAAAGAAAAAGCTGGACATCTTTTCTGGTAATAAAGAGTTTATATAATTTATAGCTAGTCATTTAAAATACAAAAAGGTTACTTGATTTGGCTTGCATTTCTTGATCCTCCCTAATTAATTTGAAAAATCCTGTTATTCTACTAATTAGTTTTTCATGATTTATTCGAAACCTCGATATAGAAATACAAAACCTTCATAAGATAATTCCATATCATTGAAGTCAAAAAAAAAAAAAAAAAAAAAAAAACAGTTATACAAGAAAGTGGGAAAACTAACAAACTTTTAAAATCATGGACTATATATATTTCCAACAACATAAATTACAGTCTGAAAAAGGGATAAAAAATGTACCGAGCTGTATTAGAGAAAGAAAAAAAGGTGGGACCGACAAGAAGAAGACATCAAGTGGGGTGCCACGTCAGAGGGCATAAGAAAAGATTTCATCTTTCCGGATGTATCCGATCCCAATCGACTTAAATCTCAAATCGAAAAGAAAAATAAAACAAAATAAAACAAAAAAACAAGGAGAAACAAAACACTTGAGAATCTGCAAGAACACCAAAACAGAAAAGTTCCAAAGCTTTCTTAGAGCTTAAATTTTGTTCAGAAGCTCCCAAGTTTCAAATCTTCATATGAACTAAAAACCCTTTTGTTTGTTTCTCTTAGCAAAGAATGATTTTTGTTTCAAAATCATTACTTAGTTTCTTTTGCTCTTCTCCTTTTCCCCTGTTAGAGTAGAGCAATACAGATTCCTTGGTTTTGTTGGAGACCTCTGTTTCCTGAAACAAACAAAAACCCATTATTTATCTTCTTTCTTAAAACCATGAAGGCTCCATCAAATGGATTTCATCCCAGTCCCACCGAAGGTAAGAGATTTCATGTTCTTCGTTCCGAGATTCAAGTTGAATTTCTTTCTGGGTTTTGGAATTCATCACAGCTTCTGCATTTCGTGTTTCGTGATTTTCTTGATTGAAAAATTGGTTTATATTATTCTATTTGAACATGGAGTCAGTCAGCAGAAAGCCACAAATCCAGTTCGTTTCAGTGTATTTAATAGAGTGGTTGTCACTTAAATGCCGCAAATTTATATTAAATTTTCAGACTTTACATGAAAATATGCAAGATTTCTTCAATTTCACATACATATTTAAATTGTCCTTTTGTTTTGTTTTGTTTGTTTGTGTGATGATGAAACAGGAGAGAAGAAAGCAATCAATTCTCAGCTATGGCACGCTTGTGCTGGCCCTTTGGTTTCATTGCCTCCTGTGGGAAGTCTTGTGGTTTACTTCCCTCAAGGACATAGCGAGCAGGTAGGTTCCAAACGCAAACGCAAACGCAAACACCAAAGCGAACGCTAAACGCAATTTTATCCAAGTAACATGTTCAATGGACTCTTTGCAGGTTGCAGCATCGATGCAGAAGCAAACCGATTTTATACCAAATTACCCAAATCTTCCTTCTAAGCTGATTTGCTTGCTTCATAGTGTTACATTACATGTAAGCCTCTTTGGTCCCTCAACTTGTGATTCAAAAAGGACAGAGAAGAGAACAAGAACTAATCATAACTTGTGGTGAAATTCTGAATCAGGCTGATACCGAAACCGATGAAGTCTATGCACAAATGACTCTTCAACCTGTGAATAAGGTTTGATGAATCTTCACTCTCCATGATTTGAAAACTTTTTCAACATTTGAGTTGTGTTTGATCATCCAAAACGTGTATCAGTACGACAGAGAAGCATTGCTAGCTTCTGATATGGGTCTGAAGTTGAATAGACAACCTACAGAGTTTTTCTGCAAGACTCTTACAGCGAGTGACACGAGTACTCACGGTGGTTTCTCTGTACCTCGCCGTGCAGCTGAGAAAATATTCCCTCCTCTTGTATGTCTCTCTGATCACAGTATGCTCTTTTGTTTCTTCTTTTGAATCTGTTTCGCTAAAAGTTCTGATAAAGTTTGTATATAACAGGATTTCTCAATGCAACCGCCTGCACAAGAGATTGTAGCTAAAGATTTGCATGATACTACATGGACTTTCAGACATATCTATCGAGGTTTGAAATCGATATCAAGTTCGGTTTATTAGACCAAAAGACTGAAAACATCTGTAATCTTTGCTGTAATCTGATTTCAGGCCAACCAAAAAGACACTTGCTTACAACAGGTTGGAGCGTTTTCGTCAGCACAAAGAGACTATTCGCCGGTGATTCAGTTTTGTTTGTAAGGTATGCGTCATACTAACACTTAGCAAGAAAATGGACTTTCCTCTTCTTACAAGGACACAATTACTGTTTTGCAGAGATGAGAAATCACAGCTGATGTTGGGTATAAGACGTGCAAATAGACAAACGCCGACTCTTTCCTCATCGGTCATATCAAGCGACAGTATGCACATCGGGATTCTTGCAGCTGCAGCTCATGCAAATGCCAATAGCAGCCCTTTCACCATCTTCTTCAATCCAAGAGCAAGCCCTTCAGAGTTCGTTGTTCCTTTAGCCAAATACAACAAAGCGTTGTATGCTCAAGTATCTCTTGGAATGCGGTTTCGAATGATGTTCGAGACTGAGGACTGTGGTGTTCGTAGATATATGGGTACGGTCACCGGTATTAGTGATCTCGACCCTGTTAGATGGAAAGGCTCACAATGGCGTAACCTTCAGGTAACGTACATTAGAGTTATGATCAAAACTGTCATTGAATCTTGTGCTGAATCTTGCTTCATTGGTGTGAACAGGTGGGATGGGATGAGTCTACAGCTGGAGATAGGCCAAGCAGAGTATCCATATGGGAGATCGAACCGGTCATAACTCCCTTTTACATCTGCCCTCCTCCATTTTTCAGACCTAAGTACCCGAGGCAACCGGGGATGCCAGATGATGAGTTGGATATTGAGAACGCTTTCAAACGAGCAATGCCTTGGATGGGAGAGGAGTTTGGGATGAAAGACGCACAGAGTTCGATGTTCCCTGGTTTGAGCCTGGTTCAGTGGATGAGTATGCAGCAGAACAACCCATTGTCAGGTGGTGGTGCTGCTGCTCAGCTCCCTTCCGCGCTTTCGTCTTATAACCTACCAAACAACTTCGCTTCCAACGACCCTTCGAAGCTGTTGAACTTCCAATCTCCAAACCTCTCTCCCGCTAATTCGCAGTTCAACAAACCGAACATGGTTAACCATATCAGCCAGCAGATGCAAGCACAACCATCCATGGTGAAATCTCAACAACAACAACAACAACAACAGATGCAGCAACAAGTACAGATGTCACACCAACAGCTGCAGCAGCAAGGGGTGTATAACAATGGTGTGAGTGTTGTTGCTAACCAAGTCTCTTGTCAAAGTCCGCACCAGTCTTCTGGTTTCTCTCACCCTCAGCTTCAGCAGCAGTCTATGCTCTCTAATGGTGCTAAAATGACACACCAGAACATTGTTTCATCTGGAATGAAAGGTTCGTCTCAACAAATGGCGTCTTACGCGCAAGAATTTCAGTTTCAGCAGCAGTTGGAATTGCACAACAGTAGCCAGTTGTTGAGAAGCCAGCAAGAACAGTCCTCTCTGCACTCACTACAACAAAATCTGTCACAAAATCCTCAGCAACTTCAGATGCAACAACAATCACCAAAGCCAACTTCACAACAGCTACAACTGCAGCTACTGCAGAAGCTACAGCAGCAACAACAGCAGCAGCAGCAGTCAATTCCTCCAGTAAGTTCGTCTTTACAGCCGCAGTTGTCAGCAATGCAGCAGCCACAAAGCCATCAGTTGCAACAGCTTCTGTCGTCTCAGAATCAACAGCCTTTAGCACATGGTAATAACAGCTTCTCAGCTTCAACTTTCATGCAGCCTCCACAGATTCAGGTGAATCATCAGCAACAAGGACAAATGCATAACAAACCTCTCGTAGCAGCCGGAAGATCACATTCCGGTCACACAGATGGTGAAGCTCCTTCTTGCTCAACCTCGCCTTCTGCCAATAACAACGGACACGACAATGTCTCACCGTCGAACTTCCTGAGAAGAAATCAACAGCAAGGACAACAAGCAGTGTCTGTATCTGCATCTGATTCAGTCTTTGAGCGTTCAAGCAATCCCGTCCAAGAGAGCCTACGGAACAATCAAGGCATGGTGAATCTGAAGAGTTCTGCTGAACAGTTCAAGTTTAAAGCTGCGGTAACAGACCAAATCGATCTATGTCCTGATGTTGTTGGCCCTGCACATCAACAGCAGACTTTCCCATTACCATCATTCGGTTTCGATGGAGATTGTCAGTCTCATCAGCCAAGAAACAACTTGGCTTTCGCTGGGAATCTTGAAGCAGTAACTTCTGATGCTCTCTATTCCCAGAAGGACTTTCATAACTTGGTTCCAAACTACGGCAACGCGCCAAGAGACATTGAAACCGAGCTGTCCAGTGCTGCAATCAGTTCTCAGTCGTTTGGTATTCCCAGCATTCCGTTTAAGTCCGGAGGCTCAAATGAGATCGGTGGCATCAATGATTCAGGCATCATGAATGGTAGTGGACTCTGGCCTAATCAGGCTCAACGAATGCGAACATATACAAAGGTTAGAGACCTCTCTTTCTCCCTCCCTCCAAACAAAGCTCTAATCTTTTGCAGCTTAAAACTCATACTTTGTATAATCCTTGAAGGTTCAAAAACGAGGGTCAGTAGGAAGATCAATAGATGTAACACGTTATAGCGGCTACGACGAGCTCAGGCATGACTTAGCAAGAATGTTTGGCATTGAAGGACAGCTCGAAGATCCACAAACCTCTGACTGGAAACTCGTCTACACAGATCACGAGAACGATATATTACTCGTTGGTGATGATCCTTGGGAGTAAGTTCCAGACAAACAACAGCTTTGAAAACGCTTACTCTGAATCAACCAAAGATTTAACATTCTTGTCTGTTTGTGTTTCCCACAGGGAGTTTGTGAACTGCGTGCAGAACATAAAGATACTATCATCAGCAGAAGTCCAGCAAATGAGCTTAGACGGAGATCTTGCAGCTATGCCAACCACAAACCAAGCCTGCAGCGAAACAGACAGTGGAAATGCTTGGAAAGTACACTATGAGGACACTTCTGCTGCAGCTTCATTCAACAGATAGAAAGATAAAAAAACAAAAGATGCAAATACACCAAATCAACTTAAAGTACAGTTTTTTTTTTTTTTGTGTACTGCAAACAACAAACTGAGAAGAAGAAGAAGAAGAAGAAGATACCGCAAGTATATATACATTTTTATAGGACAGTGATTTTATTTTTCATCCTAACTTGTATCCGTATTTATATAACCTGTGAAGAAGAAACAAATTAAAAAGAGAGAGAGAGGAAGAGTCTATTTAAGAGTGTCTGTATACAGATACTACAATGTAATGTAACTAAACAATCATCTTCAGTAATCATTAATCTTTGTTCTTCTCTTCAATGCCAAAAAAAAATCTGGGGAAATTGATAGTTTCAGATTCTCTCTACTAAACTCAAAAAGCGAAATATTCAACCTTGAACCAGAAAAGAGAAGAATCCAAAATAGTAGTATAATCTAATAACGTGGAAGACGACAAAAAAATAAAATCACGTGGAAAACAAGGCAAGACAATGACAAGAAAATCAAAGAGAGGCTCTGAGTTCTCAGAGTTTTACCCGCGTGACCACACACAATATAGACTAAGCATGTTCACACATCCGCCACGTGTCCACTCCCCTGACACTTGGCGGCGTTTTATTAGAGCAGAGCTTAGTAAATACGCGCTCCCTTTGACATTGAGTTTGACCCTTCTTCTTCTGCACACGCCCGGAAAGAGTCAAAAACTCACTCTTCACTCTCTCTTTTTTTTTTTTTTTTCACTTCGTATATATATAAATGTAAAGCGGCAAATTCTATTATCCAATTCAAAATCAAAACCAACACCAAAACTGAAACTGAAGAAGAACACTGAACAGAGCTTAACCGTAAATTTAATCGTACTATACCGAATTAAACCGGGTGGTTAATGGAGGGATCGTCTTCGTCGATGCAGTCAAAGTACAAAGGCGTGAGGAAGAGGAAATGGGGGAAATGGGTTTCAGAGATCAGATTTCCCAACAGCAGAGAACGAATCTGGTTGGGCTCTTACGATTCTCCTGAAAAGGCGGCACGTGCCTTCGACGCAGCTCAGTTTTGCCTCCGAGGCAGCGCCGCCAAGTTCAATTTCCCCGATAATCCTCCGGCGATCCCCGGAGGAAGGAACCTGTCGCGATCGGAGATCCGGGAAGCGGCTGCTAGGTACGCTAATTCGGAGGAGGATGTAGCGAGAGAGAAGGATTCGAGTGGTCGAGAGATGATTCAGGAACAGGAAGAGTCTCCTTCGACCTCGGCGGCTTCGTCGTCGATGATGATGACGATGGACATTGATTCGGAGTTTTTGAGTATGCTTCCGACGGTTGGTTCGGGTAATTTCGCTTCGGATTTCGGGTTGTTCCCCGGGTTTGATGATTTCACCGACGAATACTCCGGCGATCGTTTCAGAGAACAGGTTTCACCCACACGGGACTATTATCACGGCGAAGAGAATTACGATGGCTCCATGTATCTTTGGAATTTTTGAATTTCTTGATTCGATCACTAAGAATCTGGGAATTTTTGTTTCACTGTGGGATCCATAATTTTTATTTGGATATATATTTATACTTTGTAATTTTTTCCCCCATTTTTTTGGATCATTTGGATAAATGATTCATTTTATACTCCTCCAAATTTTTGTTTGTTTGTTTAGAAAGTGAATGATGAAAACAATAAAATTATATATTCTTCGCAAGGGCCCAACATACGTGTGCAGATTTTTATTCATTCTCACGTGTTAGAAACTTAGAATTATGAATTATCAGATGAAAAAAGCAAAATTAATTTGTAGAAGATGGCTTTGTTGGGCCTAAGCTGATTCAACGCAATAATATTGTTTCAGGCCCATTCCAACCAATAAGGCAAGTACAATTCTGAATATCTTAAAATATGCTCGTGTGATACCATCATACCAAAAAAGAAGAAGACTGAAGAATATACGCAATGGTCGTAAAATGGCAACTGTACAAAATGACAAAAAGGATTATCCTTAATATAATCTTCATTAATAAAAAGAAAAATGCCATCTGGATAATAAAAGTACGTAACGTACAGAGCTTTACAAGAAAATGTGAATATCCGACCCGTAAAAAATGCGGATATCCAGTGGGGCTAAGTCTTTAGCTTCTCCAGTTGATCTTCTTTCTCTTCCTAATCCGGAATTCCTATAAGATTTCCTTCTTCCATGTTCTTCTTCCTCTTATAAGGCTTCGGTTTTTTTTTTCAGTTTTCGATTATGCTACTAACCAATCCCCAGATGGTGGTTCCGGGAAACGGATCGACTATCTCGCCGCGAAAGTTCACGGCGAGTTCGAGAAGTCCGTTAGATATTAAATTTCCATTGCCTGGAAGCTCGAAGAGGTATGATAACGGTGGAGTTGGGTTAGGTATCGTCGCTGCGCTTGAGAAATCCGGAATCGGGATCAGTCGGCACGAGATTTCGTCGAAACAAAATCCGGTTTGCTACTATGGATCCGGTTTGAATAGATCTGACCCGGCTCGAATCCAATTCCCGGCGGAGATTGATCTCTCTGAAGAATACACTTGCGTCACGAGTCGCGATGGCGTGACCAAGGTTTATTACAACGATAACGAATTTGAGTTTTGTAAGAATCCATCGGACGGTGATCAGAGATGTAATAAATCGATGGATGTCTCCGAGGAACCACCGGAGAATAAGAAGGAGGTGTTCAGGGATTCTCCGGATTTTCTGAGTTCGTGTTGCTTGTGTGACAAGAAACTTCAAGGCAAAGACATTTACATGTACAAGTAAGCTCCTCCAATGTGCCTTTTTAAGAGATCGCTACAAATATTTACATTACAGATTTACAACTCTCAGTATCCATAATGAGGTTTATGAATATTTATATTTTTTGAATGTTGCAGTGGAGATAAAGGATTTTGTAGTAGAGAGTGTAGATCGGTGCAAATATTGGAGGATAGTCTAAACATGCAATATAAATCGAGAAGTGTTGAGGTTTTGAGCTCTCCCAACGCCGGTGGACAAATTTCTTCCGCGGGAATATTCGTGATATAAGAATTTAGTATTTACTAATTGTAGGGCTGTGATCGGTTGGTTGATTCTACCGGAGATCCATATACCTTAATTTCTTTGTTTGTAAGAACCTACTAATATTAGTAAGATACCAGAAACGAATGGCTTTAACGAATATGTTGTTAAACAAAACATATATGTATGTAGTCAGCATTCATGTTGCTTGTGTAAGAAGAAACGTCAAGGTCTATGTACAAGTAAGCTAGAAAATAGACATGAAAAGAACGAAAGTGAAACAGAGTTTGAATCACATTTATCCGTATGACACAGTGACACACATAGATAGAGCGTAAAGAAAAATCCATTTAAATTTTGCTTATTTTACAACAGACAAATTTATTAGATGTGTGTGTTTAATAACTTGTCTCGTCTTTTAAGAAACTCTGCAAACCTCTGTAAAACTAGACGAGCATTATCAGAATCAGGAACCCTAATATTGAAAACGTGACCTTCTTCCTTAGTCTCCTCCACCTCCACTTTCCCTTGCCATCCACTCTTTTCCAGCTTCGCCGAGTAAGCCAAGCCTTGCCTCGCAAACTTATCGTTTCCGGCCACCATCACCAAAACCCGCCCGCAAGCCAATCCGGTTAGATCCGACCCGACAACGTTGATCCAAGGATCATCCACTCCGTTTTCGCTGTTAGGACTCGCGATTTCCCACTTCCCTTCCACGTGTCTCCTCTCCGCCACATCCTTCGTCTCATGCTCGTCGATCGGAGCTTTCGACCAGAAATACGGGTGAAACAGAACCATCCCAAATATTTTGAAATCATCACCGTCCAGCTTGAGTTTCTCTTTTCCAGCTCTGATTCCCATATGATGCGCGATGTTCGCTCCGGCGCTGTCTCCGGCGAGGAACACTCTACCGAAATCGGCGTTTTCGTTCAGCCAATCTTCCGGACCAGATCCGGCGACGTGAGTGAAGATCCATTTGATCGCTTCCCACGAATCTTCGTACGCGGTGGGAATCGGATGCTCAGGCGCACGCCGGTACTCCACCGAGACAGCGATGCAATCTGCGGCTGCGACCAACGATGTGACAAAAGGGTGGTACATCGTACAGAAAGGGCTTCCCATGACGAAACCTCCACCGTGAAAGTAGACAAGGAGCGGGAGCTTCTTCTTCTTCTTCTCTTCTCCGGTTTCGACCGCTTTCTGAGGAAGGAAGATCCGGAGAGAGAGGTTATTCTCCGATGAATAGACGGCGTCTTTGGAAATGACGCCGTTTGTTGGGTTTAGTGACGGCGAGACGAAGTTTCGGACCACGAGGCGTTCGATTCGGCCACTCTTGAAGATCCGGAACCTTGGAGAATAGTCGATCGCGATTTCGGAATCGGGATCCATTGGTTGCTGCATAGAAATCGAAATGTTGTTGTGATGATCTGGGAAGATATAGACTGAGAGTTTGGTTTTGGTGTGAGGATTTAATTATAGGAATGGTCTCTACTCTCTACTATTTAGTGGACTAGTGGAGTTTGGTTTGGTCGAGTAATGTTGTTTTTAGTTAAAGTAAGATACCTTCTCAATGAGATGCTTCTACACATTCTATTATTAATTTGAATAGTATTTTATTATAGGCAATGAAAAGTGAAAACACATGGCCACACAACTAAAAATATTAATGTATTCAGAACTACATGAACTATATGGTTTACATGAGAACATGTATGCACTAATTAACTGGTGCTATCTTGTTAACATCCCAACTATCTTTCCAATTGATTCCATCTCTGAGTCAGATCCCTTTCTGATTCGTAACCTTCAGGCTTCATCTATGTCACCAAAAAACTTATCAAATGATTGAAAAACAGGTTTTAAACTGCAACACTGCCTGGATGCTAAAAGAAAATGCAACAGCGATTAGACAATCATACAAATTTAACATATCAAATTCAAATAAAATAAGCAAGAAGAAACTTCAAATTCAAATACATTCAGGATTCATGTTGCTTGTGCAAGAAGAAACTTCAAAGGCAAGCTACAAAATACCGAATTTCCCGGTTTAAAACAGATTAAAGGAAAGAAAGTAAAACAGTGTTGGAATCACATTCGATTCTCCTTATTTTAAAACAGGACAAATGTATCAGCTCTGTGTTTTAAATGGACCAACTTGTCTTGTCGTTAAGAAAGTCTGCAAATATCTGAACAAGTCGACGAGCATTGTCAGAATCAGGATCCGTAATGTGGAAAACGTGACCTTCGCCCTCAGTCTCGTCTAATTCCACTTTGCCTAGCCACACACTCCTCTCCAGCTTCCCCGCGTAACCCCAACCTTGCCTGACATATATATCGTCTCCGGCCACCATCACCAAAACCCGCCCGCAAGCCAATCCGGTTATATCCGAGTCATCCGACCCGACCACGTTGAACAAAGGATCGTCCACTCCGTTTTCGCTGTTAGGGCTCGCGATTTCCCACATCCCTTCCACGCCTCTCCTCGCCGCCTCGTCTGTCGTCTCATGCTCGTCGATCGGAGCTTTTGACCAGAAATAAGGGCAAAACAGAGCCATCCCAAAGATTTTGAACTCATCATCGTCCAGCTTGAGCTTCTCTTTTCCAGCTCTGACTCCCATGTGATGCGCGATGTTTGCTCCGGCGCTGTCTCCGGAGAGGAACACTCTGTTGAAATCGGCGTTTTCGTTCAGCCAGTCTTCCGGACCGGATCCGGCGACATGAGTGAAGATCCATTTGACCGCGTCCCACGAATCTTCGTACGCGGTGGGAATCGGATGCTCAGGCGCACGTCGGTAATCCACAGAGACAGCGATGCAATCGGCGGCCTTGACCGCCGTGGTGACAAAAGTGTGGTAAGTCGAAGTGAAAGGCCTTTCCATGATGAAACCTCCACCGTGAAAGTAGACGAGGAGCGGGAGCTTCTTCTTCTTCTCTTCACCGGTCTCGACGGCATTCTGAGGAAGGTAAATCCGGAGAGAGAGGTCATTCTCCGGTGAATAGACGGCGTCTTTGGAAACGACGCCGTTTGTTGGGGTCAGCGACGGTGGGACGAAAGTTTCGGGCAGGAGGCGTTCGATACGGCCACTCTTGTAGATCAGAAACCTTGGAGAATAGTCGTACAAGATTTCGGAATCGTCATCCATTGTTTGTTGCATTGAATGATGATGATTGAGAGGTTGAGAAGATATGGAGAGTTGATTTTGGTGTGTGTGTTTATTTATATGCATTGCCTCCTCCAGGACCTCCACTATCAATATTTTTTTTCTCGAAAATTGTCTCCACGTTTTCTACATTTCTCGTTTCTACATTTTGGTTTAGCTGTGTAATCTTTTTTTTTAAAGTTGTAGTTACACCGACTAATTGGTGACATGTGGTAGCATGTGGTAAGATTAAATTATGAGCTTAACGCAATTTTCTTAATATTGGTCAAATGTGGTAGGCTGGTAGCATGTGGTAATTAAGATCAAATATAGTTTTTTTTTGTCTTTTTTTTGCATGAAAGTTTAAGTTAGAATATGTTATTGTTGAGTTAGTATTTGAAGTAAATCCTTTGTAAAATAGTTAACACACAACTCAAATTCTTCCCACATGGGAAATGGGATGTATTAGGATGTGTTAGAGTTTGAGTTACCCTTCTTTTTTTTTTTTTTTTTTGTAATTGTTTTTATTTGTATTTTTGCTTTTTATCTTACTTGAATTCCAATCTAATTATATACTTCCAACAATTCATACATTATATATTAGTATTCAAATGATACTATACTAATGTTCATTAATATTATCGTCAGATTTTTATGTATTCTTAAAAATTTATGGTTTAGTTATCTTATTAACTACTCCCTCCGTTAGCAAATATCATATTGGGGACATACATGAGGCAGAGTGGCTATCCGGAAAAGGGACATGGTCATCAACGTGGAGAAGTGTGGCTCTGGACATTAGAGAAGTGCTTAAGCCAGGTCACGCATGGGTGATGGGAGATGGTCAAAAAATTCTCTTTTGGACTGATAAATGGCTGATGGGAAACGTCTTGAGTACTGTAACCCCCACTGAGATTCCGGAAGATATTTTGGGATTGACAGCCGGTGAGTTATGGATTGATGGAGTTGGATGGGATTTGACGAAGATTGCGCCATATGTGTCTGCAAACACACAACTTGAGCTCTCTGCAGTGGTGGTGGTGGACAGAGTCACGGGCAGGACAGACAAAATGGCTTGGGGAGAAACATCAGATGGTCGCTTCACGGTCTCGTCTGCTTATCGTTTTCTCTCAAGGGATTTATTCTCTAGACCAGACATGAGTAAGCTATTTAGGAGCATCTGGAGAGTGGTAGCACCCGAAAGAGTACGTGTATTCTTTTGGTTACTTGGGAATAATAGAATTATGACAAACCAAGAGCGTTTCCATCGCCACATTGGGGACACAGAGCTCTGTCAAATTTGTAAGGCGGATATTGAATCTACCTTGCATATTCTTAGAGATTGTTCTGCGATGAGTGGTATCTGGGAACGTGTTGTTCCGCGTGAGAAGCATCAGGTATTCTTCAATATGTCGTTACTTGAGTGGCTGTTTGTGAACCTGGTTGACTCCTCGATGACGGAGTTTGGACCATGGTCTACTTTATTTGCTGTGGCTGTATGGTGGGCTTGGAAATGGAGGTGCGGAAACATCTTTGGGGATAACACATTGTAGAGAGATAGGGTGAAATTTGTGAAAGATTACGCAAACGAGGTCTATCAGGTAAAGTGCAAGGAGGATGGAGAAGGTGCTGTAGGGAGAGAAGAGAGGCTGATCTCATGGTTACCACCACTGATAGGGTGGACTAAGCTGAACACGGACGGTGCATCACATGGCAATCCGGGGTTAGCTACGGCTGGTGGAGCTTTGCGAGATGGAGAAGGGAAGTGGTGTGGCGGATTCGCACTGAATATAGGGCGGTGCACCGCGCCGATGGCCGAGCTCTGGGGTCTATATTATGGTTTATGCATTGCGTGGGAGAAGGGGTTCACTAGACTTGAAGTAGAGGTGGACTCTTCACTGGTTGTTGTGAACATGTGTATAGGGAGGCTAATCGTCTTGCAGATGGATTGGCAAACTATGCATTTTCCTTAGCGCCAGGTTTACATACATTTGATTTTGTCCCTCCAGATTTATTGCCTATTTTGTATGATGACGAGCGTGGAGACTCGAGTTCGCGGCAAGTCCGTGTGTAAACTTTTTCTTTTTTAATATATTAGGGAGCTAGCTCCCGGGGTTTCACAAAAAAAAAAAAAACTACTCCCTCCGTTTCAAATTAGTTGTCGTTTTGGCAAAATGTATCTGCAAATATTTGGATGTATCTGGACGTGTTTTGCATTACAGATACGTCCAAATATTTGCAGATACATTTTGCCAAAACGACAACTAATTTGAAACGGAGGGAGTATAATATAAATAAAAATTATTATAATTTATATATATATATATATATATATATATATATATATTATAAGTGATATACTCCCTCCTTTTTTTAAGATGAATTTTCTAGAAATTTCACACAGATTAAGAAAAAGTTGATTTTCAATTATTAGTGTATAGATTTTGGCAATAAAACAACTTTCTATAAATTTAGACCAATAAAATTTAACAAATCCAATTATTATTTCTTGAAAACTGAAAAAGTATTTCAAAAAGCTAAAAATTTTATCTTTGTGAAACAAAAAAGATGTCTAAAAAATTCATTAAAAAAAACGGAGGGTAAAAAAAACGGAGGGAGTATAAATTAATGGAGATAAGGGATTTTGTAGTAGAGAGTGTAGATCGGTGCAAATATTGGAGGATAGTCTAAACGTGCAATATAAATCGAGAAGTGTTGAGGTTTTGAGCTCTCCCAACGCCGGAGAACAAATTTCTTCCGCCGGAATATTCGTCATATAAGAATTTAGTATTTACTAATTGTAGGGCTGTGATCGGTTGGTTGATTCTACCGGAGATCCATATACCATTTTTTCTTTGTTTGTATAGTTTGTCCTAAAGCCATAATAATTCCTGTAATGATTTCTCTATAATTTAGTCTTTACATGTTGTAATGTAAACTCTTTACAAATGATTGCCAACTACACAGACCCACCACATGGCCACACTTCTAAAGAACATGTATAACATCCCAACTATCTTTCCAACTAATCCCATCTCTGACTCTGAGTGAGACCCCCTTCTGATTTGTAACCTTCATCTATGTAACCTAAAAACTTATCTAATGATTGAAGAACAGGTTTAAAACTGCAACACTGCCATGGATTGCTAACAAAAGAATGCAACAGCGATTAAACAATCATACAAATTGAACATATCAAATTCAAATAAAATAAGCAAGAAGAAACTTCAAATTCAAATATATTCAGGTTTCATGTTGCTTGTGCAAGAAGAAACTTCAAAGGCAACCTAGAAAATACCGAATTCCCGGTTTAAAATAGATTAAAGGCAAGGAAATAAAACAGTTTCGGAATCACATTTATAACACACATTTATTACGACAGACAAATTTATTAGCTGTGTTTTTTTGAATTTATCAACTTGTCTCGTCTTCGTTAAGAAACTCTGCAAATATCTGAACAAGTCGACGAGCATTATCAGAATCAGGAACCCTAATGTGGAAAACGTGACCTTCGTCCTTAGTCTCCACTAATTCCACTTTGCCTTGCCATACACTCTTCTCCAGCTTCGCCGCGTAAGCCAAGCCTTGCCTCGCAAATTTATCGTTTTCGGCCACCATCACCAAAACCCGCCCGCAAGCCAATCCGGTTAGATCCGACCCGACCACGTTGATCCATGGATCATCCACTCCGTTTTCGCTGTTAGGGCTCGCGACTTCCCACATCCCTTCCACTTGTCTCCTCACCGCCACTTCTTTCGTCTCATGCTCGTCGATCGGATCTTTCGACCAGAAATACGGGTGAAACAGAGCCATCCCAAAGATTTTGAAATCCTTGAGTTTCTCTTTTCCAGCTCTGATTCCCATATGATGCGCGATGTTTGCTCCGGCGCTGTCTCCGGAGAAGAACACTCTACGGAAATCGGCGTTTTCGTTCAGCCAGTCTTCCGGACCAGATCCGGCGATGTGAGTGAAGATCCATTTGATCGCGTCCCACGAATCTTCGTACGCGATGGGAAGCGGATGCTCAGGTGCACGCCGATAATCCACCGAGACAGCGATGCAATCGGCGGCTTTGACCGCAGAGTTGAGAAACGTGTGGTAAGTGGAAGTGAAAGGCCTTTCCATGATGAAACCTCCACCGTGGAAGTAGACGAGGAGAGGGAGCTTCTTCTTCTTCTTCTTCTCCTCTTCACCGGTCTCGATGGCTTTCTGAGGAAGGTAAATCCGGAGAGAGAGGTCACTCTCCGGTGAATAGACGGCGTCTTTGGAAACGACGCCGTCTGTTGGGTTTAGCGACGGTGGGACGAAGGGTTCGGGCACGAGGCGTTCGATACGGCCATTCTTGTAGATCAGAAACCTTGGAGAAAAGTCGACCAAGATTTCGGAATCGGAACCCATTAGTTGTTGCATTGAAATCGAAATGTTGTATTTATGAATGATGAATGATGAATGATGATTGAGATTTGAGAGGTTGAGAAGATATGGATATAGTTGATCTTGGTGTGTGTATTTATTTATATGCATTGTCTCCATCTCCACTAGCAAATCTTTTTTTTTCAAAAATTGACTCCACTATCAACTTTTTTTTTCTAAAAAATTATATCCACTATTCTACATTTCTTACAGTTTGGTTTAGCTGTGTTATCTTGTTTTTTTACTTGGAGTTACACCTACTCATTAATTTTAATATTATTTGTTTTCCCGCAAATCATAATTTTGTTTTTGTTTGTTTGATGTTATAAAAAAGGTTGAAAACAGTGGATGATAAGAAAGAAGATCAAAACGATACTAATATCATCAAAAAGTCAAGAACTGGTCTCCTTATGTCGCATACAAAACTAACTTTGAGATAACCCAAAGGAAGAGAAGATTTAGACAGACATGCGACAGTACCCTAGTAAGACGAGACACTAACAAGAATTGACCACTAACCAAAATACATACAAATATATGAAGTTTCCTACTAATTGAATAGTTGTAAAGCATATATAATCAAGCGTCAATTAATTAAGAACCATGAAACGCATGAGCTTTTTATATATTGATGAAACGTCAAAAGAATAGCCCGGTACGGTTTGAGGTGGTTAGGCTATAACCATATCATATTTCAGCTGCTAAACCGAGCCAAGAGGTCTTGTTGTCTCCGGATTGAGCCTTTGAAGACGCTTTGGCAGGATCGCATAGTTGGTATGGTGCCTTTGACGTAACCCTGTCCTTTCTCTTCGCCAAGAACCGGTGGAGCGAAGCTCTTCTAGCAATAGGAAGCTCTGTAAATAAAAAAGAACAACCTTTATGTCAAAAACTGTATACTTAACGAGTCAAAGCTAAGATGGAAACAAAAAAATAATGTTGAGAAAGATTACCGCATGCCATTGCAGTTGAAGAGGATTGGAGTGGGTCTTGTGTTGCGGTTTTCATGAGATGAGGAACTTGGTTTGGGATTGAAGTGATGTTGCTTCTGATCTCGGTTTGGTTCTTGGCTATGTTAGGAGTGTAAACACTTTGGATGTTGCTGTTGACATTAGATGTGAAACCGGTGAAGCTATTAGCTGCTCCTTTGCTGGCCAAGTTCATCAATTCTTTGGCTTTCTCAGCAGAGAAGTCATTGAACACAATCACTTGCCCGCCGTAGAATATTGTCAACGGTGCAGTTTGTGGCTCTGGCTTCACAGATCTGTTTCAAGAAAACACCATTAATTAGTCAAAGTCAAGGGCTCACAAAACAAAACAAAAAGATTAGCTTTAAGTAAACCAGATTATGTTCTAAAAACCAAACATACCTAGTCTGTGTCGTTTTCAGGACATCTTCCTTGGGGAGAGAGGAAGATGAGGAAGAAAAGCTTGATTGCGGAGGAAACAAGTTCTTCGGTTTAACATCTTGACCAGCCGCCATGGAATCCATGTTTGAAGCTTCGCAAGGGAATAAACTCATGGTTGTTGTTGGCTGACGTGAGCTGCCAAAATTCCCTGAAAAAAATATGATCCAAAAAAAGTAAGATCTCTCTCCCATAACTTTCAAAACAAATCATATACACATGCAAAGCTTAGCTCAAAGTCTCAAACGCATAAATGTGTAATAAAAAACAAAAAAAAAACGTGTTTGAATTCCTAAGCTAAAGCTGTTGATTCAACAAACACGAAACTACCAGACTATACCGGTTCCTCTGATTGATTCCGGTCAACATAATTTCAATTGATTCGATTGGATTCGTAATTTTTCAATTTTTTCTCGGGAATTCAAAATCAGAGAAAGGGAAAAAACTGGATCTAGGAGAAAGAGAAGGATCCTTACCGTTGACCTCAGGCTTGCATGGCATCCCTAAGCTCAGATCTCCAAAGCTGCCGTTCTCCTTCAGATACTGACTCAATCGGCTACACGTCAGCGAGAAGCTCGGCTTCCTAGAAAAGCTCCGGCCAGCGGCGAAATCCGAACACTCCATGGAACTCGACATCGTTAAACAAACAAAAAGCTTCGACGAAACGAGTCAAAACCAGCTGAGAAATAGAAACGAGTTTCTGAAGTAGCTAAAATCGGTACACGGAATTCAGTCTTCTTCTTTGATATTTATCTGAGAATCGAAAGTGTTTCTGTTTTTTCTTCTTCTTGTTTGCTTGTTTCTCTCTGCAGATTGCGTTTGTCACGAGGAAGAAATGGGGCGCTTTAAAGCTTTTATTTTTGCTTGGTTGGTTGCAGAGTATAAAGAAACACGTGTTTTTATTTTTTTCTTTAATAGGAGTAGTATCGAGAAATGTGTCTTGGTTCACTGTTCTCCACGTTCGACGCTTTCCGTTTCCTTTAAATCACAGATTTACAGTTATATCCCTCTCTACAAAACCATGTCATCATGTACATTGTAGAAGATATTGGTACAGTGATTAATTGATCAAATAATTTAATTCAAGTGTGTGAAAAGAGGTTTTAATATGAATGTAAATAAATTGTACGCATAATTCTCGTAATGGTTTTGGTAGTCAGAAAGTTCTGGTATAAGATATTTTAACAAGAAATCTACTAAATACTGTACATTCAAAATAACTTTTTCCTGAATAAGAAAAAAGAATGCATTTCAAAATAGTGTGGAATAAGAACAATACAAGCAAAACGCGTTACAAGGAGTCCAAAGTCAAGCCTCATTTCAATTAGCATTTGTCAATGCTCCTCCTTCAATTAAACTATATGATCATTTATAATTTAATATTTTTTTTAAAAATACATATTAATATAAACTTTGTTAACGCGTGATTCATGCAGAGATATATACACACTAAAATTTAAAGTCTGCAAGTTGTCGATTTGTAAATTAATTGAAGTACAAGTGAAATAAATAAAAAACAAAGTCAATCCACATGTCGACCGTCACAATTGATTAATGCCATGAACCATATGATAGTTTGATTGAATAATAACGTAGCAAATAATTAAAAAAATTAAATCAAAGCGTAATCGAAATTGATGTTTGGTACGTTTCAAATTAAAATATGATAAAAAAAAAAAAAAAAAAAAAAAAATACTTGGACCTAAACGCTAAAGACTTAATTAATACCCGGCAAATGCGACTAATCCATGTGGCGAGGGTACTATCGTCCAACCAACAAACGTGAACGGGAGCAAAACTTCACGGCGTTTAATAAACTGTGTCAGTGGGTCCCAGTTAAAGACAACTCCACCATCCACATGTTCCTTCGACCACGTTTTTGTTGTTATGCGTATATTAAATAATAAAAATTAAATCTAAAGAAAAAGAAAAATAAGCAACGAAATATAAAAATCAAGAAGGGAAACCAAAAGGAAGAAGGAGGCAAGTGCACGTTGTCTGCACCAATATGACGTGACACGTGGCCAACTCTTGTTGGTTATAAACAACGCGTGGAGATGACTCTTTACTCTACAAATAACAAGGGTGAAGGAGCTGCGTTCTGCTGCTACGCAACCTACAGAAATCCAAAATCCTTCCACTTATCGGCTCGACACGCGTCAGTCTGATTTCCCTCGTTTCTTAGACGCGAATTTAGGTGCTAATCCTTGATTATGCAATTTTGCTGATTAAGCGACAAATTATAATATAGATTAAATTATGACTAAGAACAGGTGGTCCAATGCAGCAAGTCTTTCTTTTACATATTTGAATGGAAACTTTAGAAGAAGAAGATTAGTAATGAATTCAAGATATTTTTGTCACTAATAAAAAACTGTAACCAATTATGAGTTTATTGGTTAGAACTTACAAGATATGAAATGTGGGCTATGATCCTACTATACTATATCTAGAAAGTAGATAGGAATAGATTAAACGGAAAAGATCATCAAACTCGTGGGAAATGCGTGTGAAGTGGTTGGGGGAAGGTATACAGATCCGCGATGCAAGTTGAGTAACGTGTCCAAAATATATATGTAATTTTATTCATGCACCATTTTGAGTTTACCCTTAATTTACGCCTACTTTATCCTAAAATGTATAATTATTTCCCTAATATACTACACAAGTGCAAGCCTATCATTTCTTTTATTTCTAGAGAAAGTGGTTGACTTTGCTAATCGTAGCTTCGTACGTAGCCACGTTGTATAAGTTTATCTGTTTTAAAATACGGATCGATGTAACAGCGTACAATGACATACAAATACAAGCTTTCAAAAACAACGATACGCACATTAAATTTATAGAAATTACCAAACAATTGTTCTGCAATTTCTTATTGTTACATGCAAAGCTACTCATGCGTTTGTTAGACTTTCAAGGAAAAATATTATAATAGGTGCAAACAAAAAATACAGTTGATGAGGCGTCACATGGGTCGTGACCATTATTTGAGTCGTCGTCGGTGTTTTGCAGAATAAACTAGTATACATAAGTGTTTGAAAGTTGAAACTGTGGTAATTAACTTTAGTAGTGGAACATGCTTCTCGTGACATTAAATTAAAGATTACTCCAGATAATTTATTTTATTCGTAGTAGGTGTTGTTCTTCGTGCTTGGTCAAAATTCAAGTTCGTCCGAAGAAAAAAACAAATAATTTGCATTCTCGTCCCAAAATTTACGTTATGTACACAAATGACTCCAAAAAGCAATTCAAATGTCGTAATCGATGTCTGTCACATTTGATTCAGCCGCAGGCTTAACAAGACGAAGACCTTCCTCGTCGTAAACATCGAAATCCTCGCAAGGTCGAGGGAAAATCGATCCAAAGACTCGTCCTTTCACGAACGAACACTGAAATATATGTTTCTTCTTGTACGTCAACCCAACGTTCATGTCCCGGAACGTCACATTCCTCACCGGAATCTGCTCGCTCCCGTGGATTCTGACCGGCACTCTCACTCCCTGCCCGTGGATCCCGGAGAAGCTGAACCCCGAAAGCGTCGGGTAAGCTTTCCGGTCGTAGTTATCGTCGGCGTGCTCGTTGTAATCCGTTTTGATCACGATCCCGACTCGAACGTTGTCTAGCGTTAGGTTTCTGTAGGTTATGTTTCTGATGTAACCGCCACGTCCTTGAGCTGTTTTGATTCTGATTCCTCGTCGTGAGTTCCATATCAGAAGGTTCTCGATCGTCACGTTCGATATCCCGCCGGACATTTCGCTCCCGATTGATACTCCGGCACTGTCGAAACGTCAGGATAAATCAAACTCTGTGTTGCAGTGAAAACATGAGAAATGTGAACACTCATTATTACCTGATGACAGAGCGAACAACGAGATTACGGATGAGAATGTTCGTTGATGGTCGTCCATACGCGATCCCAAACTGATCCCATCCACTCTTTATCGCAATCGCATCATCTCCAGTGCTAATGTAACAGTCTTCAATCACCATATCTTCACAGGAATCTGTTTGGTGCAAAAAGGATTTAAATTTGCCGATCACACAACAACCGCAGAAGAGATGCTAAGAGGTAAATGAACAAACCAGGATCAATTCCGTCGGTGTTTGGAGCTCCGGTGACAGGAGCCAAGATGGTGACTTTTCTCACTGTGACGTTTTTGCAGTCATATGGATGAAGAGTCCAAAACGGAGAGTCACGCAGTGTTATGTTAGCGATGACTATGTCACTGGACCACATTATTTGAACTAAAGGTCCTCTTGTGTTGTTGAGAAGTCTTCTTTGATGCTTCTTCCACCACGATTGTCCTTGCCCGTTTATTGTTCCGTTGTGACCTGTTCGTTTACATCCATCATTAATCACTAACCTGCTATTATCATAGTTTCACACAACATGAACTTAAAAGAGGAGAATCACTAACCGGTTATCACAATGTCTTTGAGGTTTTGGCCATGGATTAAGCTCCCGTAACGAGGTCCTGGCCGCTCTCTACCGTATCCATATGAAGGCAATGGTGGCATCAAAGGCCAATACTTCTCATCCTGATAGTTAAAGTAACGCATCAAGTAAGCAAGACTCACACATCAATAACTCTAAGTCTTAAAAAGTAAAAGCTTTGAGCTACATTTAGTAGCTGAACTATCATTTTCTCATTGAGCAACCTCTGTGTTACCTATCACAAATATCTCGAATTTGGATAGTACTCAAACCTAAGATAAACTCAGTTGTATACAAATATAGCAATTGTTATCCACTTGATTGGTTATTTCGAAATCTCCAAAATCTAATGTTCTAAGCTTAATGGTAGCTGAAAGCTCTGAAATTTGAGCTAAAGAGAGCCCAAAAAGCGTCTGTAACAATCACCAATCCATCGACAGACATATACTAATATTCTACTGTTCTATTGGCAATACAGGAGAAATCAAATCATTTCACATACCTCAATTCCTAAAATTTCGGAATCCTCGGCGAGGAAAAGAGTCATGTGGCTGGTGAGATTAAACGGCGCAGTGAGCCACCGTCCAGGCGGCACATTCAGCTGACCTCCGCCGCTGTTTTTCTCAAGCTTCGAGATCGACATCACCGCTCTCTCGAACGCCTCCGTGTTAAGCGTAAACCCATCTCCCACACCTCCGAAATCCTTCAAATCGAACATCACCGGTCTCAGCCGAGGCATTGGCTGGGTCGGTTTGATCCGGCCGAAAACCGTGAACTTTCCTCTGACGGGACCGACGACGGAGCCGCCGATGTAAGCCGTCCGCTGCCATAAGAAGACGGAACCGAAGGCGGCGATCCATAGAAATGTGAAGAGTAGAGTCTTGTGGGAAGCAACGAGGGAATTAAGACGACGCTTAGGATCAAGCCTCTGGAGATGAAATTGAAAACGAGCCGGAAGGAAATTCTCCACCATGGTTCGAGTTCCGGGGAAATGGAAACATGAGGGGTTAAGGTGGGCTTTCTCAGATCTAGCCGAGAAATAGTAGACTCACGCAAAGATTCGATTATGGGTTGAGAAGTCTGTATCAGAAGCTGGTCAGTTTGGTGTGGTGTGTGTGTGATTCCGATTTGATGGAGTTCACGTCAAGGAAAACAAAATTCGGCGAAGATGGAGATAGCCAAACCGGCCAATTTAACATACCGGTTAGCTTGGTTCGATTATTCGAATTTTAACTATACATTTCAAATGTGTTTACATTTCAGTTGCATGAGTTCTATAGTTTTCGTAAATCCATAATACCATTTGTTGAACACATAAAGTAAAGATAAAATGTAAGAATCTCGTATCAGAAATGTAATGGTTTATCTTAACAGTTTTGGACTTTTACAACCAATTCTTCTTTAAAAATATATAAATAATTGAATTCATGACAATAGCGTAGCAACGATAAGTGATTTTATATACAACCATAAACAAAACAAAAAACTATATCCTCTGCAAACTAATCACCATCATTGTGATGTAAAGGCCTGCAAAAGAAGTACAGGTGAAGGCATATTTATCAGTCTAAGTACAAATAATCATCAACTAATCATCATCATCATTAACATTTAAAAAAATTAGCTTACCGAGAAGATATTGCAGTGACCAGGATCAGCGAGATGAGCCGTAAGATTCTCAATTGGGTCTTGACTAGAACTGTAGGTAGCTTGGAAACAGAAGCCAACGAAAGCAAGCATCGCGAGCCGTCCGTTTTTAATCTCTTTAGTCCTCAAAACCATTACCGGTTCGGGAGAACCTCTTCCCCACATCATCGGATCGAACCATAAACCTCCAGGGTAACCAACATCCGGTTTAGGATTCACCTTGTGAGGATACTTTGGTTCTATGTCAACAGACCCCGGTTTGATAAAATCTGCCCAGCGTCTTCCCTCTGCCCAGCCCATTAACACTAATTGGGCCAGAAACAGCGTCGTGGAATCCGCGAAATACTCGCGAGACCCTGCGTCGTACCATGAGTAATTCTCGATGAAGCCTAACCGCTCTAGACATTCCGGTATTAAGATGCCGGTCACGGCCAGCATGGCCCACCGGCTGTGTACGAGCTCAGCTTGTGCAAACCATTTGAGGAGATCCGGGTCAGAGCCTGTGAAACCGAAACCAGTTTAGTTAAAATCCGGTTTATTTTGTATTTTATTAATCAGATTGGGTTTTGTTTGGTTTCGTACCTAAACCGAGAGGATCGAAACCGAAATCACCAGGAAGGCTACAAGACGAGTTTTCATTTTTTGAAGTGAAAAGGAAAGTTTAATGGAGAAAAAATGTGAGAGAAGAATGATTGATTATTTACAAAACCTGCCGTCGAGCCATTCAGGAGGAGAGCTACCGGGGAACCACAAAGGACGGTCCGGAGGAAGTGGCTCACAGACGCTAGAAACTTCTTTGCCGGCACGAACCACCATCATGCGCTCGCTCATTCTTCCATCGGTGCGTAATGAACACACTCCTAGTCCTAGTCCTCTTCTTTCGGTCGCGTTTTCGACCTTGCTCGTAGAGAGAGTGGGTGTGGAAGTGAGAGAAGAAGAAGAAATGGCAAACGCCATCTTTTGATTCGTATGGAGATGAAATGAAACACTTTTCTTCCTCTCACTCTCTCTCTCTCTCTCGAGATTGTATACACTCGTATGTTATGGGTTTTGTTATCCAGAAGAATTTGTGAAGCCTATGTTATGTGACACGTGTACGGTTCGATGATAATCATCTATTCTCAGCTCATCTAAATCTAAATTTTTGGTATGTCCAAAAACACAGACAATTTTGGTTTTACTCTAGTGATAAAAAGAACCAGAAAAATTGAACACACATGGATTTTGTTTTTTGGTTTTATCACACATGGATTTGAAGTAGAAAATATCAAATTAAGTAGGAGACTGTCAGAATCAAAGCTCGATTAGTGAATAAGACCATGATCAGTATATTTCTTTTGATAACAAATAAGTCATACTTCATGATTACTTGTTTGATATTAAAACTGTAACATGTTACGATTACTAGGAGAATTGAGTATAAGAACGTGATGCAAAAATACGTCTGGTAATGTTATCACCAATTCTCATTGGTATGTGCAACAATAAATTTGCAAAATGGAATGGTGAACTAATAACAAAATTCCCAAACAGAAACATGAATTAAACAATACTGAAAATCACTCCAACTTATAAGCCTATATGGGTGACAAAAAGATAAAACAAAAAATGAGTAAGCCAATATGTGATTCTAGCTGCTCAATTGGGTTATTTGGTGTAAAAACATTTTAATGTCACCATTTAAGTAAATAATCATAAATAGTCGGCAAAACAATAATTAAATTAAATACAACGCCTAATTTGATTTGTTCATCGTCACCACTTCGCCACCACAGCAAGTGAGCAATAAGCGGGTCGGTTACTTGACTTACTTCAGAGAATCAAAGGAAGCTCTTTTACTTTCTCGTGGCAACGATCTCATCTACGTGTCTAAAAACTTAACCTCACACTCCCGCGACAATGCTCCGAACGGCGGCGAAGCGTCTTCTCGGCGGTGGTTTTACGACGACCCGCCTCCTCCGATTACCCAAGCTCAGGTCCACCATCATCCCTTCCTCTTACACTTCCGGTCTCTGCACTTCGTCGATGGGTAACACCGAATCGCCGATTGGTCATCAGTCATTAAATTTTCATCAATCGGATCCCACGGCGTCTTCTTCTTCCTCTTCCTCTTCGTCTTCCACGGCGACAGGGGAAGGACCTCGTCGACACGATAGCAGGAAACCGAGAGCCGAGTTTCAGGAGGAGCAGGCTCGTGTTCTCGCTGCGTCTCTCCGTCACGTGGTGTGTATACTGTATCCAGATTCATCATTTTCCCTTCTCACTCTTAAGTTTTCATCTTTCTGGCGATTGATTTCCGAATTCGGGAGTTTTTCTGCAGCCGAGATTAGGTTGGACGGAAGAAGCAATGATGGCTGGTTCGAGAGATGTTGGTGTATCTCCTTCCATTGTTGGGTCCTTCTCCAGGAAAGAAGCTGCTCTTGTTGAGGTAATTTCGTCTCCCACACTCTGTTTTGATTGGAAGCTTGGAACTTTGGATTTCTATTGTTGACTTTCAGTTTTTGTTTCGCTCTTTGATCAGTACTTCATGGATGAATGCCTACAATTGCTTATTGACAGAGTAGACTCTGGATTGGATTTGCAAAACCTGATCCCGAGTGAGCGCATCTCCAAGCTCATCAGGATTCGGTTAGAAATGCAAATACCTTACATGTCAAAATGGCCTCAAGCACTCAGCATCCAAGTAAGTTTTGAGCTTCTCTCTGTTTCATGATAAGCTCAAGCGAGTGTCTGATATAATTTTGATACATTTCCTGGAACAAAACAGGCGCATCCAGTGAACGTCCCAACGAGTTTTAAGCAACGGGCAATGTTAGTCGACGAGATATGGCATGCTGTTGGAGATGGAGCCTCGGATTTGGATTGGTATGTCAAGCGCACTGTTCTTGGAGGCGTTTACTCAACCACCGAAATTTACATGCTCACCGATGACTCACCAGGTTTGTATGCATTGCTATGTGGTTGAAGAGAATTAACAGAGCTTATAATAAGTTTCTTGAGTTTGATGTCATTTCGTTTTTGAGCAGAGTATCGCGATACATGGGCGTTCTTGGGTGACAGAGTCAAAGATGCTTTTGATCTGAAGAAGAGCATACAAGAGGTAAAGTATAAACCTTTTCTCGCCGTGTTTGTACAAATCTACAGCATTGGAAAAGCTCCTTATGGGTGTTTAAACATATTTGTGGCAGGCCAAGTATTTTGCGGAAGACATAGGAGCTGGAGTTGGGAAATCGGTTCAAGGATTGATGAATGGAGTTATTCAGACGATGTCCAGAAGGAGTGGTAGCTCTGCGTTTTGAAAGATCACTCCTTTAGACAATGATGAACCTGCTTCATCCTTTAAAGATTCTCCAATGTTTTTGAGTTGAGATATGCTATAATAATGATATACGCTAATATGTATGACTTGAAATGTGTATGAACTATTTATTGTCTTCCACTTTTGAATAAACCATTTGAGTTTGGAATCTTGGTTTTTGTAAATGTGGATGAAAATTGTGCTGTGTTTGTTATTTTTCTGAAAAAGGTTGTGTACTCTCCTTGGTCCAGTTCAATTGAAACATTAAGGGTGTTCAATGTTTGATCACAAACATATGGGGTTTTATTTGTCATTAATTAAACTAAGGTTAGGTGTAGAGACGGCTTTTTAATTTTCTAGTTTGACCCCGAAAAGTTTTAGAAAAGTCAGTTTTGGATAACAGAATTGTGACAATATATTAACAGAGAGAAAGAAATCTAAACCCAAGGCAAAGCTAGAATTGTTTGTTTTGGAGTGTAAAGAAAGAAGCTTGAGAGAGATCAGTGAGTGAGAGTATCGTCGGAGATGGTGAGGTCTTCAGAAATCGTGGGAAAGCTGAATCTCAAGTCTCACCAAGAAGGTGGCTTTTTCTCCGAAACTTTCAGAGATTCTTCTGTTTTCCTCTCCACCTCTCAGCTCCCTCCCACCTGTAACTCTCTCCCTCTCCCACTCTATTTTTTTCGGCATTCATTGCTCCGATTGATTTCAGTTCAGTTCTTATTGAACTATGCGTAGTCATCTCTTTCCGATTTTGGATCTTGACATTTCAGTGCTAAGATCCTCCGAAATGTGATCGGATTTAGTTATTGTTTCCTTCCATTGAACCTAATTTTTGATGAATCCTGCTCGGATAGAAAATTGTAAGCTTGATTTGGGAATTTGCTTGGATCCCTCTATTGAACAATCCACAAATTGGCTCCTGAGGCTTATTGTGATTCTTTAGGATTCTATTCTCATCAACAACAATACCTAAACTTTTAACATTTTTATTTCCAATTCCTTGTTGGGATATTGCAGATCGTCTCTCAAGTCTGTTCCTTTTTATTATTTCTCTGAAATCTGTGCAGATAAGGTGGATAGAGGTGTGAGCACAAGTATATACTTCTTGCTTCCTTCTGGTAGCGTTTCTCGTCTTCATCGCATACCAATGGCAGAAACCTGGCATTTCTATTTGGGCGAACCCATTACAGTAAGTTGAATCTCTTTCCATAGAAGAAGATAGATAAAAATCTCTGTTCCTTTCTTGAATATGGATCTGCTTCTTCTTCTTGTCTTTATCAGGTAGTGGAACTCTCCGATGATGGGGCGTTGAAGTTTACATGTCTTGGTCCTGACCTGATAGAAGGTGATCAGAAGACTCAGTACACGGTCCCTCCGAACATCTGGTTTGGTTCGTTTCCAACAAAGGATGTTCATTTCTCTCCTGATGGGACGACTCTCCTTAAAGCCGAGGCTAGAGACTCTGAGAACCATTTCTCTCTTGTCGGCTGCACCTGCGCTCCCGCTTTCCAGTTTGAGGACTTTGAGCTCGCGAAACGCTCTCACCTCTTATCAAAGTTTCCTCAACACGAATCACTCATCACAATGCTCTCTTATCCAGAGTGAAACGACCAAGAGAATGGTTTTGTTACCGCTAAAAGAATCTCAGATACAGATATGTCGTTTTGTTACTTGAGTTCCTTGCATCTGACAAGGTTGTAACTGTACTTTAGTTTCATTCTTGATCAAATAATGCTCAGTGAAGAGAGAGACTTTAGTTTCGAAATCAATTTTATTGGATAAACAGAGCAGATTTCATTGCAAAAGAGAGAGGCTTTAGTTTCGAAACAAATTTCATTGCAAAAAACAGAGGAGAGGATCTACAGAATTCTAATTCACGAGGATTCAACAGTGTCATCATCTGCACACACACAAACTAATAATTAAAAGATCTTCTGTGTTCTCCATCTTCAGGTTTTCGAGTTTCTACAATGCTGGTAAGTGCCCTAATCGAGATCAAGGAACTCCATTCTTTTTCGCATCGTACCCTTCAACATCATTTCTTCTTTCTCTGCTTTCTGAGCCTGATCATACACAGAAGAGTGTAACTGAGGGAGTCAGTGAAATCCAAAAACACCAATCCAAATCGGTTGTATATATATTTGTGCAAGAAAAGCAAACTTTTCAGCGAAAGCATCAACAAATACAGAAGAGAAGTAAAGAGATATAGCACTAACCCTTTTAATCTCTGCTTCTGAAACTTGAATCATTTGAGCAGGAAGCTCTTCCTTTTCAATGTCCTAAGAATAAAAATAAAATAAAAACTTTAAAACTTCATTTCAAAATGAAAATTACGGAATTGGGTTTGTTTAGTTTTAGTTTTACCAGTTCACCAATCAAGACAACATTCTCTCCACGGATTATGTATAGACCTAAGGGAATATCACAGTAGAGATCACCCACGATGACTCTTTCATAAGCTTCTTCTAGAACAGCATTAGCTTCAAGGAAAAAACGAAAAACAAAGCAAACAAACACTTGAATAAACCGTTTTTCAGAGATTCTGAATTTTCTAGTTAAAGAGAAAGAACACAAGAAAGTACCGAATTGATCAAAGGACCGAAGTAGACCCATCAGTTTCCGGCCATCACGGAGCAAGACAAGAAGTTTCTCTGCCAAAAAAAAAAAATCAATATCTCCATCAACCACTGGCGATCAAAATCAAAATCAAAATAATGGTTTACAGATTTCATCGCCGGTGAATCAGTAGACAGAGAGAGAGAGAGTTACTTACTGTCTAAGTAGGCAGCAAGGGAAGTGGAGAAGAAGATATCATCAGGAGCAGCCCAAGACATTGAAACTCTCAACTCTGAAACTCACTCTCAGTCTTCAAATCGCATTTGCCTTTTTGACTTCTCAAGTTTCTCGATTTCGCGATTCCCGATCTCTCCTTTTCTTCCCCTCGATAATTGACTACAACAAATGGGGGAAGAAAACCCTAATTTTCAGACAGAGAGAGAGAGTTTGAGATCTATGAGTTTGACTGACGCGGCTCGCGACGGTTCTGTCAAGTTTTGCTCAGATGAGATCCAACCCAAACTGAGTTTTAACTTTTAAGCAAAATTACATTAAAATCCCAAAACTCCGTAAATGTTACAGTTTCAACCCTTTTATTTTGTTTGAATTGAAGTAATTAATTCCCTTATTTCATGAACAGAGTGCTTACATAATTTTATAATCGTACGTAACTCAAAATCACAGTGTGTGTGTGTGTGTGTGTGAATTGCATACTACTACCAAAAAAATCAAAAATGATTTACATAAGATGAATATTTGTAGTTACAACAGTACACATACATGAGCAAACAGATTTCTTCACCATAGTTGAAATCTGAAAAAAGGTTGTATAAAGAAAGATGAGGAACAACAAAAACGGGAATATGGAATTTAACAAACAAGTTTACATCTGTAAACTGTAATGATCAGAGAAAAGTCATGACCTCTCCATGTTATTCTTCATATATATCTTCAACAGTTGAAATTACACCACCACTCATTAATTGATACCTGAAACATTAAGGTTTTGATTATTTGTCTTAAACCAGTAATCATGTTTGCTAGTTTTTTTTAGATCTTAGATTAAAAAGAATCAATTATCAATAAGAAAAAACTTTGGTTTTATTTACATTCTTTTATTACCATGACTATCAATCAGGTCCATTTAGCTTATTGGTTGATATCTACATCTCCAAGACAATATCTGTAATCAATCATCAAAGAAATTGAATTAAGCTTCCCTATACCATATTTCTTGTTTTATAACATTTTTTCTCTATTTATTTACCTATCTTTAGATTCTTACACTATTCAGTTTCTGCATTTTAATTTGTCCTTGTGGTATTTTATTATGTGCTCTTCACCTAACTATCTACTACAATAAAGCCAGAAATATACACACTATGATGAGATATATATTTTTAACTTTTTTTTTTTTATGATCTGAAAAGTTAAATATTTTTTTGAAAATCTCACATTCAGAATCACTCTTAACCCATTTGTTGGCGTCAACACTTGAACGAGCTTCATCTATAATCTTATGATTCTCCAAGTACTTCTTTGCAATAGCATTTGAACGTTGTGGATGTATCTTCTTATTAAGAATTGTCCTTAGCATCTGCGCACAATACATATTTTCTTTAATGATTTTCTCCTTGTTCAGAATTACAATTGGTTTCACCCTTTTTTATAATAAAAAGATTGTAGTAATTTGATCATAAGGTACCTTTTCCATTCGTGTATTAGGCAATGAATCTCCTTTAGACAAATCAAGAAGATGAGGTGGAGTTTTGAAGCCGCTTGTACAAACAAACATCTTTTTGAGAAGAAAAGAAAGCGATTTCTTCTTCCCAATAGTAACATCTCCATTAACCGCAGTGAGATCTTTGGTAGACTCTGTTTCTTCTTCGTCTTCCTTGGAGCAAATATTGTTTCCAAGTGTTCCAATGGCTAAGAAGGTTTCTTCGTCTTGAGGCCAACCTTGTAGTTCTTTACTCAAAGCAGGTCCTGATGATTCTTGAGCTAATATATATACATCATTAAACACATAAGACAACTATGTTCAATGATCTATGTGCAAAGATTGTTAATGAATAAGAACATTTTACTCACTAGATTCTGAAGTTGACTCATGCTTCTTTCCACTAAGCTTTCTTTGAACCCAATTGAAAAACTGTAGAACATGACAGTCAAGATTATTGCATGATCAAAGAGAGATCAACACAAAAGTTGAGTTAATTCAGACAAAAGTGAAAAACAAACCTTCATATTTCAGAGACATAAAATTGGCATGTAGATATGCGTGTATCCAAGAAAATTTCTTTTTCTGTCAATGAACATTTATCTCCTTGAAATAGCTATAGGAGATAAAAGATGATCACAGTGGTCCCATGTTCTTAAAGACACGGTAAACACAAGTCCCAGAAGCCAGCACAAAGCCAGCAGTTTAAAAAATTGGGTTCAAGTCCCTATAAACCCTCGAAATCAGTTAAGTCACTATTTCTCTAGCACTTGATCCCATCTTTGTGGACTTTGTTGAATGTTGGTTCTCCAAAATCGTATTTTATATATGTAAGATAAGGTTTAAGAGATCGAAATGAGTAAATTGTGCTTGAAGCAAAGCAACTACACAAAAAAACAAAGCTTCTTTTTATATTTGACCAGGCCGTACAGAAATTACATGCAGTGTGGGTAAATGTACAAACTTAATTTTTTTTTTTTCAAGCTTTACACTCAGAATCCGAAAACATTTGTGTTTTATATAACTAGTCGTCTCCACAGGTGCAGCAAACATTTGTGCAACACTCAAAGCAGGCGATGCAAGCAATCGCAGTGAAGAGCTGTGTGAAGACGAGGACACATTGATCATTGAGCTTAGAGCAGCATTGGACACAGCACATGCAGCAACATTTGTTGCACAAGGAGACACAGCAGCTCGAGGCAGCTTTAACGAACTTCTCAGCAGCATCAGCTGCTCTCTGTTCTCCAAATCCTGGTACGACGTTTTCTCTGGTGGCTGTTTTATCACCAAACCCTATCCCGAGGCTTTGTAGTGGGATCGTTCTTGATATCATCTTCTGTTTCTCCCCGTTGTTCGCTGGCTGCTAACATATTTGGTGAACATATGAGTTTAAAAACGAGTCTGATTTGGTCCTCGGACCAGAGCTAATCACTAGGTTTTGATATGGATCAATACCTTTTTCTTGGTGTCGCTGGGTTTCACTGCTTCCTCTGTGTTCTCCAAATGGATCATTCGAGTATACTCAGATGGTACGCCGGTTTGGATGCTTAGTTTAGCAATCTGATAAGAAGAAAAAGTATAAGCAGAATGAAGAGGACAAAATTGAGGAAGTGAATGGTATAAGCGAACCCTTTCTATCAGCTGTTTGTCTTCAGAGAACCATGGCTCAGCAGTAAGCACGTCAATCACATTCTTTGCAAACACCTGTAGATATTTAGAGAACGATACTTGATGTTAAAACCGGATGTCTTAATGAAAAGAAGTCTCCTTGGGAATGGTTGTTGTTATGAGAAGGAAGGTGATCTTACTTTATCAAGAGGCATGTCTTTTGCACTTTGTACAGTCAAGTCTGCAGAGAAGCTGCTCAAATCTCCAAGCAGACCTTTGGCTTTCACATTCTCAGGGAACTTTCCTCGGTATCTCCCATATATCATCAGTGGGCTTGCAGACGTTAAATCCGGAATATTCGAAGGGTATACCTATTATTTTAGTAAAAGGTAAAGACTTTCAGTTTTATGGCATCAATTTCAGAAAGCAAAAACTAATTAATTGACAGAAAAGATTTGCAAACAATTTTAGCATAGAGGCGCACCTCAACTTCATCTAGATTCTGCAGGGCATCGATTGTTATATCCACAAGAACGGTGGATAAAGCCCTTGTAAATAGTTTGTCAATTCGTTCTTCAATATGATCTGCATATCAAAGAAAATAAATGTTATTAAACTATCTATAGCACATATATTGACAACTTTTTCTTTTAACCCTCCAAACTGAGTCAAAGTCTCACCTGTATTGTAAACTGATTCATGCTGGCCCCTGGATAGATTTGCAAGCATTTGCAGGAAGTAGTGATTACAGAATACACCCAACCCAAAAGTGTGTATCCGTGGACAGACTGATCCAGCACTAGCAAGTTGTTTCTTCATCACATTACAAATGTGTCTCTCATCTTCAACAGACCCATCTGTTAGGAAGAAGATCATAGGAAGAGAGCCACGAGTATTCGAAAGCATTTCCACGGCCTGAAAGTATTGAATCAAGTTGGCGTAGTTAGTGCCAAGACTCAATCAGAGGTGCTAAACAAATCGCAATAAAGAGGTAAGCTTTTAGAAGCCACAAAGTGAATGGTGGAAAGACCTTCTCTAGGGGAGGGAGCATATTTGTTCCATCTGCAACGACAAAGCTCTTGTTCATCCACTCGATGCCTCTTTCAACAGCATCTGAGGTAGCAGACTCCATGGACATCGAAAACAGAGAAGTATCATCACTGAAAGTGATAATGTTGAAGGAATCCTCAGGATTTAGCTTAGCTAGAGCTGTGGAGATTGCATTTTTCACATCCTCGAGAGGTTTTCCAGTCATGCTTTTACTTAAATCAACAACAAATACCACCTCCCGCTTAAATGCCTGAAGTATACAAATATAAACTTTTAGATTGTAATGCAAATGGCATCTATTTCGCTGAAGAAAATGAGTAGAACAAAAATCAGACCTTTGTTTTTTGGTGATTTCCTGGAAAAAGATAGACAGAGAATACATCTCTCTGGTCAACATCATGAACAGGTGCAGATTGAAGGAAAAGCCCACCAACTATATTACTTGAAGAGGCCTACAATATTTTCAACAAACAAATAAAAGCATAAGCACTCTTCACGACTAAATTCAATGCAAAACATTGCAAGTGCAGAAGTGGGAATTCATTTATACCGTATAAGAAAAGCTAAAATCTGTGTTGGACCACTTCAAAACATCTGCTTCATGTGAAAACCTCAGCTGCCCTGCGTTCCGCATTTTCTCCTGTAATACATGAACAGAATAAGAAAGTTATAAGAGAGAAAAAAGAGCATCTCTGAAAATATAATGGAGCGTGTTCATAAAGATGTATAAAAGCATACCTTTAGTTGATGACTGCAACCTTTGCAGAGAACCTCTGTTCCAGTACCGGCATTAACACTCAAGAAGATCTTCTCTCGCTTCGAGATTTTCTTCACAGCAGGAGTCACATACTCAGGGAAATTGAAAGGAATATCAAGAAAAAACTGCCCTTGGTTATACGTCAACTTCTGAGACCAAGACATCTTTATAGATATGTTGGTACCTCCATCAACCTGGGAAAAGTAAATGATAGACAGAATCAGAAAGATGAAATCAACAAACAAAACACAAGAGGAAGAATGTTTGATTAGAAACTTTCCAAATCACCTGTGGTATTGTAAGAGTGAAAATGTTTGGTTTCAAGAAACCTCCATTTTCAGGGTGTGCCGTTTTCTCCAGCTCGTTTCCATCTTCCGCTGTGATCAGTTGAGTTGTGTATGTTTTTCTAGGAATCTCTACCTCAACACCTAGAATTGAACCCTGTTAGCCACATAATATTAGTTTAATATCCATCAGAGGAAACAAAAAAAAGATAAGTGAAAACAAATGTACAAGATCAAAGCATTCGAGCCAGTGTATATCATCAAAGACTTCACAATATCATTTTAAAAAAATGTTCAACATAGAAAATAATAAAGTGAAAGCTTCACAAATCCCAAACATCGCATTTTAAAACTGGGATACGAAATCTCAAAAATATACTGATTCCGAACCTGTTCTCCCATAGGAATTGCGATTCGGCAATCACATCGCTTGCTTCCCATAACGCAGTGGACACGCCAATTTCCGGTGACGGTGACGAGAGCCGTGTCGAGATAACAATCAACGTCGAGCTCAATCGCGTTCATCTGCAACGGAATCAGAGCCGGCGGGTCGCACCTGCCGTGCACGTGAGGCTGGTAGCTAGGCAGGTCCGGGTTATCCACAATTCCCGGGTCGGGTATAACGGCGTACACCATCGGTGCCGAGGGAAGATAACCCTGCGTCGTAGAGGATCTCTCCATCGGCGCCGTTAGCCTCGGCGCCGCAACCGCTCTGTCGTTGCCGAAATAAATCCGTTTGGCGAGCTTAAGCCCATCGTCCACCGCTCTTGCGAAGTCCTCCGCCATCTGTCCCACACAAGACGGCGAAGAAATTTTGTCGCGGGGTTGGGTTTTTTTTCTTTCCCTTCCTTAATTTTCTCGGGAAAACAAATCAGAATTGAAAGCTCGTGTGGACGAATCGCTGAAATGAATCGATTCGGTTTTCTTTCTTCGGACAACGAGGACAAAAAAAAGGGATCGAAGAAATCACTCCGGAGTCGAGTCTTTTCCAGCGCATATTTTCCAGTAAATTAATTTTAATTTATATATAAAAGTTTGTCTGTTTCTGTATGACGAATATACCCCTTTCCTTTTTTGGCGCGATGTAGATCTAACGGTCAAGGAGCCACTTCAGTGTGCCGACAAGATGGGGCGAATCAGTGACAACCTCATTTGTTTTTGTGAACGGATATACTAACAGGCATGAACGAGTCGTTTATCGACACGTGGCTGTGGGACGTGGTGGAGTATGAATGTTGTTGAAGCATCGGATTCTAACCTTTAACGTTCTCCAACGGTAAAATCTCATGGATGCTTGTGCGCTGCGCACGTGACCCCAGCCGTTGGCTCATGGGCTTTCTATGCCGCTTATTGTGGTTGTTGGAATCAGGTGACGTATCTCTTACATTTCCTTTTCGCTGGATTATTGTATTGTTATTGTTTTCATTGGCTGGATTATTTCCTGATTTAGTATTTAGGCCTTTTTTATTCTAAACAAATCAAGACTTTATTAACATGGATACGTTAGTGGAGTTATGATTAATCAATAAAAGCTGTGATTACAAATTTACAATACAGTGATAGGAATAGTTAACATGGAGGTGTGATTAATTCAACGGTCGGATTACGAATTTGCAATCCAATTATCGAGATAGTAATAATGTATTAGTAGAGTGATGATTGTTACTCCATGGTAGTATAAGTGTATAACCGCTTATAATATTGAAGATGCAAATCGGCCGGTTCGATAGCTCTATGCCTCTATCTATCCATAGAACTTTTACGACTTTCATAGACAAAAAAGGATCTTTTAATTTCATAAACATAATAATCCTGCCTTTTACCATTTTGTTTTTGTTATACCCTACGCTACCCCCTCACGTAGTGAGAGAGATTAAGTTAAAAGGGTCTTTAGTTTCCACCAAACTACTCCTAGAAGTAGAAGATGGATATGACCGCAAAGTAAGTGTTTTTTTTCTAAGTGCAGAGAAACTTTCTACGTATTTACATTTCTTCTGCGCTCCTCTTTCACCACACTCAAAGCTTGTAGCTCTTCCATTAACCTCTCATACTCGCTTTTAACGTTCCCAATCTCACTCCTAAGATTTATGGCCTGCGCAGACAAAAGAACAAAATAGTATCACCACAAAATCAAGAAAGCCTTTTTGACTCGAACTCAGAACATGGAGAAGCTTACGACAACATAGGCCAATCTAGTATTTCAAATAAATAAAGTGATAAATGGAATTGCGAATCAATTTATCGACCGATTTAGTTTAACAAGACTCGTGGAGAGATGTTGTTAAACCAGCTCCATATATTTGATATATATTTAGAGGAGGTTGGGATTTGGCAGGAACAACGTTAAGTCAAAACCACCGAAGCAAATGAAAGAGACAAGTCATAAAAAGGGATTGTTAATGGTCATAAGGAAGTACCTTGAGTTCAAGGTTTTGACTTCGCACCTTGTGGTCCAACCATCTGAGAGTTAAAGAATATAAAATAAATTCCCTGAAAGAAATCACAAACAAACGAGGAAACTGACAATATATGTATCACATAAATTTAACTTACTTTGCTCGGAGCTTCTTGTTTTCTTCTATCAACTTAACAGTTTCAGTATCCTGTACCCGAATTGCAGATCCATGCATAAACTTCATAGCATGCGCAAAACCATTAAAGTTAGTGAAACGGAATGGCCAGACGCGGTTCCGAACTAAAGTGACTATTATGTTTCTGTGTGGACGACCCCATGTGCAAGGGCCATCACATAAGGGGAATGCTATATTTACTTCCAACATTGCTTAGATGAAACTCTACTTAGCAAATCTGGTTCGCAGTCATGGGACTAAACAAGTTTAACAGAAAATCAAAGAGAAGACACGAGTTTTGAGGTGCAAACCTGATTCTGCCCCGGGACATTAAATCCATTATCTCCCACTCTTCTTTTTGACGCTGCATTTGCAACAAGATCAGGATGTTCTTTCCTCTTCTCCAACACCACTGCAGCAATAATGCAAGCATCACATGTCAGTAGCAGAGAGAGTTCGTGAATGCTGGAATATAAAATATACAGTACAGAACAACATCCAGCAAAAATAATTTTTCCTTCGACATCATCACAATAATAGCAGAATACTTAGAAGCAGAGTCTCAGTTTTCCAGTAGGATATTCCGTATTTTGTTCTCTCTTTTTCATTTAGTAACATCATGGTAGATGGTGAATTAGTTACTAGTTGCAATGGCTATACATAGCCTTTGCAGCACTATCATTTTCATGTTTCTTAAAATGGGCCCAATCCTGAACCAATCACAGACCGGGCAGTCCAATATTTCGAACTATAGTTTTGGTGTAGCCAAAGACCAAGCATGATCTTCATTGTTACTCTTAGTAGCAGTTTACCTGGCTCAAATGAAACTCTAGGGAGAGATGCCAGATTTGCATTCGGAGAAACTGCTTGGAAGCCTGGAGGAGGACTTATTGCTTGTCTGCCACTATCTCCCGCAGAATTTGTCGGGAACATGTTACCATTTGTCTTACCACCAGGTCGAACATTTTTAGGTACTCGAACACGAGGCTTCTTAGTATCTTGATACCCAATCAACACACAATGGCATTTCCTATCAAAGATATCCAATCATTTGAAATAGTAAGAAATACTAGAAAGTGATACAAGCCAACCCATAGGTAATGGGGAGACTTTAAGCAGCTCAGCAAGAGAACAAGATATCTTATATGGTCGTCTTCCATACAACGCTATACTATTATCTACTTTGGCGAGTGTATAAACAAAAGCAGCAACATAACATCTACCAAAAAGATAAGGCTTAAGAAATTACCAATACTCCAGTGTCATTTCTTTTAAGCGGGTTTCAAGTTTCTGAAGAAGGAGAGTTTTCTCAAAATCCTGCTTGTTATGGGTTGGCTCAACAAAATTAGCTTCTAGAGCACCTGCAAACACATACAATTTAACATAAATTCACCGATCAGAGAGAACTGTGCTGAAAACAACCAAATCAGCAGGAAATCTATTGTTCTATTGATTGATCCTTTTTGCAGCTTCTTACCAACAACTCCTCTTCCACCTCCGGCTGAGGTGTTGTGCACAACCTGCCAAAATGGCTGAAAGGAGCAAACAAACTAGATAAGGTCACAGTAACATACGAGATAATGTGTGGATAAAAACTTGACAAGATACTTCGTGTAGTCTTTCACTGGGGCAAACAAACTTTTCTGTGGAAAATTTGAATTTATATATGCCAGGTAGTTAAACACCCCTTTATATCTGCATTCCAGTATCAGTGTAGATATGTCCAGCAACTCTAAGGCACTTTTTCTAGAGTTTTATTAGGCACAGTCGTACAAACAAGGACCCAACAAAATGCTAACTTATATCCCGGTATATGATAATCCTTTTCTTTAGTAACATTTCAAAACTCACCATTATTAGGCGGTTTTTGTGATAAACGCAGAACCCACTAAGGTTTACTTTGGGAGCTTCTTTCAGAAACCCAATCGTCGTTACAACTTCAGCCTGCTCATTGAACACGAAGATTTGAATCATAATAAAGAAGAAAAATTATTACGGAGTTCTAAAAGAAGAAAACAAACGCCTCCAAATATTTTGCGCACCTCTAATTGTCCAGCAACCTGAGGCCTATACAAGATGTATTGCGGATGCATGAGGTCATCAGCAATGTTATGATGCTTAACAGCCATACCACGCAACACTATCTTGAAAGTCTCAGGAATCCGCAGGTATAATATGGATAAGTAAACCTACATAAAGGTAGCAGCAGTGGAAAAGACAACATTTTCAGTTTCGTGACATTTGCACAAGTATTTTCGAATATACAGCTGTCTGCAGCCTGTATCTATGTCTGCATGTTCATAAAATTATTGACCAAAAGAAATAGAAGCTCACACGAAGAGAGTAAGCAAACCGGCTTGCAATATGATCATTCACAATCTTCGATCCAGTATTTTTAATGCTTCCTTCAATGAGAATATCCTATCAAAAAGGGAACAAAACAATATCTCAGTTGATTTACAATACTTGCCAATGAAAAAAAGATCAGAAGCATGAAAGATGAAGATACCTCTGCAACCGAATCAAAGTCTAACTCCAATTTAGCGTCACTGTTGAGCCACATATTATAGATGATAACCTTTGTTCCATGTTGCCCAACATCGTCAAACTGCCAAAGGGAAAATTAAAAACCAAAAATTTCAGGGAAGAGAGGAATTTGGTAGATCAGGTAAAGAAAACAAATTCTTTGATTAAGTATTATATATGAAGCTTAAAGCTCATCAAAAGCTTTCAAGAATAGTATCATAAGTCATAACGATGGAAATACCACACTCATGAAACGCCAAATTTTAAAACAAGTAACCAACAAATATAGCAACATGGGTGGTATGGGGAATTTTTAGAGAAAAACAAAAAATTGGTCTTGCCTGCTGCAAAAGTTCTGCCTCTGTTGAAAATGGAGACCATTCTAGTAGAATGGAGAGACTGGATATAAAATGTTCTCGGTCTTGCAAACGCTGGAATTCACTAGTTGATGCCTTAAACTCGTAATCCAACTGAACATTCATAAGGCAAAACGTTTAGATTACAGAAAATAAGGTACATAAATATGAGTGAGAGAACGAAACTCACAATGGGAACAACTATTCTATCATGGCCAGTACGTGTCAGGTATGTATAAGAAAGGAGCCCTATACTTTGTGTCCATGTTCTAGTCAGACGGAAAAGAAACAATTAGCAAATTGGATAGAAAAAAATGTTCGAACATCAGTGCATAGGATAAACAACAACAGCCACTCACTGGTTCTTAAAATGGCGGCTGAAAACAATCACATCTGCCCCAAGTCTCATTGTGCTGGTCTTGAAACCATTTCCATCTAAAGAATCATAACGACGGATAAGATACACAAATATAACTAACGATGTGTACTGCAAAATGTTGCAGAATCATTACTAAAGATACGAGTTCAGAGAATGAAGAGAAATATTCATACATCTTCCAATGGCTGAATCCGATTTCTTATCTGAGAATCCAAAACCCATGCAATGCCGCATTCCCTGAGGATCCATCCCACCACCATCATCTGAAAATTTTATGCCAAGATGTTAGAAATGTCATTTTTCTGCATGCCCCTTTTGAGTTCACAGAACTTAATCCAAAAAATATCATGCAAAAATACCTTGAATTAGCAATGCTGTAGTACCATCCCTTGGATTTGTGATTTTATTTACAATGACAAAAGTGGCCCCATTTTGGATCTATAGGGTGATGAAGATACAGAGCACAAAACAGATTAATAAATCGCCATTCAGTAACTTATAAGACTATCTACCAATATTTAGAGCACACTTCCACCTTAATGAAACAAATGACATAATGGAGTCAGAAAGTGAAGCCTTGGGTTCCAGAAGGGACAAGTTCTCTATCCAGAATATTATCAAAATCATTTGCAGTAGTAATGAACAAAATAGGTAGTAAGATTAACATTGAGCACATCAGGACGCACCTCATCAACAGCATTGTCAAGCAGTTCTGCAACAGCTGCAGTTACAGAGAACCAAATATATCTTGTTAAAACGCTCAAAGACTGTTTGCTAGCCACACACAGAAAAGGGAAAATAGTGATTATTTAGACATACCACCAAAAGCCCATTTGTGTGAAGTAGCATTGGAGTGAAGGAACAAAGGGTGCACATGAAGATAATTTTTCCCAGCTGTGAAACAAAACACATACGAAGAACCATAAACAAAACGCTTCCACATATATAACGAATCAAGGCAAAGGAAACGAAGCACTGTAACGTGTACCACTCAAAAACATTTCAACCTCACTAGTAAATGATAACAGATCATCAATCAACAATAGTAAATGCATACTTGGCTGATGAGACTTTGCACTCAATTCGTCAGTGTAGCTTCCAGCTTTCCAGAACTGCCTACAAACTGGGGCTGGGCAAATGGTGGATGAAGACGTGACACCGCCATCTTCAGGCGGTGTCCGGACCTGATCAACAGCACTGGTGCTACTTTGGCCGCCGACTGATCCTCTATTTTCTTCTGAATCTTGAGGTGGAGAATATCTTTTGGAACCATGGCTTCTAGGTGAGCTGCTCTGAAGCATAGAGCGGTGCTCCGGTTTAATAACCATAGCATCATGAGAAACGTTTATAATGTTGTTGTTGTTATTCATCTTGTTTATCTGGAAGCGAGAGAAAAAAAAATAGCAAACGAACTTCAGAGATGTCACAATCACAGATCATAAATTCCAGAATTCGTGTGAAAATAAAAATTTAGGGAAATAACAAATCAGAAATTCTGAGTGAGAGAGAAAAAAATAGTTTACCTGGAAATTATGCTCATGCAAAGTGAGTGTTACTTTCCATAAATTCTACTGTCCACAATGTGCACAATGTAAATAGAGGAGAAGAAGATAGTCAAATAGTGGTGGAAATCGACGGTACTCATCAGTAGGGCTTCTCAGGGTATACCCACTACTACTCCGGCGTCACTTCGACCTAGCAATCCTTGTACAGTTTTTTCCACGGGGATGACTAGACTGTCGAGGAGTGAGGTCTTGGGTGGACCGGAAAAATGTTCCGGTCAAAACAAAGCCACGACACGGAGAGAGGGATAAATAAGTCAAAATCAGGGAGAGAGCGAGAGAGACAGTCGAATCAGTGGCGGAGGAAGATAAGACGAAAATCTGAGGCTGGGAATTTGGGAGAGGAGAGTGGGAAAATCGAGATGAAAGGGTTTGTGACTTCTCCGGGAAGGAGTTGGGGAAGATGGTGAAGAACAATATTTTTATTTAATTTTTAGTACCGACCCAAATTATTGAGAATACTCATAACTTTACAACCGCAACTTCATATTTTCTGGAATAATGAATCCACGGTTACAATAAACGGTTCCATTTGCACTGCGTTGAAAAAAACATTATAACTAATTTGATTTATATTAATATATTTTTGTGTAAATATTTATATATCTATTTTCTTAACAGTAACCCAATCTAATAAGAATACAAAGACAGTTTAACAACAATTTTATCTCTTTCGAAATAATCCACAATAAACGATTTCATTTGCATGTTAAATAATTACTATAATTCATTTTATTTCTATCATATGCAACCATTTTATTTCTATTTTTAACATTAATTCAAATGAACAAAAATGCATATTATTTCTGTTTTTAATATTGATTCAAATGAACAAAAATGTAAAGACAATTTTACAACTGTTAATTTTATCTCTTCCAAAAAAAAAAACATATATAAGATAAATTTATGATACGATGAATTGTTCCATCTGCACCACGTTGAATAAAAATTATAGTTAATTTTATTTCTATTAATATGGAGAGATGAACTTTTTTAACACTGACCCTAATTAATAAGAATAAGATCATCTAAAAAAAGAAAAGTTTATATTTCCAGAAAAATCCATAATTTTATTGATTATTATATTAATTAGAAGGTTCCATATACAATACGTTTGAAAACAGCTATAGTTAATTTTATTTCTATTAATATGTATAAATTATATTTTTGGAAATTGGGTTTTTGACTAATGTAAAAACATTAATGAACATTTTACTTTTTTGTTGTATATAAAAATAATAAACTAACAAGTTTGGGCTTCTAAGAATATGCAATTATGATGAACTTCCAATATCACATTAAAAAAAAATATTTCACTATTTATTAGGAATCTCATTTTTGAAATTGTTCTTTTAATGTAGAAACATTAATGGACATTTTGTTAACCATTGAACTAAAAATTTAATGGTTTTATAAAAAGTTCAAAGCTACTCTCTCTTTGTTAATAAATGGCATTTTGGAGTTATACACACATATTAAGAAATGATTTACTTTTAGTGCATTAAAAAAAAGAATCTTTATTTCATTATTCATTAAAAATCTTATTTTGGAAATTGTTCTTTTGACTTTTGATGTAGAAACATTAATTGAACATTTTGTTAACCATTGAACTAAAAATTTAATGGTTTTATAAAAAGTTAAAAGCTACTCTCTCTTCTCCCATAAGTGACATTTTGGAGCTATACACATATATTAAGAAATAATTTATTTTCTGTTATTTCAAAACAAAACATATCTTATCATCCTTTTCAAAACAACTAAACTAATAAAATTTCGGTCTACCTTGCACTGAAATGTGTAAATACTAAATACCAATTATTTATGAACAAATTGTTTTTTTCTAAAAAACCAGAAGAATAGGAGGAGTAACAAATTTATACCTATTCCCATAAGTAAAATTTTGATTTTATTTACTAAAAAACGGAGGAGTTTTTATGCTACATATGCATACGTCTGTCTTTTGCTTTCTTATTCTTGTGGCAAGAGACTTGTAATATGGTTTGAGCCTAATGGTTTCATTCGTGATGGCTGTGTTCGCCGAATAGCATCGTTTTCGCTAGATCTTAGTGAATAGAAAGAGTGATTCGACAACCAAAGAGCCAACAGAAAAACTTCATCATCTATAATGGTCTTGAAACGATATGTTCTTGGGTGGATCAGTCAATAACACACCTCTGTTCAGGTCAGGAAGCCCGCCAATTGAGAAGGAAGCGAAACATAAAACTTGTAAGCAGCAACATGGTTAAAGCTGACCAGGATAACAAAAAAATAAAAGTTATTTAGTGCTGAATCCGTATAACTTGTCAAATAGCCAATAGTCGAGTTCATTGATCATTGTAATATTTGTCACAGACCTTTTTGTTCACATGTCATTGTCATTAAATACAACTGTAACATTTTAAAAATCCTAGGAAACTGATACTATCAGACTCTAGCCTCCTCATCTTGCAATAGAACACTGGCACTCAGGAACGGAGGCTGTTTTGGACAATCAAATTTACAATCTTTGTTCTTCAACATGGAGACTATCTCTGACATGGACGGTCTCAGTTCTACCGAAGACTGAACACACAACAATCCGATTTGGAGAACCTTCAAGGCCTCTTCCTCTGTGAACTTCCCTTTTAATCGAGGATCCACCGATCGACTCAGAGTTTTCGCTTTAAAATGTTGCCATACCTATCCCAAAAACATCCAAGAATAATCCATTACAGAGCTGAAATATGATTGTGTGTGTGTTTTATATCATTCACTTAAAACATGGAAACAAAGCTTTACTTACAGAGTATAAAATTGAGTTAGTTCCTTGCGTGAATGCATTGTTCTTCTTCCCAGCTGCTATCTCGATAATAAGAACTCCAAATGCGTAAACGTCAGCTTTCTCTGTTAGTTGGCCTTTGATCAGATATTCCGGAGCCAAATAACCGCTACAGTTCCAAAACATAACATCAAAATCCAAAGTTTAATACTTTCTGAAACATGAAATGGTGTTAAACGATGAATTAATTCGAGAGCTCCACACTCACAGTGTTCCAGCAATTCCAGTATTGGTCTGCGTTTTGTCATTGCCCATGGAACGCACGAGTCCAAAGTCTGCTATTTTGGGACTCAGGTTCTGATCAAGGAGAATGTTGCTGGTTTTGATGTCTCTATGGATGATTTTCACTTCAGATCCTTTGTGAAGGTATTCTAGACCTTCTGATATTCCTATGATGATGTTAAACCGTTGCTTCCAGCTCAATATATGGACTGTATTCTTCACTGCAATACAAAGATCAATCAACACAACGAAGTTACTTCACAGAATGGATTTGATTGAAGACTAATCATTCAGTTTGTTTTTATCGAAGGCTTTTGCAACTTACTGAAAAGGATTTGATCGAGGCTTCTGTTATGAACATATTCATAGACAAGAAGGCTTTTTGGACCTTCGATGCTGCAACCAAGCAGCCTCACAAGGTTCTTGTGTTGAACACCGCTGATCAAATTCACTTCGTTGAAGAACTGATCCGCCCACTCCCGTGTGTTGAAGAAGAGCTTTTTCACTGCAACGACTCTGCCATCTGGAAGAATGCCTTTGTATACAGAACCAGCTCCTCCTTGGCCTAGCTTCATCGAGTCATTGAAAGACTCGGTCGCCTTCTCAAGCACCTCGTATTTGAAATTCGAACACGGTGGAATTTGAGCTAAAACAAAACCAAGATCATGAATCAATTCACACTCCCTGAAACAAGAAACCTCATATATATAAGCGCACAAGTACCTTTTCTTTTCCTTGAAACCCGTCTGTAACTGATGAAGGCACCAAGAGAAGCAAGAATGGACAACGAAATCGCAGCAATTGCTATTCTCGTAATATCTTTATCACTCAAATCTGGGAAAAACGATGACTGTAGAAAGTTTATTTGATCTGCACAAGAAAAAGAAACACTTAGACTAAACTACTCTAGTGACCTCGACGTTTCCTAGAAAATGTTCCAATACCATCGTCGTGTTCACGTTCTGCAGCATCATCAAAAAACTTGTGCGTAGAATACTTCAGGTAACACCCAGTGAAGAAAGCTCTAGCTTCATTGCCGTCACAAGCTCTCAACCTCGATCTAGCATGTACCAAACAGTCTCGGCAAGAGTCTTCATCAAGTGTTTGCCAACACTGAGACAGAGCGTACACCGCCGGGTTTCCACCGGCTCTACTCACGGAAGCTGCGCCGAATCCTCCATTTCTCACAGATTTCAGGGTTACGATGACAAAAGCCTCGTCGAGATCTCTCGAGGAGCTCCCAAGTCGTGACCCTGTATCCTCGCATTCAGCTCGATCGAATCTGGGATCGACGAATTCCTCAGAGAAATCTCGGGAGTCGAATCGTAAGAAGCAGTTATCGCTGTGGATTCGACCGAAGATTGAGTTCGATTCCGAGCTCAAACACGTTCTCTCGAGCTCGGATTTGCTCTCGTTGAAGCAGCGGCGGCAATCGGAGACGGAGAGGTCTTGGCGGCACTGTAGAAACATGTAGATGGGTGGAGATACATCGGTGAAGGAGGAATCGATCCAGAGCTTGTTCGCGGTTATGTGTTCGTCGACGAAAGACATTGCTCGGAGGAAATCAACGTGTCGTCTAGGGTTTGCAAGCTGTTGCTCTTGAGGTTGACAAACGAGGTGAGAGTTCGATGCAAAGGAAGAAGAAGAGCCCACCGTCGCTAGTAGTAGTACAAGGAATGAAACCGACGTGAGGAATTGAGCGATAGAAGCACAAAACTGCATCAGAAAAGAGGGAATCTCCGAGACGGCGGCGCGTGATCATGAATCGTTGAGAAGGACTCTTTCCATATGCAATTCTGCAATTTCTGGGTGGTATGATCGAGAATAACATCTACGGATTGCTTTCGAATGCTCAGTTTTCACTTCTTCTTCCCCACCCAATCCGACTCCGCCGTCCCTAACTCCGCAACGACGGCGGGTGGAAAGGGGTAAGATAGATAGTTTCTCGAGATAAGAGAAAACGAAGAAGAGGAAGCAATCCTTGTGTAGTTTCGATTCATCTTGAGCTTTGACAGATTGGAAATCTCTGTGTTCGTTTTCTGCTCTCGCTTATTTTGGATTCTGAGAAGTAACAGAGAGGTTCACCTGATAACCGTCTCTAATGGAGCTCTAATTTTAGTCCATAATCATAATCTGAAGCCGATTTTTTAAGTTTTCTTAACAAAAAGTTTGTTATCCTTAATCAGCCGAAACGTGTCATCGGAGAAACTGTCCCTCGCTCTATGGCTGCTGCTCTTTGGATCCAAAAACCTCAAGGATCGTTTTAAAGTCCAAAGCTGGGCCAACCCAATTTCTCTAAAGCTGGCCCAACCCAATCTTGATTTAAAACTGGTGATTTACTGATTTAATATCATTCAGTTATATTATTTCACCTATCTGAATTCAATAGAACTAGAGAAGCTAGATTTTGTTCACTCTGTAAATTGCAATGATAGTTTTTTGAAAAAGTAAGATTTGTTCCGTATAAAATTTGCAGTGATAATTAAAATTTGAAACTGAACCAACCTTTTCAAAAGCAATCAAATGTGAAACATATTGATGGTTTTCTTTTCACTTTTTTAGTAATGTTCTTATCACCCAAGGTAACAAAAATAAATAAATTAAACATGCTGAAAACATTACAATATTGTACTTTTCCTTTTCTTCAAATTTAATTGACTCGTTTATGAAAACAATTCCATGTTTTTTGGAGCTGTGAGGTGTGAAGGCCATCGTATCGGAATTATTTTATTTAGGTACCTATCAAATCGATATCACGAAAAATGCATGATTCTAAATTATATTTTCTATCGTCTGTTTCTTCTCACAAAGTCACAATTGGCTGGAAGCTTTTAAGAGTTAAGACTTGTAGAGGATCCTCCTCCACATCTTTTGAAGAAGTCTTCTATTGCGTTCCTGCCAAATTTCGTACACCGCTCCTTGCCAGGTTTGAAGAAGGGCGAACTTAGTCTGTATGTCGAGACGAGTTACATAGAGCCAATGTAACAGTTGAGACCAATTCGTAGGTACGTTTGGCTTGTTAAGGCGCAGCGTAAGCCTGCTCCATATTGAATCTCAAAAAATACACTCAAAAAACAAGTGGTCCCGAGTTTCCAATTCAGTACCACAAAGCAAACAGGTTCCCTCCGTTTCGTAACCCCAAGCAAGCAGACGGTCAAGAGTGGGGTTTCTATTGAGGAGAAAAAGCCATGTTATTGTTTGGTGACGAGGAGTCCCCGCCTTATGCCACAAAAGAGAGGCCCAGAAGACTTCCGGTTTCGCTAAGCGAATCTCATGCTACACCTGACTTAAAGAGAAGGATCTCTTAAGGGAACTATATGTTGAGACTTGAGAGTAATTAAGTGAAATGACTTTTTATAATTGTAACAAATACAAAAATGAAGAAAGCCCTTTGGTCAAAAAAAAAAACAGATACAAAAATGAGTTATTTTTCTTAAAAAACATGTTTTACAATATATCACGGTGTCCTACTTAGAATAACAAATTTTCAGACAACATGATATTTAGAAGTATAGCACCCCAAATAAATGTGTATTTTTCTTTGCAAATGAAACATTGTGGTTATCAACCTAACAAGGTGGTTGTCCCGCACCTTGTGCGGGTACAATATTTTTTAAATACAATTATTAATTAAAGATTTAAATAATATAAGTAGTACAACTTTTTATTGTATTCATCGTTTTTGTTTTCGCAAACTTCTTATTTTTGTAATCTTGAGGTGTCTTATTTTTATCTTCTCTTTCTTGTTCTTCTACGTAATATTCTTCATTTGTTTTGGAATTTTCTTCACATTCCATTATTTCTTCTTTCCTTTCTTTTTCCTCATGTTCGACTTTTCTTTTTCTTTTCTAAATTTTTCATCTTCTTTTTCACTGTTTTCTTTTCTTTTACTTATGTATCTATTATGTCTTGTTTGTGTCTTGCATATCACCTACCAATTCATTTCGATAGTTAAAATTTTCAATATTTTTGAAATAGATTCTATCTTTATATAGTTGAGGTCTTTTAAAAATTTATTAGTTTTGTTATCTTTCAATTCTGGATTTTCTTTAGTTGTTTTAGTTTTTTTTTCTATTTGTGAATGTAATTTTGAAAGTAGATATAAATTTCAAATAAATGATTTTTTTATTATGAAATTCTTCTGTAATAATTCAAGTTTTTTTAAAATACACCAAAAACTAAACCCTACCCCATCAATATAAACCCTACACCCTAAACCCAAACCCACAGTGTAACACCACCCCCTAAATAACCCAAACCCCACATTGTAACACCACTACCAAATAACAACCCCCTCCCCCCCAATCCGCACACCTAAACCCACATTTTACAAAATCTTTTTAGATAAGTTTATTCAAATTAGGGTTTCATAAGATTTAAGTTGAAAATAAAAACGAAAGATGTACATACCACTAATTTTTGTCAATGCATTTTTTTTGAGTTGGTACCATAGTTGATTTCTTTGACTCAATTAGCTAACAAACCTGGAATTTACTGTTATAAAGGTAAAAGAAGTAGAAGTTAGATGCGATTCTTTGAATAAAATTTCCAGAAAATAACGAATAATCAGTTAAACATTAGATCTAATACAACTAAGATCTAGCAATAACTATAAACCTACATGACAAAAGATGAAATATGGAATCGAAGAATTTAGAACACGAAAAAGAAGAAACGAAATTCTGTTTATTTTGCTTGTTAAATAGGACTAAGTCGGTTGTAAAATCTAGAGTTTTTTTAAAATACCTAATTATTTGATTTCTTCCAGAAAAGTGGTGCGGTAATATGATAGTTAGGATATTTATTTAAGTGATAAATATAAATCGAGGAAAAAAAAAGGATAATTATCAATATTTAATAAGGAAATTAATAAGGAAATAATGAACTTTTATATAAAAAACGAAATTGTGAAATAATTAAAAAAGGAAATTCAGAAGATTTAATAATAGAAATTAATAAGGAAATAATTAACTTTTATATAAAAAACGAAATTGTGAAATAATTGAAAAAGGAAATGCAAAAGATTTAATAATAGATTTTCCTTAAGGGCATCTTGGTAATTCCGCGGCTGAGAGGTAACGTGGTGGCGCCATTCACGAAAATTGATTTGCAAATACTAATATGATTTATGTACATAAACGACGCTATATAAAAACTAAAAAGAGGCAAATCGGTAAAGAGATTATTTCTATTTTTGAAAGGGATTTTTAAGGCTGCACTCAATTTAGGGATCCATAGTATCCGTTTTCTGTATAATGTATACTGCATGGTTCTAATTAATTTGAAAGCAAATCATGTGATATGTTGTCTTAGTGTTCTCGCAATTGGTTAAATTGAGACAAAAAAAGGATCCACCCCAGAATACTTTGTCCATATTTTATTTTCTTTTTAAGATTTTGTCCAAAAGCAAATGAGATTCACAAATCACAGAATGGTCCACTAAACAGAATGCAATTATCTACAAAGAAAGTCAATTTAATAAAGGAGACCCAACTTAAAACAATGATAATAATTAAATTTGTCCCTTTTGTCGCTAAAGCAAAGATAATATAAACTGAGCCACTAGTTTAAACTCTAAAGTCATCGTGACATTTTTAGAATTTCCGATTTAGTAGATTTTTTTTTTTTTTTTTTGTCTACAGCCTTCCTAACTCGGTACGGGGAGCGTAACCGGTGGAACTGAGTTTACAGGTTTTAGATCTAGTAGAGTAATAATACAATAGTAAGTTTTTCTGTAATGAAAAATGATTAAAAGTAGATAATCAGTGTTAATATATAAAGATAATCGATGATTCAACCAACAATACCGATTTATATTGAACAATGTCTTACGACTTACGAGTCTTTTTAGCAATGGAGGGCAAATTACTAAAAGAAGAAGGAAAGTTCCAAGTCACGAGAGGAGTGGTCGCTGTCGGATTGAAAGAAACAGACCAAACAAAGATCTGGAAATCTTAAAAAAAAGATTCGGTGCCCAAAGATTTTGACCTTGGAGACACAAAAATACTATTAACATTTTCTCTCTGACAGACTGACAGTTCCAACACACAACATCACACTTGACCCAATACAAGATTTTGTTTCCTCTTCAAAGATCTCACCAGCAAAATCCGATCTTCCCGAATCTCTATCTTTACTTAAACCCCACCTCTCTTTTATTTATGTCACCTAACCTAACTTTTCCTTCCCTTCTTCTTCGTCTTCGTCGTCCACCACCATCACATCACATTGATTTCTGAGTTTTTCCTTCTCTTTAATCCAAAGCTTCTTCTTTATTTTCGTTCGAACCAAACTTCTTCAGTCTTTTCTGAGTTCTACAATGGCGGTCGGTGAGGTAATGAGGATGGAGATTCCCGCTGGTGGAGATTTGACAGTTACTTCGCCGGAATTACATGTTCTTGCCGTCGACGATAGTATCGTGGACCGTAAAGTCATCGAAAGGCTGCTAAGAATCTCTGCTTGTAAAGGTAAATGTGCCAGAATCTCTCTCGCTCTGTTTTGTGTGTTTTGTTCTCTTTGCCTAATTAATATTTTGGTTTCTGTGTTTTCAGTGACGACTGTAGAAAGTGGGACTAGAGCTTTGCAGTATCTTGGCTTAGATGGAGACAAAGGAGCTTCTCATCTTAAGGTAATTATGAAAAAAATACTTGTTTTTTTGTTATCTAAAATCTGTTTGGTTACTGAGAAATCCTGTAATTAAGGAAAGAAAGAGAGACATTTGCAACTTCTTGCTCTTGCTTCTTGTTGTTATGAGTCTCACTGTTTCAGAAAAAGGAAAAAAAAACTAGTCCTTTTTATATATGAATTTGTTTGTTTCGGTGGTTAGATCTGGTTTATGTTGAAGTGGTTTATAAACAATTCTGTGATCTTTCTTACAACAGGATTTGAAGGTGAATTTGATAGTGACGGATTACTCAATGCCAGGACTAACAGGATATGATCTTCTCAAGAAGCTTAAGGTAATAACAATCATAGATTTTTATTATATTTCTATTAATCTGAGAAAGTATAACGCTCACACAAATTCGATTTGTATGTGCAGGAATCTTCTGCATTCAGAGAAATACCAGTTGTGATTATGTCATCTGAGAACATCTTACCTCGAATAGAACAGTAAGTGGTTCTGTAACGTGTAACAATACAAATTAGATCATATTTTCATCTACACTGTGATCTAAACTACGTGGCTTATCTTCTTATTTACAGATGTCTAAAGGAAGGAGCAGAGGATTTTCTCTTAAAACCGGTGAAACTAGCAGACGTCAAGCGAATCAAACAGCTTATAATGAGAAATGAAGCAGAGGAATGCAAAACCTTGAGCCATTCCAACAAGAGAAAGCTTGCACAAGACATTGATACAACATCACCATCATCATCATCATCGAGTCATGATGATTCTTCTCTCAAGGACTTTCCATCTTCAAAACGGATAAAATCAGAATCTGAAAACCTTTCTTCTCTCCTTTGATATATATAGAGCCAAGATCTTAGCTAACATCTTCTGTTAATATTCATCGTCTACGTTTTTGTTCATTCATTTTTGTTTTGGGGTTAATACGAAGACAGTGTTTGAGAAAGTCATCAAACTACTCATGTTTTTAATATATGGATCTAAGTCTTAAAGCTAGTTCAATCGAATGAAAGGTTGAGCAAGTTCCATAATGTTGTGAATAACTTGACATTAATGGTTACAATGTTGCAATCATGACAAAGGCTTATCAAACATATATAATGTGATCAGACAAAGATACAAAACCTACGCTATTGTGTGTTTTGAGTTGCTAGAGATTTCAATTGATTCCGAGAGCGTTTCCTAGCGTTCATAAGCTCCATCAGTGATGGCAGTGGCCGGGGCACAGGTGCATGCATTGATCTGTACAGCTTTCTCAAATCCCCACTAAGATCTTTGCAAGTCTCCTTTGAAGAAACAGAAGCCAACCTTCCACAAGACTCCTTATCCACTGTTTCTTCTATGGTATCATCTTGTAAAGACTCAACTACTACTTCCTCAACATTCAAGATTTCTAAATCCGGCGAGGCTTTGGTGTATACACATTGAGTGTGTATGGCTTTTCTCTCAGATACATGAGAACTTAACCTTGCTCTCCCAAACAGAGTCACAGGAAGATTTTTCTCAGGGGACAAACTCAGAATCTGCTTCTTTACGCTAGAGGATTCGATAACAGGTTCCATCTTGGAACTTGTAGAATCCAGAGCAATCCCTTCACTCATGAGACAGCAACTAAGAGTTACCGTTTGAGTATCAGTCGAAGCAACCGGAGAAACATCCATGTCAATATCTAAAAGTTTCCAAAAAGGATCACCAGGAGAAAACCGACTGATAAAACAGGTCTTCTTCACATAGTTCAATTCCATTGCTCTACAAGAAGGAACTGTTGACACAACCCATTTCGGAGCAAGAATCTGCATCCCCGATTCCAGCTCTTCTTTGGACGAATGCATTGAGTAACAAACATGCCAAATCCCAAACTCGTCTCTCACAGCTTCACTAAACCTAACTTTCCTCTGCTTCTGAATCTGGCTTCCACTTTGAGAACAATCTTCATCGCCATCGTCACAAACATACCACTGCGCTGAAGGACGGATGATAAGAGGCTCACTCTGAAGCTTCGATCTCGCTTCAGCAAGCTTTGCACTTGCTCTCTCGTACAGTTTAGGGAACCCACTGAATATCTGAAACCGAGAAGAAGGATCTTCAGAGACGATTTCAGGGACTATAACCATCAACGACCTGAAAAACTCCAAGTTTGTAGCTTTATCCACATAAATCTTGGAGCCAAACGTTTTGAAAACTTCTAGCAGAACGTCCTCTTGCCCCAACATATCACAAGCAAGATATACAACCGGTGCTTCCGGGTGGTTCCATATGCAATTGATTATCTGATTCATGAGCAAGAAAATGAAGAAACTTACACACAGAATCTCGATGGTACTACTCTGATGCAGCTATATTTACCTGTCTAATCGCTGAGTGCTTAGTTGGGAACTTCAGAGAGGATTTTCCGAATGTGCAATCCAAGAAAATGTAATCGAGAGAGCAATTTGGTCTTCCCAAATATTTCTCAGGCAAGCTCTGAAGGCAATCACGAGTAAGCCTACAATCACCAGTGTGAAGTATGTTACCGAAACTGCCCTCAAACAAGAACATGACGGCTCCTGGAGTTTTTGAAATTCGTTAACAATCGAAATCAAAAATCTACAAAAGTTTTAGCAAATGAAATTTACCAGGGCAATGATTCGCATCGAAAGCAGTGACCTTGAATTCTCCATCTGGATCGTCAACGATCACTGATTGCCCGATTTCAATCCTCACGAAGAAAGACTCGTCAAGGTGAGGCTGGCGTTGGAGGAGAAGAGAGATGGTGAGGGGAGAAGAGTAAATCGGGAAGACGATGTTGGAAGGGGAAATCCCGACGGTGTGGTCTTTGTGAGCATGAGTCAGGAAATGATGTCGCTTCCTTCTCTTCGTCGTCGTGTACGGTCCAAAAGTGTCGACGGAAAATGGTAAACCTCTTGGCATCTCTATCGACATCTTCTTCTTCTTCTCCTCTTCGACGCCGTCGAATTACTCTTAACGGCGACGGAGGTAGTCAATAATTTAAGGTTTCTGTTTCGCCGATGATTAAAATGACGGCGGATTTGGTTGATTCTTAGGGTTTGTGATCTCCGATTGATTTACAGTGAAAATGGTTCGGATGATAAAAAATAAACTTTTGCGAGGGAATTGTTTCCCTCCGAGCCTTTTCTACAGTAATTTTGTCTTTTTACGGAAACCGTTAAATCATAATTATGTCCTAACGTGATAAAACAAACAAAAAATTCATCGAAAATAAATGATACTCCAGGACCAGGTTATCATTATTCTTTTTCTTTTTGGTGAATTGATAATACCTTATTCTGATTGTATGTTTTATTTTTCGAAATTTCTAGGTTAAATTTTTTTAAAGTACAACAAACGTAAACTGTAACATATTGCTTTTATAAAGTCAAAATTAATGGTATATTGAGGTGAAAATATAACACTTTTCTTTTGTAATACTTTTAAGGTTTTTCTCTCAAAAACTACTATTCAAACCATTTGAAAATGGCTTGGATCATTTTAATATGATTCGATTATAAAACAAAAACTAATGTTTATTGAAAAAATCAATAGAATCAATCACATGAATACAAAAAGCCTTCGAAGCTCATACAATCTACCATAGTACTCAAAACATCTAAATCAAACAAGCCAAAAAAAATACATCAAACAAAGTATTTTGATCAAGAAAGCCAAATGAATATACAAGAAGTGTGTTAACATGTTTAGTGTTTATTAGTGGTTTTGTGATACTTGTCCTTGACCCAACGGAAACCGATGGCAGAGCCAGTCTTGAGCTTCATAAAACCAGAAGAAGCTAAGGTTTTAGTCTTGTCTAACCCTTGTCCCAGTTTCTCCTTGTACTTAGCCGTGTTGGAGTTCGACGCAGCTCCACCTCCACCGCTTCTGACGACGGCGCCGCCTCCGGTTCGGCCTCCTTTGGCAGAGTCGCCGCTATTGTCCCACTGGTCAGCCCACGATGCTCCGCTCATTATATCCTCTTAAAAATATTTGGATCAGAAATGAATGTGTTTTTGTATTTAATCAAAACTTATGCAAATTGATTGTAAGATTGTTATGATCTCTCGTTTCCTCTGTTGTGTTTTATATATACAATTGTACATGTTCCATACTTTAAAAGACGCGTCTCTGTGGTCAAACCTTGTGTTCGTAAACGAATATTACTTCTTCTGATTTGCTTCTTCTTCAATTTTTTATCTTTAACCTTTTGAAGAGTCAATAATCTTCTGGAACCTTCTCTGGAAAAACACACGGAGTTAAACATTATTCTCTAACGTGATAAGAATCCCTCGTGGAAGAATACTAGTAATAAACATTATTCCAAACCGTCTGAGGAAACTTCTTCAAATTCGCCGAGGCATGACCCTCAATATTTTTTGACTTTTATACATCCTGAAGCCGAGAAAGACTTTTCTTTACAAAAAGGTTCTAGAGCAAAAGGAATCCTAATTTCACCAAGAAGAAACTGGAATTGAGGAGATGAGAATGAAAAAGTGGATAATGGAAATTGCTCTGTTTTTCCGTTCTTGGAGAATCAAAGCCGGGGCTTAGTCCAGTTGCGACGACTATGTCTATGTGTTCATATTTCTGTTTATACACACTTGGTTCACTTTGGAGTTTGGGGTACTTTTTACCTTAAGCTGCAAGGCAATTACCCTTAGTCTCGGCTGTCGCTTTCCCACACATATATATATATAACTTGTGTAAAACAAAGGCTGGCAAATGCGAGAAGGAAACTAAATCAGGGACCAAAATTAGCTTTTCCATTAGTTTATAAACTGACAATGTGAATACAAGCTGCTAATTTCTCTAATCAACCAATTTTTTTTCCAAGATGGAATAGATGCAGTTGATGATAGGACCTTCAATGATTACTTGAGATTCAAGGCACATCATCACACTGGCTCTGCTGCAACAAGTTCTTCTCTGAGAATGGTAAAAGCTGTTCCAACAAAGATACAACAAATAAAAAGGTCAGAATCTTGAGTATTTATAAACTGTCACAGCAAAGAAGAAACCAAAACTTCTCCAGAATCAAACAAATGGATATTTTACTTATTTTAGGTTTACTAACCTGACGAGCGACCTGTGCTACACGTCGACTATCACGAGCTGATTCATTGTTGAAGGAATCCAAGTAAGCGTTGTCTTTCTCTCCAGTCTTTTGTCTCCTGTTCCTGCTCTCATCATCTTGCGAAGAGAAACTTCCTCCTTCAGGACTCCTCTCGCCGCTTGCATCATTCTCACGCTTCCTCTTCACTGTGAACTTGATAAACTGTTCCTCAGAAAGCGACACAGATGCAGTAGAAAGCTCCATATCATTCACTTTCTCTTCCTCCTTCCTTGCTTCTGTTTTGGATGATGTCAACGATTCCACTTCAGGACAATCTTCATTGGCGATGTTCCTTTCAAACGCCTCAGCTTCTCTGCGTCTACTTAGTATGGAAGGAAGAGTATGTTGACAAGGATCTTTATTCTCTTTATAAGAACACCGGCTGATACTGACATCTCTGACACTCAGATGCGGTTTGATCCCATTAGCCACTACAACTGATCTTCCGTGGTTACTAAAGTCCTCACGCACTAAAGAAACTGCTTCATCTGGCTTGTTTTGCTCCTCGTTGATAAGATTCATTTGATGACCATTAGCCAGTTTCTCGAGGAGATAACGAGACTCTCGCAGCTCCATCCTTAGCTCTCCGACTATATCTTCAGCTTCTCCAAGCTGAGCTTCAAGCTCCTCAATCTTTTGCTGCTTCTTCAAGGATTCCATTTCTGCTTCCTTTACCTTTATAACCACATATAATTTATTATGAAATAGAACTGAAGAAGAAACATACAGCTGTCACTGTGAAGTCCATCCTCAAGAAATAGGGCTACAGTCTCAAGTTAAACCATAAATTACTATTCAAGCTCACACTAGCTGCGTTTCCTCTCAACAATAGAAACTTCTCAATTTTTGGTAGATTCAGAAGTTACTGCTAAACTACAGGTTTTTGTGTTTCTCACTACAATGACCATTGATGAATAAAAAGGAACGGCATTTTGAGCTACTGGAGATTTTAGGGAATGTGAATTCTATATAAATCAGAAATGATATAATCAATTGAGCTGAGGTACATAAGAATTAAATAATCAAAACCAATGCCAAAGCATAAAACTTTGAAACAACTTAGATGATTAAGTTTAAGAATCCACAAGAAACAAAACGACATTGTAATTAACTAACCTTGGAATCATACATCTGTTTAAGCCTAAGGCACGTACGGAGAGCCTCATCTCTAACCGCCACGAGCTCGTGCTGATACCCACGCGTTTTTCTCTCTGAGATAATCACACGCGCCGCCGCTTCCTTGGCCGTGTTCAGTATTGTATCGGCGTAAGCCTTCTTCAAAGCGGTTAATTTCTGCTACCCGAATATACCAAAAAAAAAAGACGAAATCTTTATCGCAAACCCAGATATGAAATAAAAACGAGACAAAACCCACATCCGAAACACTAATCCAGATCAGAAAATGGAACAGTAAACGAAATCAGAGACAGTAATCTGTTTCAATAGAGAAAGAAACAGAGAAGAAAAGTTTATCATTTTTGTTCAATTCGGAATGTGAAGTCGAAAACGGCGGAGATTTAGGGATTAAAAAATGGAACTTTTACCTCTGGATCGGTCATTAGGGCTGAGAATGCGGTTACGGAGAGGCGATTTTTTTTCTCCGACCGAGGTCGCGAAGAAGAAAAAGAAGGAAGCAGAAAAAAAAAAAAAAAGGTGGTTTGGTTTTTTTTTTGTTTTCCCCTTTTGCCTGAAGAAATCTGTCTGTTAGGAACGGAAATGGGCTCGTAATTACTTTCTTACCCCTGACTTATTTCATCCTTAATCTTCGCAAAATGTAAAACGACGGTGCAGTTTCCCGGTTTTCCTGAGTTTTATTTTTTTACTAAAAAACCAGAAATATTTTTACTTTATAATGTAATTTTATTATAAAGTATTTATCAAAAAAAATCATAGCATCGATATGGTTGATTTTGGAGCTGAAATTGTCATTTCTAACTTAGTTTACACGTTCGCACAAAAAAAAAACTTAGTTTACACAAATTACTTATTTATCACATGTGAATTAGTTTTACTAACTTATTCTATTGTTTTCTTCTTTTGATCGATTCTAAAAGTGTTTAGATTCGCTTTTACAAAAGTTTGAACAATTTCACCTGGAAAACCCACATCTTACTTAGCTTGTGTTCTCCAAACGCTTGTTAAAATATAATAGCACTTCTGGTTAGATGGTCTCAAGAGGTCAAGCTCATCAGCACCAATGATTATCCAAATCCTTTAATCATCATTCTGGCCTAGCAACTCACTCTTGCTTTTACATACTTGATAATTATAGGTACTTTAACGGACAATACATCCACGACTTAGAGTTATTTATGTTTGAAATTTCTATCTACGCTAATATCATCTCGTTCACACGGATTAGGAACAAGTAAAACTAACACGGTTAACTTATCCTAAAGTTTGGTATGTGTCGATCTTGTCTTGTTGTTGCTCTGTCAGTGTGAGTGTGGAACAGTCTATTTTGTATTTTCTTATGTTAATGTGGTGCTCTCTCCGACTCAAGGTTACAAATACCATAAAAAGGCTTGGGCTTGTCAAGTGAAAAGTGGAACATCATTCCCTTTAATCTTTTGAATCCTGTTTTAACAAATATTAGTTGCTCTCTCAACGTCATGATCATCCGCGCACGGCTCTTCTTAATTCTGAATTAGGAAACTCACAAACTCGTCAAAATTGGCTAAAGCGAAAACTAAAAGGAGAAAAGTCACCTTTTTATTGGCTTTAAACAATTCCTTTACGATCAACTTTGTGTGCAACCAAGAAAAGTTAATGGTGACTTTCATCCTGACCAATATATGTGCTTTTCCTTTATTTTTCTTTTTCACGAAAAAATGTTTGATTAATAACTTTGAGATTTATTTATCTTTGTTAACATGCATGCTGTTGAACTTGAAGCCTTGAACCCTTAAGCCCCGTGTTTAAACTTGAATGGGATGATCATGACACCAGGGGCGGATCTAGAGAATAATTTCATAAGGGGCAGAAGTACTAATTACCCCTATAAAAATAAAATATCAACAGGGGCATAATAAAATTCCTTTACAAAATTGCACTAATTTATAAAATCCATGGTGGGCAGCTGCCCCTCCTACTTGTGAAGTAGATTCGCCCCTGCATGACACCACGTTTTAAAAGTAAAAGTTTTAATACTACTTTTTTAGTTGAATATTTCTTACTCAATAAGTATGCCAGTCTTTGTTTTTCTTAAACCGTGTTACACATTCTATACCAAGTAAAACGAAGATGTGAAGTCAGTTTTACGTATCAATAATTCTCATTATCACTGAAAAATGTTAAGAAATTTGGTTTATATTAAAGAAAAAAAAAAGAATATAAAAGCAACTGCTCAACATCATATGACTTATGAGTACAATAATTAATTCTTAATTAAATTTATAATTTATACAATTAATAAAAAGTCAGCAACTATTCAGCATAACCATTGTCCTAAATTACATAAGTTCAATTCCTTCATCACTTCATATGAAGAATGTGATTAAACTATTGTTTATGTAATATTTTTTATCTATAAGATAATGTTTAGAGATTTAACTTAAAAAAAAAACTGTTTAAATTAGTATACGTGGTTTTAATCGGTGACTAGTTTGAACTTTGCATAGTGGTGTGAATCGATAATTATAGTTTGTACTAAGAATACATATCTTCACCATTACATATATATTTTCTTTAAAAGACAACTTGTAAAGGAATTGATGGGCATGACAATATAAAAAAATGAAAAAGAAGAGGATTGAATAGATGAGGATATCATGTGCGCCCCATTGGCCCCATGTCTCATCAAATATTTTGATGCCACAATTTGGAATATTCTTTTCATTAGTTTATCAATCATTTAATCTTAACCAGAAGTAAATTGTCGCCAAAAGATCTCAACACATTCAACGAGGACAATGTCTAAACTCTATAGGGATTGGAGGCTTCAATTAGGTAGAACCGTAGAAGTAGAGCACGAGGATGAAATAAAGACGAAGTATTCTTCTAATGAGTTTTTCAAGTTAACTCTTTTTTGTTTGCAAGTTAACTTCAAAAGGAAATGGCTTTCTATAAAGGTAACTCAGGGTTGGATGTAATTGGGAATCGCAGATAGTTGACCAGATTCGTTTAATACTTTACATTAATTATCAAAGATTACTATAAAATGCATTTTTTGAGGTTTTAACCCGATCGCTGTGATATTCCTATATGTATGTGTTGGATGATTGATGAAATAAGGTAAAAGCGAAATGTTGGCAAACAAATATATTTACAAAAGATATATAGTTGTTCAAAAACAGTATAAATTGTTTTTGTCCTAAACATTTCCACATTGTAAAACACATTTATACAGTTTTATGAACTACCATTCAAAATCATAATTCGTCACTAACACATAAATTATGCGCATAATGGCATAAGTCCTTTACCAACTTTTCTCATTTCTATATTTAGTTGTTCAGAAAAAAAAGTTTATCACTAGAAAACACCATTTTTTTATGTGAGAGAGACGTCGAGACACATTCATAATTTTTTTCTTTCTCTCGTCTGATATATCAAACATTTAATTTAATCAAAGAAAAAAGGGCACTTTCAATTAAAATGACTAAACCAATTAATACAGAGAGAGACATTATCAGAATATATCCAAAATAAAGTAAATAAATAAATCCAAAGCAAAATGGATAATATAGAGAGACATGCAGGTCACACAGGAAACGAGTGACACTCAAATAACAAACGGACACGTGTCGTATAACCCTATCTACACACCATAACAGTGTAGTTTGTTTTTTAAATAAGCCACGTGGCTTTCCTTGTGTATATAAAAATAAGCAGAAGAAGTAGCTCAGATCCACTCACACCTCGTCTAATCCTCATTTGTACGGTTCTAAAGAGATTGAAAAGTGGTAAAATAAAACCAAAACCGACGCAAGGGCAATTTTGGAAAATCACTTTATGGCCGCCGTTAGCAGCTCGTCGGAGACCGGAGGCGGCAGCGCCACCGGAAAGAGAGAGATCATGCTGTTCGGATTCAGAGTTGTGGTTGATCCGATGAGGAAGTGTGTGAGTTTGAACAATCTGTCTGATTACGAGAAGTCTTCGCCGGAGGACGAGACGATGATCCCTAAGATCGGAAATGGAGATGTAGAAGATAAGAACGAAGCCGATGTGATGATGATAGCTCCCGCCGGTTACGCCTCCGCCAATGAAGCTGTCCAGATTTCGTCGTCTTCTCGCGAGAGGAAACGAGGTACTTACTCTTTTCTTAATCTTAATCTTAATCTGATCATATCGAATCTGATGAAAGCCTGAGATTTTCAATAGCAATCTTGCCTAGAACGCCTCCAATTTGTGATTGAATCTATGCATGTTGATTGTCTTTGAGAAAACTTGGCTGGACTAATCTGGGTTTTGAGCTATGGATTCGTCTCTATTGGCTGATTTTTGATTTTGTGTGAACAAAATCAGGAATTCCATGGACGGAGAATGAGCACAAGAGGTTCTTGCTTGGATTGCAGAAAGTAGGGAAAGGAGATTGGAAAGGAATATCGAAGAACTTTGTCAAGAGCAGGACGCCTACTCAAGTAGCTAGTCACGCTCAGAAATACTTCCTCCGGCGATCCAACCTTAATCGTCGCCGGAGAAGATCTAGCCTTTTCGACATCACTACCGAGACGGTAAAAATCTCTAAAGCTATTGATTTGATTTCTCCCTTTACTGATTTCCTTCCTTCTTTTCACATTTCCTTGTGATTTCTGCTCTAGAGAAAATTCTCTAAAGTTTCCCTTTTTATAGCAATTTGTTCTCTAGAGTCTATCTGAGTACATGAGAAAGAAGTCAAGTTGTTTTTTTTAGTATTTCCTCTTTAGAACATTAAGACAAAGTAAAGCAATATGGAGAAGTGTGATCATGATTTTTGTCAAATTGGGAATATATTGTTCAAGCTGTGCTAGAAAGTTGGTAGATTCAAGAATTGAGATATTATGTATAACAATTATGCCTGATTTGGTTTTTATCAGGTCACAGAAATGCCCATGGAGCAAGATCAGGCTCAGGACAACTCATCACTACCTGAGACTAACATCAGAGTTGCAATGCGGGCAAGAACTGAGAACAGACCACAACAGACCTCAGATCTTGTCAACGTGGTACCAGTGACCTTCCAAGCAAATCCTGGATTCAATCTAAACGCGGATGCTGCAATTCCTGCTCAGCTTTCTCTCGACCTTTCTCTGTCCTCCTCATTTGATCTTAACGAGCAATCATCCAACTCAAGATATTCAGGTTTCGGTATGATGCCAAGCTTCAGTGATGGAGATAGCAATAGTAGCATCATCAGAGTTGCTTAGATCTTAAAAAAGCCAAGGTGAAAGCTGCTTCTTTCTTTGTTTCTCTGTTGTATTAGTACATATTAAGTTTAAACAGAAGGCACAGAAAAGATTTATGGTCAGTCTTGTTTTTTGATATTTCGTTAGGCCTTACTTTTGTTAAACTTTTATGTATTTTATCTTGAAAAAATAATCAGGGGAAAAAATGAGAACAATAACAGAAGAAGGGCTTTAGAGATGGACGAACTTGTGTTTAGTGTTCTTCATCATCTTTGTTTTTGTTTTTGTTTGTTTGTAAAACACTGCTCTCTGTGTGTGTTTTTTGTTTTGTGGTATGTATTGTAAGACGTGATTCTCATGTGGCCCATCTCAATCAACGGTTGGTGATTTGTGGAGTTTTTAGGCTTTTCTTTTATCTTATCTTTTTGGGGGATAAGCTAAAATGTATGTATGTGCTTCGTCGAATATTTTCTTATCATATTACCTTTAATGCCATAATAATGTTGCCAATTTCATGAGCCACTTTGACTTTTTGTTTTCTTATAGATGATAATTAGGTGTAAGTATAGTCAAGTCTATTAGCGATCAAACATCATGACCCCATTAATGGAGATTTCTCTCACAAATCCAAAATAAGAGAACACAAATGCTTATTTGTTTCTTAGAAAACAACACTAAATTTGTCTGTTTTCCTTATCTACTACGATTATCCGTTATTTCAGGTATTTTTAGTCTTCAACCTCAATTTAAATAATTTTTTTTCATTCCAATAATAGAAAGACTAAATAACAAAGGTCATAACCTCTGTTTTTTCTTTTCTTCTGCTGTCAACATTTTCAATCTTCATGTAACCTTTTTAGATCATTTCCTCAAATTCTTGCTCCTGTTAATATTCTCTGTGTTTGCTTTATTTTTCTGCAATCACAATAAAATGTCAAACCGTTCCTTCAAGAATTTCATAGAAGAAGAACTTGGAACATTCCCACACTTCTTAATCTACGCTGTTCTTGAATGGATCCTCATCATCATCCTCTTCATCGACGGCTTCCTAGCATTCTTCTCCAACCAAATCGCTAAGTTCTTCGACCTTAGAACCCCTTGTCTTCTCTGCACTAGAATCGACCATGTTCTTGTCAGAAGAAACCCTGACTTCTACTACAACGACTCCATCTGCGACTCTCACAAGAAGAACGTCTCTTCTCTCGCTTACTGTCACGTTCACAAGAAACTCTCTGAGATCAAACGAATGTGCGAAGGGTGTCTCCTCTCTTTCGCCACAGAGAAAGAATCAGACGTTGACACTTACAAATCTCTTATAGGAATCTTGCATAAGGATCTTGAGCTTCTCATCGACGACGAACGTGAGCTTCAGCTAGCGTTTCCGGTCACGGGCTCCAAGAAAGAGGAAGGATTTTATCAGAATGATCAGAGAAGTAACATTAGCAACGAGAGGTTTCAAGAACAGCAACGTTGTTCTTGCTGTGGGGAGCTGTTGAAGTTGAAAACAGAGAAACCGAAGAACAACTTCTTTGCTGGTCCTAGTCCTTCTCCTAGAGTTTCATTCAACCAAAGAACAATGGATTTGTCTCAGTTCAGATACTCAGAGATCCCTGAGGATGAAGACTCTATCAACACGAAAGCAGCATTAGGGGAAATGGCTGATGATAGAACGCCGAGTTTTGTGAAAGGAGGGAACAACAGATTCTTCGGGATTCCTCTTTCTGATTCTGCTCAGAACAGTCCTCGTTGGTCTGTTAGATCAATGAAGAAGTCTGTGGTTGATCAGAATGGTTCGGAGAGCGAAGTCTTGGATGGAGATTCGATACTTCATCATCTCAACAGACAGGTTAGGTTGGATCGGAAGTCGTTAATGGATTTGTATATGGAGTTAGATGAAGAGAGGAGTGCTTCAGCTGTTGCGGCGAACAACGCGATGGCTATGATCACGAGGCTACAAGCAGAGAAGGCTGCTGTTCAGATGGAGGCATTGCAGTATCAGAGAATGATGGATGAGCAAGCGGAATATGATCAAGAAGCTTTGCAGTCTATGAATGGTTTGTTGGTTAAGAGAGAAGATGATATGAAAGAGCTTGAAGCTGAGATTGAAGTTTATAGGTTGAGATTTGGGTTGTTGAGAGAAGAAGAAGATGCAGAAGAAGAGTTTCTTGATGAAGAAGGCATTGATGAAACTAAACCGGTCTCGGATTTGCCTGTTTGTTCTTCAAATCATGATTTAGCAGAGGAGTCTAAAGCCAACAATGGTGTGATCCTAGAGGAAGAAAAAGGTAAGCGATTTGATTAGTTATGTGTTTCTTTGAGAATCTTGATTTTGAAAACTGTCTAAATCTTTTCTTGCTTTTGTTAACAGAAAATGGAAGCAGAAAAGATAAGTTAGTGAAAGAGATTTCAGAGATTACAGAGAGACTAAATGCAATTGAATCAAAAGGAGAATTGCTGCAGCAAATTTCAGATGTTTTAGATGTTAGTGAAGGAGAAGCAATTCTGTTACAGATATCTCAGAATCTGCAGATGCTTCGTAGTTTCATCGAAATGCCATCAGAATCATGAATGTTAGTTACACTTATTTCTTCTGTCGTTAGAAGAAATTAATACAACATCCTTGTATCAAATCTGTATGTAACTTGATACTGAAACTTTTTTTTATTACAGAACAAACAAATCTTTTTTTTCTGCCTTGTCTCTTTTACATGAAACTCAATCTAGAAACTTTTTACTCAGAACTTTGGTGGAATCTTTCTTTGTTTTTGACAGTTTGAAACTAAAACCCTTTACGCCAAGTAATTTCTGAAAATCCCATTTCAACAAACGCATAGAGACTTGACCCAATCAAAAAAAGATTATTTAAACCTATTTAGATTCTTACCAACTAATTCGATTAGGGAAAATATACGTGACAAGATCACCAATGATTTTCAATTAAATACTAAAACATTTTTCTAGAATTATCTTGACTAATTAGCTTAAGTCTTGAAGTCAGTATGTATGCCATGATGTATCATATGACTAAGTAAGAACACTTCTCTGATTAACAAATGACAGCGACAGTTTAGCTATTAACTTTGAAATGTTCTTCAGATTTCTTGTCTTTTCGATTGCTTCTTACGACAAACTCAATTAAAAATCTTTAGAAAACATAGTAAATGTGTAAAACAGACCATATCAAAGTTGAACTATTTACTAATTAAACATTTATTTCATGTCATTTTCTTTATCTATAATGTTTTCATAGATTTAAAAAGAGAACAAGTCAAAGGAAACTTATCTATAGACCACTATAAATGTACAAAACAGAGGATGCTCTGTTTCATCATTTTCAATAGCCATGGCTACTCTCAAAATCTCTTCTTCTCTTTTCATCTCTTTCCTTCTAACACTCTGTCTCTTAGCAATCCCATCTCTCTCATCAGATTCCGATCCTCTACAAGACTTCTGCGTCGGAGATCTCAAATCTTCTCCTTCCATCAATGGCTTCCCATGCAAATCAGGCGTCTCTTCTTCTGACTTCTTCTTCTCCCTAGGCGGTCCGTTAAACACCTCAAACCCTAACGGCGTAACTGTTTCCCCCGCCAACGTCTTGACGTTTCCGGGCCTAAACACTCTAGGACTCTCCATGAACAACGTCGAGTTCGCTCCAGGCGGTGTGAATCCGCCTCACTCGCACCCGCGTGCGAGCGAAGCAGGGATCGTGATCGAAGGCTCGGTTTATGTCGGGTTCTTGACAACGAACAACACTTTGTTCTCCAAAGTTATCACTGCCGGAGAGATGTTTGTTGTCCCAAGAGGATTGGTTCATTTCCAATGGAACGTTGGTCAAGTGAAAGCGCGTTTGATAACCGCTTTTAACAGTCAGCTTCCAGGAGCGGCTGTGCTGCCTAGTACTCTGTTTGGATCGTTCCCTGAGATCCCAAACGCGGTTTTAACCAAAACGTTTAGGACTGATGATAAGACTGTGAACAACCTCAAGTCCAAGTTTGCTGCTTGAAAATCTTTTAGTTTCTGTGTTTCTAAAATGATTTTTGTTTCTCAGTTTTGTTTATGGTCAATAATCGTATAGTTTGTGTGGATTTATTGGTATGCAATTTTGGAAACTTAAAATTAATAAGATTTATCTATCTCTAATAAGTTGTCTAGTTCTTGGGGATTATTGTTGATTATCTGAAGCTAAAACTCTTCAGGACAAGTAGTCATGTAATCATGTTCTCTTAATTGAATCATTTGTGAATAAGTCTCTCTTAGCAACTACAGAGACATAAAATAAAAATGGTATTCAATGATATCATGAATTGACTCTTATCAACTAATTACATTATCACAGCTTCTTACATATGTCAACTGATGGTATTCAATTATTCACTCAAATTAATTTTTAGACATTAGATTAAGTCAAGCTGCATCCAATATTTTAAGCTAAACAAACAAAGATGGTGTGTATAGATTTAACAGTGAACAATCTCAAATCCAAGTTTTCTATTTGATTTGTGTTTATGGTCTTCTCAATTAATTATGTAACAATAATCGAAAAATTGAAGATTTATAAGAAGCAATTCTTTCTCTTTATTAGACTGTTTCTTTATTTAGTAGTTTGAGGAGAAGAAGAAAGATGAACTAATATTGAAACGGCTGTTCAAAATAGCTGGGATATCCCAAGAACAGCTCTTTTTCTTTAGCTATAATAGATTCAACGAACCCATTGCTCGAAGATTCTTCTTCGATCTGAGAAGCTACAGTTGATGTATTAGCCATTGTAGCTGCAGCTGCTGCCTCAGAGAACTCGTTACCGAACATGTTGTCTAGTTCTTGATCAGGATGATTCTGTTGGTTTTCATGGAAGTTTTCTTGGTCAAGAAGAAAGTCAGACCAAGTGAAGTTAACCTCTGAAATCTCCTGAGCTATGGTAGAACAAGTTGAAGAGAACAGTGGAGGAGAAGAGTTAGAAGAAGACGAAGAGGCATACATAAATGTAGACTCGGGCTTGACTTGGTTCGATGACTCGGTCATAAGCTTGATCGCTTGTAAGTGAAACATGAGATCTCCAGAATCATCATGTTGTTGTTGTTGTTGCTGTTGAGAATCTTCGTTGTAGGAATGATTACGTCCAGCAAGAGATCCGGTTTGGTTCAAGGGATTAGGGTTTATGTTTCCACCACCATTGATGTTGCCGTATTCAGCAAGTATATGAGAAAAGGGACGGTGAGTGACATGATCTATCCCCATTTGAGACAGTTTCTTCTTTAGCTTTGAGTTCCAAATCATCTTAACCTCTTCTTCTGTCTTTCCGGGTAACGATTGCGCAATAAGAGGCCATCTAAATCCACCCAAAAGCAAAAAATCATAAGGATCTGCGAAATCTCAAAGAATCTACAGAAACCATTTCGATTCATTTGTGATGTAATAATGTACACAACCTGCTTCCCATTGCCGCGTGCATCTTGATGATCAGATCTTCTTCTTCAGGAGTGAAGCTCTCATGCTTGGTTCCTGAATTATCAGTCTTTCTCACTCTGCAACTCTTTCCACATCTCCTAAGTCCTATTAATGTTCAAAGACATACAGAGAGAGATATATCAAATTAACATCATATGATTAAAAGAAAGAGAGAAATGTTTTAAAATGATTTTGTAACCTATTTTTTTAGGAATTGGTCCGTTTTTGGACGCAGATGCAAACGCAAACTTCTGGGGGGTGTTTTCTTCCTCTGTCCAAGGGTTCTTTGATTTTGAAGAGCAAGATCTCACCATTTTCCTCTAAAGAATCAAAATTATAAAGGAAGGTATTAGTATTTGTGAATTATATTTAAAGCTTTTCTTAACAAAGATGTAAGAATGAGGAATGTAATAATACAAAGGGGGTGTTGTGAAGAAGGAAGGGATTAGGCGAAATGGGTTTGGAGGTCTAAGAAGCGTGTGTGGCAAGAAAGGCATGAATATATGTTTTCATCTTTCTTAAATTACAAATGCATGATTCTTTAATTATATCTATATAAGTATTATTCCCATTTTCTTTATCTTGACACATCTTGCTTCCAAGAGAAAAATATTTTCTATTAAAATTTAGAACTTTGAATGAAATTGGCTATCGATTTCCAAAAGACAACGGACCCTCTTTTAATGATCGACATTTGTAGGCTTTTAAGTATTAGTTTCTTCTAGTGCAATAAGGAGACAAATTCTTGAATTTTCCCTGATAACAGTCACAACTCACAAGTTTGTGCAGTCACACACATTATAAAACCGTCTAACTTAGTTCAAACTAAGTGATATATATCTCACAATATGACATGGGACATGGTCTTATGATTCGTTTTATCAAAAATTCAAAAAGAGACGTTGAACATGGTCTTATGATTAATACAAAGAGTTAGAGAAAATTAATTGTACATTAATAATAAAACCATAACATAAAACAGCTCTTAGGAATCTCTGGTTCACCCTCTTCATTGTTTCTTCTTTTTCAGGGTAAGAAAAAAATGACTAACCTAATCTACACATGCCTCTTCTTAGGCCTCTGCAACATTCTCCTCCTCACTTATCAGCCAAATTTGCCTGAATTAACTTAAAAACAACAAGGCAGATATGCTTGAATAAAGAAAAAGCCAATAAAGCATCTCTTACCGTTTCAACTTTTTCTTTGGAAGGGTCTTTTGCCAGAAACAACTCAGTGAAATTCTTTGCTTATCATACATTGGTGATTGCCCAGAGGAAGCTTTAAGAAGGTGGACAACAGAGATCTCTCACTCTATGTCTTGCTTATGAATTGTCTGTCTTATCATCATCCTTCATTACTGTACTTGGACCATCATCAAAACCAGATACAGGAGCAAGCTCGTTCAGGTCGAGGTAACGCCTTTTGCCTACTACACCCTCGATTTCTTCTTGGTCTGTGCCGTTTGATTTGTTCAGCTGATTGTTCTCTTCACCATTTGCCATCTCTGCATTGCTGTTATTGAACTCTCTGGGCTCTTCTTCTACTTCTTCTTCACCAGACTTTGTTTCTGGGTCATTTGCAGCTTCTTCAGAGTCCTGACTTCCCATTGTGAAATCCCCGTTCCCTGAATCATCAGAATGTTCTTCATCTGGCTCATCTGGCTCAACCAATCGCTTACGTTTTGCCGATCCTGTTGCTTCTTTGTCTGATTCTGAGAACTCATATTGTTGATAATCGACTCTTGTAGCTCTTTTACTGCGTCTCAGGCCTGGCCGGAAGTCATTTGACCTCGATCTTTTCTTAGTTTCCCTCCGTGGCATTTTCTTAACCCTCCGGGGTGCATCACTATCTTCTTCGCTAGCACTTGGAGAATCTTCTTCTTCTTCTTCCTCTTCCTCCTCCTCGTACTCAGCATTGTCTTCATCCCATTTGTACTCTTCATCATCTCCCTTCTCTTCCTCTCCCTCAGAACCACTAGAAAACTTCTTCTGTTTACGCTTCCTCAGATATTCTTCATCGTACACTGCTTCCCCAACAATGTCATCATCGCTTTCATATGCTACATCATTGTCTGACACAGTTTCAACATAGTCTGTAGCTGAATACCGCTGGGGCCGTTGCCTGCGCCTGTTACTGTCACAACATTATACTAGTTAGTTTTTGAATTTACGTTTTTCTTAAGTCCTTGAGGAGAAATTTTAAGGGGAAAAGAAAAATACACTGGGTCTTGCCTTCTGTCCATGGATTCATCTCTCTGCTCATCGAAATCATCATAATCAGCAAAATCAGAAGATCTTCCGGATGCTGTATCGTTAACAGGCTCCGTAGGGTGGGTTGAACTGGTCGGTCTGCCATTCGCAAGAGCGTCCAATCTGGCTGATTCTCTTCTGTGGAGAGGAGGTTCAGGTGATGGATGTTTCTTCCTGAGATAGTATAACCAAAACAAGCGGAATGTAAGAGGCAATATTAAATAGTTTTAACAGTGTTACAGGAAACCACAGCAGAGATGATTCAATGAAACACTCAGACGTACTTTGTTGTCTTGATAGCTTCATTTATCGACCTATCATAATCATCTGCAATAACATTAAACGTTAGTTAAACTCTTCAGCCCAGCAGAAATCAAGCTGGATATCATATCAGGAAAAAATGCAGAACAAAAAGAAACACAGGGCATGAATTTCCAACAAGGTCATAGAACCTTACCAAAAGTGTATGTAACTGGCTTCCTATCACGGAGAGAACGGCCACCACCAAGACCGTCAACAACCATGTAGTTATCAAGAAGAAGAGCCTGCCTATGTTGCTTTTTCAGCAATTTTTCTTTCCTCTGAAAGCGAAGGAAAAAGATTCAATTATAAAAGGATGGAATTTGATAAGAACTATTCCGCCACAAACATGCAGTCAGGAGTAGAGTTCTATTCTTCTGTAACCAAGATGAAAACAAAAACAAAGGAGAAAAGCAGAGAGCAAACTGGAACCTTGTGTTCTTTTTCTATCTCAGGAAGCATATCTCTCATTAACTTCTTCCCTAGAGAAACTTCAACTCTACTACTACTTGAAAGAAGTTTTTCCTGCAAAAACAAAGAGACACATCATCTCAATCAGCAAGCACCAATTGACAGTCAAAATGGACAAAGTTTCAGTCTGCAACAAAAGCATCGACAGAATAGCATATAGGATATCCACTTCACGAAGAAGGTATTAAAGCATTGAAACGATATTGCCCCAGAAAAGACATCCTTTAAAAAAGATATTACTATCTCATTATGTACCTATATTGGAATTGACTCAACTTGTACATGAGCCCGTTAAGCCAGTTCTTAGCACTGCTATAACTTTTAACTAGATTCCCTCACAATCACCAAAGAGATCAATGATATTTACAAGCATTCAAAAGGTATCCATCATTCTTTGAATAATAATCTTTGGGAAGAAAGTTACATCCATCTCCTGAAAATAACTTATGCATCACAATATCACATACATTTTCTCATCATATAGAGTATAATTCCCATGTTTGGCATTTGTGAAATTCCCTCAGTAAAGAAGATTAATATTTGAGTGCATGGATAAACCTAGCTTGAACGCTGTCTAACTAACCCTCACTATCACATCAGAAGCAAGCTACCATATTTCACTGATTAACTACAGACTCAGTAGACAGACAGTCATATAGAAGTACCCTAAGCTATTCAAAATTATTGACCATAGTAGAGACTTACAGAAACGTCTTGGAATTCATCAAAATTAGTGGCAACAGTTTCCCATTGGTATGTTACGTTAGGAAGGATCCTGGAACCCTTTGTTTTGACCTTCACCGCCTCTGCTTTCCTTATTTCCCGATACAAACGGTGACCAATTAAGGGATCATCCTCATACCTGAAATCAGAAAGAAGAAAAAACAGGTGTTATCAGAAACATGCATACAACGGAGTCCTATTTAGGTCTATTTTATTTGCTACAGACCAAAAATTAACTCCATGCGAATCACCCCCAACGCGATCTTTGCGAAAAACTGAAAGGTGAACACCAGTTTTGAGAGAGTTGTCAATGTATCCCCTGATATCGTCTTGCTGTAGAAATTCACAAAACTGTTAGTGTTAAAACGAAATTCTTTTCAAGTCAATCATTAGCATCGCACCAGAGCTTAATAATGAACATCATAAAGTGTAAACAGTTATACAGCAATATAAAACTGCAAACATAATGAAAATTCATTTTCAGCTGCAATACTTGCACAAATAACAAGCACTATTAATCGAGAATTGGATAATGGATCAACATAGAGCGGCAACATTACCTCAACACGAATATCACATAAAGCTTTCAAAATCAACACACGAGTGGCTGGATCAAGAGATTTGTACATTTCAATCTCCCGCCTAAAAGATTAAAACGAGAAGCTCATTAATGCTTTCTAATAAGGTTACCATTAGATTCAGAAGATTATAACAACTCACCCTTGCGAGGCAACTATAGGAAGGTCCCCATCTGCGACCTAAACAAGTAGGTAAAGCTCATGTCAGAACATGATATTATACAAAAGTACTTCACATATCAGGTCAAATTTGTTTAGCAATCATTACCCAATGCCAGGAATCTCTTATTTTTCTGCACAAGACAGTGACCCAGGTGTCACGTGTGAGGGCCATTCGAGTTACAGGAGGAATACCCTGCAAATTGAAAAGAAAAATTTGGTGAACTGCTCACACTGAAAACGTTAAACAATTTGGACATCCATAGTAGTGAAGATTTGATTCCAAACCATGATTGATTAGCATCCACACAAACCAAAAGTTATAGAAGGAGTAAAAAGGCAACAAACAGAATTCATAATCAGGGAACTCTAAAAATCATTCCAAGAAAGCATTTCGGAGAAATTAGTGACATGTACTGGGCAGTACAAGCCTATAAGCTAGCCAAAAACATTTAACAAACAGAATCTTTTCACTAGGAAAGTTGAAGTGTCTAATATCATTCAATACGGCAACAAAAGGTTATCACTAGGTACTACACAAATGAGAGCCAACACTAGGTTAGGAGCACCCAAAAGTACATTGAAGTTAATACTGACATAAGAATTAGGAAACGCTCAATAATACACTAAAAGAGTAGAAAAGAACACATCAATGGATTAGCCAAAGCACCAACCTTTAGCAGAGGAATATGAATATCACTTAAAGTGTCGTTTGGAGTCAGCAGAGCCGTTTCAAACTCCTCAGCTGAAAACTCCGCATTGATTTTCAGAAGCGGTCTAAAAACCTTCACCATCACAAAAAAAAGGAGAACTTGGGAGTGAGTGAGCTACTCAAATGGGAGCTAAGAAAACAAAGAAATCTCAGAATTGGAGAGAAGAGAGAGCTCACATGCATGAAATTGAGTACGGAAGCAAGTTCCCACATGGAACGAAGATTCCACCGCGGCATCTGCGAAGCTTCCGGTGGCGGAACAAGGGAAGTAACGATTTTACTGGAACTTCCTCCAGCACTTCCTCCAGCGCATTGCTGCGGATTCTCATCTCCGTCATCCTCATCCTCTTCCTCTTGATCGTCCACATCGTCCTCTTCCTCCACCTCTTCTCTCCGTCGATGCTCACGTTTATACTCTTTCTTAGGCAGCTTGAGCTTCCTCTCCGCCGCTTGTTGCTCTTGAAGCCGCTGCTGCGCCCTAACAGTGCAAGCGCGTGAAGGCCGCGTCCTCCTGAGCGTCGTCGGCTCCTCCGGGGGAATTTTCGGAGAGGCATCGTCGGCGGGAGAGTGGTGGTTCCCGGAGTCATTGCGGTCGAGGGAAGATCCGTCGGGGACGATATCGGAGGAAGATCCCATGAAGAGGATGGAGATCAAAGAGAGAGAGAGAGAGAGATTGAATTTAGGGTTTTTATTAAAAGCGGAGTTTAATTGAGATTTTTTAGGGTGAGAGAATGAAAACCCTTGGCATTGTGGTGAAATCCAAATCGGTTAAACAGGAGAAAGACGAAGAGAAAGCAAGAGGAAGGTCCAAAGGCGTCGACTGGGTGTTGGGTGAAAACGCTGTCGTTTTTGGGTTCTCTAGAGAAGAAGGAGAAGAAAATCTGAGGAAAAAGATGGTAAAGTAAATTGTCAAATAGGTCTCTGAATGATCAGGAAACGACTCCGAGAAGTGAAAACACGAGGAGAGGAGAAATAGGGGAAAATAAGGTTAGGGCTCTCTCCATATATCCTTTTTTAATTTATTAAGCAAAACAAATACAAAAAGCCCTTTTATGGATTTTGGAATTAAGATATGGCTTTATGTAATTTTATGAAAATAGTTGTTTTCACAATTCGAATTATGAAAAAAACATTTTTCGAGTTTTATTTTTTTTTTACTTTTGAGTGATACTAAAACTACTTTATTAATAAAACAAATAACTAGATAAAGTATATGATTAACATGACAATTTAAGTAAGTAAGCCATTAAAGGACATATGATTAACATGTAAAGCAAAGGATCTAAGTCTATAACATTAAAGACGATCATTAATGATCTTTCTGATTATAAGGTCCAATTGGAGATAAAGTAAGTTCTTCATTTATGTCACCCAACTAAACTCCATAGACTTGTATAAGCCTATGAAACGAACACAAACTACCAACTATATACACCAAACTTATGAAAAAACTTCTAAAAAAAAAAACAAAGAACCTCATACAAATGTGTTTATGTACTTGTACAAAATTTTACTGTACAATTATTAGTTTAGTTACAATAACAAATTATAACATATCACATGTGAATTACAAACACAAATGGCAATGGGCAACATTGTGTACCTCATGATATTCACAAGTCACGACTCTTGTCGACGACGATGCAACCTCTTCTCGAAGATCTGTCGATACAAAGTCTTTGTCCGAAAAACCAGCACACATGAGACAAGAAATCCGAGGAAAGCCACAAATGCAATAATCACATAGGACAGTCTAAAACAATGAGGACCATAACACGTGTTACCTTCTCCAACAACAGTCCGATCATAGATATAACCAATCAATCTCACAGAGAAGATATACGAACCCATAGGACTAGCAATCGAAATGGTATTATAGATTGTGCCCATATGCTTAACCCCAAACAGCTCCGACGTAACCGTTGGCATCAACGACCATTGCGAACCGTAACAAATCCCTACGATAACCGAACCGGCGTAAAGATTTCCTTTGAAACCAGAAGCTATGATCAGATGGCCAATGGTCATAATGCCAAGAGTCGTAGCCATTAGCAACGGACGTGGCCATCCTTTTCTGTGTAACAACGCATCCGAGGCATAACCGGCTCCAAACCGGCCAATGAAGTTCCATATACTCCACAAAGACAACAACGTGTTGATCTCGACGCTAGAGTACCGAAGAGACTCTCCTATCTGTCTCATGTTGTTTATCGTCGAGATCCCCGATCCCATTCCACATACCATCGCAAGAAACAGCAACCAGAAGTCTACTTTACGCATAGCTTGTAACACATTCAAGCTTTTATCTTCAATCAGCAACAAGCTTGTTGCTTCAAGAAGAGAATAAACAGGTTTCTCGATGTTGTCTCGGTGTGCTCTAATCGCAATTAACATAGGCGAGGTAAGCAGAACGAGTAGAATCGCAAGTGTAAAGGTATTAGCCCATGATGGTAAACCAAAAGTGCTCTTGAGAATGATAATGATCATAAGGTAAGCTGCAATGCCAAGAGATAAAGTTGATAAACCATCTAAATGCTTCTTCTCATCGACTGTGCTTGTCTCATATATCCTCACCAGAGGCATCACCAAAACAGAGAGCAGTGAAGGTACTATTGCAAGTAGAAGTATAAAAGTCTTTGGATCTCCAGGGCATATTGTTTCATACAGTTGTATCAACATCGCTCCACTTAAACCAACAAAGCCCTGCAAATATCAGAGCAAAATGCATAAGCTTAATGTTCTTCAACAAATCAAAATTTAATCAGAGAATTTTACCTTCATAATGCCAACGGCAGTACCACCATAATCGGAGAAATTCTCAAGGGAGCTCACGACGTTGGCCGTGTTGAGAAAAGTCAAAGACTGCGCAGCTATGAGCATGAACAGACACATAACCGGAACCGGCGGTTTTTTAATCAGACCGGTAACGGAAGCCCACATTAGGAAATAACCGGTGAAGCACATGATTGATCCGATCAGAATCACCACCCACGGTCCTCCTCGGCCTTCCTTTCCGTCACTACGGCGGCGGTTGAAGGTGGCTGCAGTGTATACGAGTCCAGATAAAACGCCGACGTTTCCCCCGATGTCTTTGAAGACGGAGACTGTGTCAAGGGTTGATTGGTCGTACGATTGAGTTGATTTCAAGGCCGCCGAGTAGATTCCGAAGGTGTATGAACCTCCTCCGGTGCACTGGATCCATATGCTCGCCGTCATGGCCATCCATTTCGTTCTCAAAATCTCTGTCGCCATCTTTCGCCGTCGTTTTAATTTTTAAATCCGGAGAAGAAAAACAGAGAAAATCACTTTCAAGCTTCAACCACTTGGCGCAAACTTGCGAGCACGAATTTGATTTTTTTATTTGAACGAATAAAAAAATCAATACTCTTGTCTGTTACTTCTTAGCACATCCATTATTGGGCTTGGCCCATTATAACTTCCGAAATTAGTAGCCCGTTTTTTAGGAGAGAAGTTAGAGCCACGTGGAGACTTTAGGTTCGCAATTTGGCACGCTATAACCACATGATGGCACGTGTGGGAGAGCAAAACGGAACGGGGGACATTATTAAATTCACGGCTTTGTCTAAAACAAGGGATACTAATTCATTTCATCCAATGAACGTCAGCTACTGACTCATAATCTCATATATACAAATTTTGTCACGTCAATGATTTAACTTTTCTCATCTCCAACTGTATTTAACATTTTCGTTCATGATTGTGTATATATATACTATAGAACTAATGGTGGTGAATAAATAACACTAAAACAAATGTAAATCATATTATCTATCATGTTATGCTGATAAAAAGAATCTGATGAATGTATGATATAAAACACCAAGAGACAGATATGTATGAGATAACAGTAAGAGACAAATGATGGTACAACTCAATTTTCTGCATCATCTCTCACCGTTGTGGTAAGGAAGGACCGAAGGAATTATCAAATCAAATCCGACATCTTCTTTATCAAAATTTGACAGGAAAATTACAAATGGAAAAAAAACACAAATAATAATAGTAAGACGACAAAAAAAAATGAAAATAGTAAAAGGACAAAAAGAAAAATGGCGGGTCACATGGGGACAAGTAAAAAAACAGCCACAAGCACAAGAGTGTATGATAAAAGCCTTGTTGGTTGGTTGTTCAGTTTTCTCTAACGTCTCCATCACTTCCATTATAATAAAACCTCTAAACCCCTAAAATTAATTAACAAATCCTCAATCTACAGCACACGCAGAGAGAGAGAGAGAGAAGAAAGCTTGCAGACGACGAACGACGACGACCATGATCGAGCCTTTATATTGCCTTCTCTTCTCGTCAACGCGTTTCCTTCTTCTTCTTCCCTCTTTCTCTCCCACCATCTCCTCCTCTCCCGTTCATGGTGGATGGGAGTCGGAGATCCTCTTCCTCTTCCGCCGGACAAGAACCGACGGGAGAATAAACCGCCGGATATTGCGTCCACGTCCACTTCTTCCTCCGTCTCCGTCGTGAATGCTCGTTTGTCTGATTCTCCGATTCTCTTGTTCGTTTACTTCCACAAGGCTTTCCGTGCGCAGCTGGCGGAGCTCCAGTGTCTAGCCGGTGATACTGTCCGGGAAGGTTCTGATCTAGCGGTGGAGCTCCGCCGTAAGTTTGATTTCCTGAAGCTTGTTTATAAGTACCATTCCGCAGCTGAAGATGAGGTTAGTTTCCAGATAAACTTAGCAAAATTATGCATTTCGAGTGCTAATGATTCATCTAATGACTAAAAAAAAGAAAGTAAATAGTTATTATCATTCATCTTCGATGCAAGAAATAGCAAAAACGAAAGATTAAACAATTTCAAAGCTAAGAAAGTCAACGAGTGGAACAGAGTTTATATAGAAGCAGGCAGAATCTGACACAAAAACTTGACTAGATCCGATCTGATATTCTTGTCACATTCAGTCACTTAACGTTAATGTTTGATATTATTGTTTTTTACCGGCAGGTTATATTTTCAGCGCTAGACACTCGTGTGAAAAACATTGCTTTTAATTATTCGCTTGAACATGAGACCTCAGATGATCTCTTCACTTCAATATTTCATTGGCTAAATGTTCTTGAAGAGGAAAGAGTGAACAATGCAGATGTTCTTCGTGAAGTTGTTTCATGTATAGGCACCATTCAGTCATCCATATGTCAGCATATGCTTAAAGAAGAGCGTCAGGTACTATAGGTTTTTGCTTGTCCTTTTTAGCATGTGACTTGGAAACTATTTAATTACTTCTTGCTTGTGTTTGTTTACCTTATCATGCAGGTGTTTCCTTTGTTAATTGAGAACTTCTCATGTCAAGAACAAGCATCGTTGGTATGGCAATTCATTTGCAGTGTTCCAGTGATGGTGCTTGAAGATGTTTTCCCATGGATGACATCTTTACTCTCTCCCAATGAGAAAGCTGAAGTTGAGGATTGTGTGAAACAAGTTGTCCCACAGGAACTCTCCCTGCAACTGGTAATATTCAGTTATACAAAGAGTTTTTTTTTTTTTTTTCTATTATTTCTTGCAATTTGTAACAAGAACATAAATTATTTCTGAAGGTCATAAACTCTTGGCTGATTGATGAGGATAGTCGATCTTCTTTTGCGGTGATCTTGAAAGGAGTCCAGTCTGTAGAAGTGTCTGAAAGTATGAAGATGTTACAGGCAGATTCAGATTCACCAAATGGGTTGTTTCAACGTTTTTGGCAGTGGAGTAAAATGTCCTTTTCTCTTAGTCCAGATTCAGGACACACTCTGATTCACGGTATTCAGCTTTGGCATAATGCGATTAAAAGAGACTTGTTAGACATTCAAAAAGGATTATGCCTGTTGAAATCTCCAAGCCTTTCACTGGACCTCAATGTGCTCTTGGTTCGGCTAAACTTCCTTGCTGATGTCCTAATCTTTTATAGGTAATATAATCATTTATGGAACTTGATTTTTTATTTCTTTCTTTGATTATGGTGTGTGTGTAGTTTCTTGGACTTGTCTTGTTTCATTGATCTCCTCCTTTTCTCTGAGAAACTGGTGACATACTTCATTGCAGCAATGCATTTAAGAAGTTATTTTACCCAGTGTTTGAAGAAATGGTGGATCATCAACACTCTTCCACTTCCAAGCAATTCACCATAGATGTCCATGTGGAAAACTTCAAGAGGTCTCTAGACCTTGAAACTAGAACTGGGAGTGACAATTTTGTCAAAACGCTTCAGGAGAAACTTGAATCCCTTATATTGACAGTTGCAAAGCAATTCTCTCTAGAGGAAACAGAGGTAAACTCTTTAACATTCTTGTGGACTTCTGTTTAGAACTGTTTAGCTTCTTGCTTTGTTTCCATATGACATCCAAAGTATTAACTCATTATTCTCCAGGTCTTCCCTATCATCAGCAAGAATTGCAACGTTGAAATGCAGAGGCAGCTCCTATACAGAAGCCTTCATGTCCTGCCTCTTGGGTTACTCAAATGTGTCATCATGTGGTTTTCTGCTCAGTTGGCAGAAGATGAATCTCAATCAGTTATTCACTTCTTAAGTACTTGGGAAGATTCCTTTCCCAACAAACCTTTTGCGCACCTCTTGTTGCAGTGGTTTCGCTTCGGTTATTCAGGAAAAACATCAGTTGATAGCTTCTGGGATGAGCTGTCCTTTATGTTCAAACCAAGATGTCCCTCTGAAGAGGAACACATTGAAGAAGCTTCTGGATCTTTCACTCAGCAATCACAGCTTCTGCAATTATCCAAAAACAAGCCTTCACATGCTGCTGGTTACATGAATGAGACACCTTACTCGAGTGCAATGAATCAGCAAATACTAACCTCAGGAAAGCTCAATCCTCTTCAAAAGCTTCCTGATTTCTTTAGTGACAAGAATAGTATTGGCGACCACTTAATGATGGACTTGAAACCTATCGATCTTATTTTCTTGTTCCACAAGGCAATGAAGAAGGATCTAGACTACCTTGTAAGTGGCTCAACAAGATTGGCAGGAGACTATAGCTTCCTTGGGGAGTTTCATCAGCGGTTTCATCTCATAAAGTTCTTGTATCAGATACACTCAGATGCAGAAGATGAGATTGCATTTCCAGCTCTAGAGGCAAAGGGTAAACTACAAAACATAAGTCAGTCATACAGCATTGACCACGAGCTTGAAGTCGAACACCTCGAGAAAGTATCATTCCTTTTGAATGAGATGGCAGGACTCAACTCAAAAGTAATGGACCACATGAATGTGAAGTATGAGAATTTGTGTATGAGCCTCCAAGACGTATGCAAATCCATTCATAAGCTACTGTCTGAGCATCTCCACCGTGAGGAAACCGAGCTATGGGGTTTGTTCAGAAACTGCTTCACTATTGAAGAACAGGAGAAGATCATAGCATGCATGCTTGGAAGAATAAGCGGAGAGATACTGCAGGATATGATTCCTTGGTTGATGGAGTCTCTGATCCCTGATGAACAACATGCTGTGATGTCCTTGTGGCGTCAAGCAACAAGGAAAACTATGTTTGCTGAATGGTTAAAAGAATGGTACAATAGCCATGTTATAACAGAGGAAACAGAGGAAGCAAATAAGGACCAAACTCATGAGGATACAGATCCTCTAGATATTGTCTGGAAATATCTCTTTGAAGGAGCTGGTGGTGATGAAGACAGAAGGAGCATTTGCAGCAAACCCATGGAAGGTTTAGAGACAGAGTTCATGAGTAAGCCACTTGGAGAGACTGATCCCAATAAGAAGGTTGAAGTTGGCAACAAAGATGAGATCTCAGAAAGTAAAAAAGTATGTAGAGGAGGAGCTGAGGAAATAAAGTACAACGAAGGAACTGACAATTCTGCTCAAGCTTTCCAAATGCCTCAGAAATCAAGACAATCTGGTCAAGCTAGTAAATATGAGTGCCTCTTATCAATGAGTCAGGAGGATGTGGAGGCTATAATCAGAAGAATATCTCGTGATTCTGCCTTGGACCCTCAGAAGAAATCACAGATCATACAAAACTTGTTAACGAGGTAAGCGTTGCAATCCCAATCTTTAAAGATAGTTGATTTTTTTGCCTTGAAAATCTAAATTTTGTCGTTGTTCTTTTGTTGTGACTTACACTAGGTTGTGTACTTTTTCAGCCGTTGGATTGCCACACAACAGATACATAATCTTGAACCATCCATTCTCTCAAGCAACAGGGAAGCAGTTCCTGGCCAACATCCATCTTATCGAGATCCTCACAGACTGATCTTTGGTTGCAAACATTACAAAAGAAACTGCAAGCTTCTTGCTCCTTGTTGTAACCAGCTCTTCACATGTATACGGTGTCATGATGAAGAGACCGATCACTCAGTGGATAGGTAATGGCATGTCTTGTACTTCTAGTTCCATGTAAAGAACATCACTAATTCTTGTTCCGCCTCTATAATTCTATCAAATATTTGTGCAGGAAAGAAATCACAACGATGATGTGCATGAAGTGCCTGATAATTCAGCCAATAGGTGCCAGCTGCTCAAATGCTTCATGCAGTTCGTCAATGGGAAAATATTACTGCAAGATCTGCAAACTATTTGATGATGAAAGGTAAATATACTTCTTCTTCAACACCTTTGTATGGTCGGAACAATTGATTGTTTCTGAGGATTATAAGTTTTATTTACAGGGAAATCTATCACTGCCCGTACTGCAATCTTTGCCGGGTAGGAAAAGGATTGGGCATTGACTACTTCCATTGCATGAAGTGCAATGCTTGTATGTCACGCATCTTAGCAGAGCATGTATGCAGAGAGAAGTGCTTAGAAGATAATTGTCCGATTTGCCATGAGTATATTTTTACCTCGAATTCTCCGGTGAAGGCTCTTCCATGTGGTCACGTGATGCATTCAACATGCTTTCAGGTGCTTAACTTTTAGTTTCTCAATATGTTTCTATTGCAGTTAGTAAACATATGTGTTTTCATAATGCTAAGAGTATTGGTATGTTCTGTTTCCGGCTGTAGGAGTACACATGTTCACATTACACATGTCCTATCTGCAGTAAATCACTTGGGGATATGCAGGTTTACTTTAGAATGTTAGACGCATTGCTAACAGAACAAAAGATGCCAGATGAATACGCAAACCAGACTCAGGTCCATCTCTATATCTCTGAATCTTATACATATGCAGAGCATCACTTCATTGTCTTAGTTTAACTTTAATGGTTGGGTTGGGTGCAGGTAATACTCTGTAATGACTGTGGGAGAAAAGGAAATGCTCCTTACCATTGGCTCTATCACAAATGCTCTTCTTGTGCCTCCTACAACACCAGACTTCTCTAGTTTCTTCTCCATTTTTTTTTTCCATTGTACAACAGCAAGCCTACAACATTTCTTACTTTTTGGAAGCATTGGATTTTGTGTGAAAAAAATATAGTTCTACATTATTAATAAAGCTAGGTGTTCGTTAACCTCATTCAATCTGAGATAATATTATTGCAAGAGGAAGATACAATTGAAAAGCAGAGGAAAAAAAGACTGTAGAGAAATTCCAACTCTATTCCTGAACTTAACTTATGACTTACAAGCTAAACACACTTCCTAAGATGCAGCAAATGTGAAACAAAAAACTCACAGCAAATGCATCCTCTCAACATAAGACTGACCCAACCATTTGTTGAGAGACTCTCCACACCCAACGAAACAGCCAGAGTTTCCATTCTCCGTGAAAAACGGTGAACCAAACATGTTGAGCAGTTCTTCAACTGCTTGTCTCACCATTGATGTACCAGTGACTCTACTACGTCTTCCCCAACCGGTAACTATATCAATCCGTGAAGGGCAAGATCCAGAGGCTAACATCTGCTTGCGGAACCAAGCAAGCGTCCTACACAGCGCGGTCACTGCAGTTCCCTCTGACATTACATGGAGATTGATAAGCCAGTAGCTGCTGCTTTTCTCCCTCAACGCATCAGGAAACACATTCTTTTGTGCTGCAACTTCCCAAACAGATCCGGCTTCTTCTTTTAGCCCGGACTTGTGTAGAAAGTCAACCACTGCGTCCACCAGTCCTCGCTTGCTCTCTCTGTCCTCGCTGTGCATGAGATCCAGGAAGCTGTTCACATGGTTGCGCACGTTCTGGCCATCTGGACCTGCAGATGGCATCTTGAAGAGAAACATGTGAGCCGGATGACCCGTGCTTGCCATTAGTTGGCCACAGAAACCCATGTCAAGTTTTGACCGACCATCTGTGCAGCAGCTCAAGAGTAACGTGTATGTCTGCAAAGAAGGGCGTAGACCAAGAGCCAGCATGTTTTGTAATAACTCATAAGCTTCAGCTATCTTGTTAACCCTAAGGAAGGTACTAAGAAGGGAATTGCATGTAGGAACATTAGGTAGCAAACCAGCATGAAGCATTGCCTGATACCAATGCCACGCCTTTTCCACATTACCAGCTTTTCCCCACATATCCACCAAAAGACCATAAACCGGCTCATCAGGAATCCAGTTCTTATGCTGCATCTCCGTGAAAACAGCCTCTGCTTCCTCCAGATATCCGCAGTGTCCAAGCACCTCCATCACAATGCTATACGTCACTTTGTCAGGCGCAAACCCGGCGTTCTGCAAGTCCCGGTAAAGTTTCAACGCGCTCTGGTAGTTTCTCGCTTTGGCATGCAAGTCTATCATGATGTTGTATGTGACCAAGCTAGGGGTACAGCCCTGATCAACCATCTCACAGAAGAGTTTGTGCGCAGCGGGTAAATGTCCAGCTTTTCCAAGACAGTTTATTATGACACTGTAAGTGAAAGTATCAGGAGAAAGACCTCCCGCTTGCATTCTCTGGTACATATCCATGGCAATGTCAAGAAATCCAGCTTTAGCATGAATGTCTATAAGGGTACAGTAAGTAACCCGGTCAGGTTTGCATCCAGCCTCTTGCATTTGATTGAACACATTCATAGCTTCGTTCAGGTAATTGGCTCGGCCATAGCTGTGGATAAGCCGGTTATAAGTAACTGTATTTGGCTGACATCCATCTCTAACCATCTCATCTAGGAGCTTGTTTATCTCACCAAACTGCTTAGCACGACCGAGGTTACCCACCATAGTGGTATAAGTATGCCCATCGTGCTTAAACCCAGGTTGCCTTTTTAGCCAGTAGAAGAAACCAAGAGCACTTCCGTAGTCATTCATCTGCTTAAGAACTTGGTTTGCTTGGTATGCATCCATCCTCAAACCGAGATTTTGAAGAGCCTCTTCAGCTGCAGGACCCCACCTGAATCTTCTCAAAACGCTGGAAACAGTTTCCACAACGTATCCAGAGTTACAATACTGCCTTGATGCCAGAGCAGTCCCTGAAGGCATTTTCATCATTTCGTTTGAAGATTTACTGAAACCACTTGACACAAACCTGTTCGAATCAATGTTAGGTCTGTGCAACATGGTTGTCCTCTTGCCAGATGTGTTATTCGAAGGTACTGAAACTTGCTTGAACCCTTTAACAAATCCAGCTCTTTCAGCTTCCTTAGCTCCTCCTCGGAAGCTGCTACTGGGGTTTCTCATTTTACTCACGGACGGCTCTTTTGCAGCTGATCTAGGGTAAACTTTGGCAAAGTGCTCTCTCCTTATAGCTTTCACATTGGACGGCTTTACACTTGATATAGGCCGAGTTGGATCCACCATACAGCTTTTCGGAAATCCAAACGCTTCACTTCCTCCATCAGAAGAAGGAACCTTACCATTAGCTAAATCCGATAGAAAGTTCACCGCTGCAAGACCAGCCCTGAAGATCTGATCCCCAATAGGCTCTGAAGAAGCTTCACCATCCTTCTTCTCTCCAATGACCGCTGACGCATAACTAACAGAATGTGGCTTACTCGGCAAAGCAGGAGACGAAGAAGACACATGCTGTGGCAACAGAGATGGCCGACCAAAATCATTAACCTTCTTTAGAACCACAGGTTTACTTATCTCTGCTGGTAATATACTTCCCACTACAGGAGGCTTGAGGATAGTACTGGATGGTCGTTTCTCAGTCTGTGGAGAAGCTTCCTTCTTAAGTTGTTGGCGTCTCGATACACAAGTTTCATCGTCCGTGTATATATAAGAATTGGCGTCAGCTGCACTTGATCTCGATCCATTAAGAAAGAAGGATCTTGCTGTACTTGAAAGTTTACTAATGTGGTTTGCACGTATCATTTTTCTGCAACAATCAAATGAAATTCACAGATTCAGATAGAGACTCACAGGACATGATTATCAAATGCTCAACAGCTCAAGCATACTTCAAAAAAAGACGTTTCCGAGCATATAACCAATCCAATAATAAGAAGAATACCCATTTTAGCTCTTTTCAACAAGTACAAACTTTTTCCATTACTGCAAAAACTAGCTTCGTCCCAACAAATCAAAGTCTCCATTTTTCTTGTATACTCACAAGTGAATTATTTACAAATCTCGAAATGAGTAAACTTTAGACAAAATCCATGGCTATAAGTAATTTTCTTCCTCCAATTTGAATCATTCAGCTCTAACCAAATGGTCAAAATTATGCGACCATAAGAATCCCCTCTTAGACATCTGATTCGCATTAGAATGATTACATTCGAATCTCAATAACGGTCCACAGTTTATCAATTCCAAAACACAGTAGATGTTGAGCTAAATTCTCGAGAATCGCGTTTAAACCCAGAAGAATGAAAATAAAACACCAAACCAATCTCGTGATTTTCCATCGGAAAAGAAAGTGGAAATAAACGAAACCCATAAATCTCCGTGCAGTGATTTAAGAAGAGAAGCGAAGCGAGCTAATTCCACCGGATTAAATACAGAAATAAGCTAAGATCAATAGAATTCAAAAGTCACCTGAAAAATGGCGGCGTCGGCTTCTTAAGTTATGGTTTTGGTTTCCCAGAAAAATTCTTCAGGGGAAATCGAAAACAATGGAGGCACAAGCTCGTCTTCTTCCCGTCAAAATTGAGAGAAGCGTTCTTCTACTCTCCAAGCATATTGGTGACACCACACGGGGGGTGCGAGCGAATTCAAGGTCACAGCTTTTTTTTTGCTCTCCCTTTTTATAATTCACCTAAAACTTCATATATACCCCTAATATTTCATTTGTTAACACATTAGTCTAACTCCTTTCAGAATTTCTCTCGATTCTTTATAGGATTTTTTCCCTTTATAGAAATTATTTCTCGCACTTAACTGATCACTGATCATTATCTTTAGACTTTTTTTATTTTCTTATACATTATAAAATTAGTAGTATTTTTCTGGATTCAAAAATATTAGTGTCAAATTTGTTAATTTTGAAAGTGTAATATGCTTTGTAGAATTATGAAAGAATCTACGGCTTTGGCTTAAATAAAGCAGGACACGTTAAGCTACTTTTTCATACTTTCTTCTTTTATCTTTTCCCCCTTTGGCTATTTCTATTTGCAACGTAGCAGCTTTGCCCTCCGCAAGTTTCGTACGTCTTCGATGTACACGTGGCGTACATTGCCTTGAGTTTTTCCACCATCTTTCTCTTCTTTGATCCATCCTGAACCATATTCCATCTGGCAAATATTGCGGATTCATCTAACCCAAAGGATAAGACGTTCTCTGCCTTCAAGTAAGCTACTATCATCAGAAGTGCTTGCTGATTTTGCTTCTTCTCCTCCACAAGTCAAAAGCTTTCTGATCAGCATCTTTGGAATACACAATCTCCTTCTTTCCTCCTTTTCCTCTTACAAGAAACCTTTCCATAGTTTTTTCAAACTTTATCTTCATCTTTCGAACTTTTTTTTCAATTTGGCTTTGACTAGCGTTAGAGCTGAGAAACTTCTTTTGAAAATTGTAAAACGTAGCCTTTCTCTTGAAAAGGTCTTATTTTTTTCTCAGAGGTGAAATCAAGAATGCCTTGCAGCCAGGCTATTTCTTCACTCAAGATCCTCTGAAACAGAATCTGTTTTTTCTTCTCATCATCTTCCTCTTTTCCATGCTTTTTTTCAACATGCATAGTCTTCTTCTTTGATGGTTCCCCAGCCTCTGATTTCTTGAAAGGACATTCGGCCATTTAAAAAGATTTAGAGAGAGAAAGAGGTTAAGCAGAAATTAAGAGAGTCAAGAGAGAGAGCCAGAGAGTGAACAAAGATTTGATTCTTTTTCTCTTGTGTCTATTATACTTTGAGCTAATTGTTGTTTCAAGTAATTTGTCAAGTGATTAATAGGGAACAAATGAATAAATATAAATCGAACGGTTAATATTGAACTTTGAGAACTAAGATTACTTTTAACGGCTAAGATTACTCTTCTGAAACAATCTTAGCCGTTAAAAGTAATCTCAGTTCTCAAAGTTCAATATTAGTTGTTCGATTTATATTTATTCATTTATTTTCTATTAATCACTTGACAAATTACTTGAAACAACAATCAGCTCAAAGCATAATAGAAAAAGAATCAAATCTTCGTTATGCTCTCTGCTTATCCTTTCTCTTTCTAAATCTTTCTTAATGGCTAAACATCCTTTCAAGAAATCAGAGGCAGGGTCATCATCAAAGAATAAGAAGACTATGCATGTTGAAGAAAAGCATAGTAAAGAGGAAGATGATGAGAAGAAAAAAAAAAGATTTTGTTTAGAGGATCGTCAGTGAAGAAGAAGAAATAGCCTTGCTGCAAGGCATTTTTGACTTCACTACTGAGAAAAAAAACAAACCATTTGAAGGAAAAGGCTGTGTTTTACAATTTTGTAAATAAGTTTCTCAGTCTCAACGAATAAAAAGTTCGGAAGATGAAGACAAAGTTTGAAAAAACTGTGGAGAGGTCTCTTGCAAGAGGAAAAGGAGGAGAGAAGGAGATTGTGTATTATAAAGCTGCTGATCAGAAAGCTTTTGACTCGTGGAAACACATTTGGAGAAGCTGAAGGTGTTTGGGCTTCCAAATCAAAGAAAAAGCTTGGAGGAAAACAAGAAAACAAGAAGCAGCAAATCAGCAAGCACTTCTGATGGAGAGATGATAGTAGCTTACTTGAAGGCAGAGAATGTCTTATCCTTTGCGTTAGATGAATCCCCATGCATGCCGGATGGAATATGGTATGGAAAGATGGTGGAAAAACTGAAAAAGCTCAAGGCAATGTACACGCAGCTATGTTCGGAGAGAGCTTCATCTGTGGAATACATCATGCACGCCTTATTCAAAGAAGACAATTGGAAACGCGTTATACCTAGAATAATGAAGAAACGAGCAAACAAATCTCGTGATTTTCCATTGGAAAGAAAGTGAAAACAAACGCAATCCGTAAATCTTCGTGCAGTGATTAAGAAGAGAAATAAACGCTAATTCCATCGGATAAATGACAGAAATAAGCTAAGATCAATAGAATTCAAAAGTCACCTGAACAACGGCGGCGTCGACTTCCTAAATTATGGTTTTGGTTTCCCAGAAAAATTCTTCAGGGGAAATCGAAAAACAATGGAGACACAAGATCGTCTTCTTCCCGTCAAAATTGAGAGAAGCGTTCTTCTACTCTCCAAGCATATTGGTGACACCACACGGGGGCTGCGAGCGAATTCAAGGTCACAGCTTTTTCTGCCTCTCCCTTTTTATATTTCACCTAAACTTTTCAAATATACCCCTAATCTTTTATTAGTATTCAAATAACACCAAATAGTCTAATTCCTTTAAGAACTCTCTCGAGTCTTTATGAGTTTTTGTTTTTCCTTATTGAATTTCTTTGTCGCAGTTAACGATGATGATTTTTTCTTTTCTTATTGTTATATGGTCTTGTTTTATTTTCTTCTTATACATGATAAAATTAGTGGTACTTTCTGTGATTCAAAAATACTAGTGTCAAATTTGTCAATTTTGATAAATTAATTTGTTTTGTGGAAATTGTAACATAATCTATGGCTTTGGCTTTAAAAAAGCGGACAGACTTTTTAATATTTTCTTCTTTTACCATTTCCCCCTTTGGCTATCTCTATTTGCAACGTAGAACCTTTGCCCTCCGCAAGTTTCGTACGACTTCGTTGTACACGTGGCGTTGCTGTCATGTCTTGCTCGTGACTGACTGTCCTGTTACTTTAGTTTATCAGCGAATCGAGAGAAATGAGAACTATTACCGTGGAAACAAAAAACAAAAGATGTTACCGTGGAAACAAAAAACAAAAGATGGGTTCGTCAAACTCGCTAGGCCCATAAATACTTTATGCTTGCAAACTGGAAAGCCCACTTAAGAAATTAAGAAAATTCACGGATACAAATCAATTATCCAATTCATCATAATCAAATTTTAGGTCCTGTTAATAAGTTGCATGCAAAAAGAAAGTGATTGAAGTTTAATTTAGATAAATCGGAAAGTTGGCGTAACAACATGCAATCACAGCACTTGATGAGTTTAATTGAACCCATCATCCAAATTCCCAAACATAATCATTCTCTTTGGCAAAAAGATAAAATTTTCCCAACTATTTTTGTCACCTTTTGTTGTTGTGTCTTTAAATTTTTTTTTTTTTCTAAGCTATGCCAGCTATCACGTTGCCGACGATAAAGCATGTTCACTATTTCTTCCTTCTTGAGAAGTTTAATTAAAGAGCTATAGAAAATTGAGACATCAAGCTATTTCTGAAACTTCTAACATGAATAACCATCTACGAAAATGTCAAAACTTACCATGTAGGTTAAAAACTTCAAATTAACGATCGAATTCAACCATCTGCGAAAATAGTTGTGATTTTCTCACAATTATTATAGACGTTTTAAATAATAATAAAATATCTGATTTATATACATGCATCAACAATAAGTTTAGGTTTTAGTTTGAAATCTATCCTATCATTTTCTTAAAAAAAATACTTCATGTATGAACATATATAAAAGGATTAGGTTTTTAGGGGAGTGCATGCCGAATAGGGTAATAGTTTCAGTGTAAGTTGTTTTAGTAGGTTCATGCATAGATACGAGGGTGAAAGGTCTAGTTGGGCAATAAATTGAAACCGCTTCTTTCTGACCTACCAAATATTAATTTGATCGAACCGTTGACAACATAATCATATAAAATCATTTCCAAGAAAACCATATACCAGCTTGCTTTAAAATATGTTAACGTTTGCATACTTAATCCACCTCACATGTTCCTAAAACACAAAGCCACTTAAGCTCCAATTGACATATAACCACATACATTTTCATTTCACTGTTAAAAAATAATTTCTTGACCATATTAGTATAAGCAACATCAAAGAACTTTTTCTTAAAGAACGTAAAATTACCCAAATGTAATTTGGAATCTCTGGTGCTTTGTGAAAATTATATACATTGAAATCTATTAGTTTAAGTATTTTTAAGAAAATATTTTTATATACATATGTATGTATATTTATCTTATGGTATCCTAGCGTAATGTAAATCTCCTTTTTTCGACGCCGTAATGTAAATCCAACCCAAAAAAATAATGAAAACGAGTATGGGATTGACAACTGAACTCGTATAGAAGTCAGGATAGAAAGACTTGTGGTTTCTGAGCCAGAAAAAAATAGTCTTCCATTGATTTTTAATTGTTTTTTATGTTGACTTCCATTATTGGAATCTTCGATCCTCCTCCTTTTTTTTTTGCTTTTTTTTTTTGTGTGTGTGTGTATTGTATGTGTATGTATGTACATCACAATAAATATTTTTCATAATTGACGAAGTCTACACCTAATTTCTTCTTATCTTTTCTTTCGTCGGCAATTTCTTCCTAGCTATAATTTAGAAGACAAGAATCCATAGGTTATAAATCATAGCTTATAATTATGAGGAGATATGTATCCAAATGTGTTTACTTTTGCAAGTGAGGAATGTTCTTACTTCTTAATTAGATCATTACGGAGTTTGATCCATCATCCAATAAAATTGGATACATATAATAAGCTCAGAATCATTCATTTAATTTGCTTTCACCGTATCCACCACGCTGGTCAACAACTTCAATAAAACACTCTTCCTCTTAACTTCAATCTCATCCCTTCATTTCGCCACCTTCAATCATACCAACGGCTAACATTTGCCTCATCCTTCAATTGTTTAATGTTTGGCCATATTGTATTTTTGTTGTTGTTGATATCTCGCTATATAGGAGTATTTTTTTAACAAATATAAATATTATTTGTGGACTTAAATTTAGATGACACAATCTCATTATAGTACAAAACTACAAACCATTATACTACATGTTATAACAAGTGTGTTATTTATTTATATACATATGAAACTTTGTTTTCTTTTTCTTTTTGCTTAATCTATGTGAAAGTATTAATTAGTTGAAATTTCGAATGTCTTCTGACAACAAATTTATTTGGAAAATCTTAGTTATAAATTTTCAAACTTTGTAAATCTAAAGGTTTTTTTTCTAGTCATTGTTGTCGGTCTATTTGCATCTTGATAAATTTCATTAGCGTTTAATATACTGAAAACTATACTATGATCAATAATTTGCTATACCGATTAAAAGATGTTTCTTTTACGGTCTTACCATTAAAATGCAAGAGTAAATCCAAAGAGTTCAACCCCAAAAATAAAATAAAATCAAAGAGAACGTATAATATGAGGCAGAATCTTGGACCAAATTACATCTAGAAGAAATACAATAATTTAGTTAAAAAATTAATACAGTCTCTATTTTTTTCCGAGAAATGGTGCTATATATGGTTAGACAAAAACATCTATCAAAGGTACACGTTAATATTAAATGCACCCTTTATTATCTTATAAGAAAATCAAGTTTCCTTATATTTTATTGCATTTCCACTCTAACCAAAACTGAAAATTTCGAAAGGTCGACTTTTCTTCATCTGAACCCGCGTTTTCTCTTCCGGCGAAACGCGCAAACCCACCAATTCGCCGGGAAACTCCGCCATCGCCGGCCACCGGCCGTTGCCATAAACTTTAGAGTAAGATTTTTCTTCTACTAGCTTCTCCTTCTTCCTGATCCTCTCTCTCTGAGCTGCTGAGTTTTTTACTCGGCCATGGGTAACTGTAACGCCTGTGTGAGGCCTAAATCGGAAGACTCGAAACCGACCCAGAAGCCAAAAAAGAACAATCGCGACCGGAAATTGAACCCATTCGCCGGAGATTTCGTCAGATCCTCCCCCGCGCGGGTACGCGTTCTCAAGGATGTAATCCCTACGAGCCATCAGACTCGGATCAGCGACAAATACATCCTAGGGCGAGAATTGGGACGCGGCGAATTCGGAATCACTTACCTCTGCACTGACCGGGAAACCCAGGAAGCCCTAGCCTGCAAATCGATTTCGAAGCGGAAGCTCCGGACAGCCGTCGATGTCGAGGACGTCCGTCGCGAGGTCGCGATCATGTCCACTTTACCTGAGCACCCGAACGTAGTGAAGCTCAAGGCGAGTTACGAGGACAACGAGAACGTGCATCTGGTGATGGAGCTCTGCGAAGGCGGCGAGCTTTTCGATCGGATCGTCGCGAGAGGGCATTACACCGAGCGTGCCGCCGCAGCCGTCGCGAGAACAATCGCCGAGGTCGTGATGATGTGTCACACCAATGGAGTCATGCATCGAGATTTGAAACCTGAGAATTTCTTGTTCGCCAACAAAAAGGAGAATTCTGCTCTAAAGGCCATTGATTTCGGCTTGTCTGTGTTCTTCAAACCTGGTAACTCGAATTTCTGTGAATCCAGTTGATGATTGCAATGGTTTATCCTCTGAATCTGCTTATGTAAACTTAGCTGAAATTGGGGTGAAATTTGATGTCTTTATTTGCAGGAGATAAGTTTACAGAGATTGTAGGAAGTCCATACTATATGGCTCCTGAGGTGTTGAAGAGAGATTATGGACCAGAGGTTGATGTGTGGAGCGCTGGAGTTATCATCTACATCTTGCTCTGTGGTGTTCCTCCGTTTTGGGCTGGTTAGCTTCTTTTTTCATTTCTCCTGCTAGAGAAACTTGCTTGTGTGATTGTCATTTGTCACTTATAAGCTTATGGTTTCCATTGACAGAGACTGAGCAAGGAGTTGCTCTTGCAATCTTGAGGGGATATATTGATTTTAAGAGAGACCCTTGGCCTCAGATTTCAGAGAGCGCCAAGAGTCTTGTGAAGCAGATGTTGGATCCTGACCCGGCTAAGAGATTAACTGCTCAGCAAGTGCTAGGTGAAGTTCTTGTGTCACTGTTTTATGTAAACAGTTAAGAAGTGATTCTGACACCATGACTAACGTTTTTTTTGTTCCAACTCTCAGCTCACCCATGGGTACAGAATGCAAAGAAAGCTCCAAATGTTCCTTTAGGGGATATAGTCAGATCGAGGTTGAAGCAGTTCTCTATGATGAATAGATTCAAAAAGAAGGTTCTTCGTGTAAGTGTTTCTGCCTTTTACTTTGCAGCTGTGTTGTTTTAGACAATCTATTGCTTGGTTTCTTGCTTTCTTAAATTTTGATAATTATCGTCCGTTTGATGCTTTCAGGTAATCGCGGAGCACTTGTCTATTCAAGAGGTTGAAGTGATCAAGGACATGTTCACACTGATGGATGATGACAACGATGGTAAAATAACTTACCTGGAGCTCAAAGCAGGACTTCAGAAGGTTGGCTCACAACTTGGCGAACCAGAAATCAAAATGTTGATGGAAGTGGTAATTTTTCTCATCACCCCTTCTCATATTAAAAGATGATAACAATGTTCTTCTCTGGTAAATATAGCTGAGATCCGTATGACTTTGACGCAGGCGGATGTTGATGGGAATGGGTTTCTGGATTATGGAGAGTTTGTAGCTGTGATAATTCACTTGCAGAAGATAGAGAACGATGAACTTTTCAAACTAGCTTTTATGTTCTTTGACAAAGATGGAAGTACATTCATCGAGCTTGATGAGCTACGGGAAGCTTTAGCTGACGAGTTAGGCGAGCCAGATGTCAGTGTTCTAAACGACATCATGCGTGAAGTTGACTCAGACAAGGTACGTAAACAAATTTCTCCTTGAGGCCTAATTGTTAAGGTTGTGATGAGAGAAAAGATCAATCGTTTTGACTCTGAGTTGGACTGTTTTGTTTTTTGCAGGACGGGCGTATAAACTATGATGAGTTTGTGACGATGATGAAAGCTGGAACCGATTGGAGAAAGGCGTCGAGGCAATATTCAAGAGAGAGGTTCAAAAGCTTAAGCATTAACTTGATGAAAGATGGGTCATTGCATTTACATGACGCTCTCACTGGACAATCTGTTCCTGTTTGATTTTATTCGTTTATCATATGAAAAAACAGAGCAAGTGTGAATTCTCCGGGCTTGTTCTTAGAGGGATTGGGATTTTACAGAAGCTATGGTCCCTTACATATATAAACAATTTGGGTTGTATTTGTATGTAATGTTTTGTTCAAAGCATATCTTAATATTCCAAAATCCAAAATCCAAAGAGTCAAAGTAGAGATCTTTATTACACTGAAACCTTCTCAAACTCATCAGAAGACTTGTCCATGTCTTTGTCTCTGTCTTTGGTCACAACATCTTTGTAACGGTACCAATGCGAGACTAACAAGAAATAGGCAAAGTTTATAGTCATCATTCCAGCAACCAAGAAGTAGAAAAACTCTAATCTCCCTTTGTTTAGATCTTCCGGGAGCCAATTCCCACCGGAAGATCCCTCCGTGATATCGTGCACCGCCGATAACAAAAAGCTGCTGAGGTAACTCGCCAATCCAATCCCACAATAGTACAGAGAACCAGCGAAACTTCTCATGTTCTCTGGAAACTGTTTGTAGTAAAACTCCATTTGTCCAACTCCAGCGAGTGCGTCCGCGATACCCATTAGCACTAGCTGAGGTATCAGCCACATACCGGACATGGAAGAGATTGCGCCTTTTCTCGGTGCAAACCCTAGTGACGGTCTCGTGAGAGCTACTGTTCTTCTGTGTTTCTCTACAGTTGCAGACACCATCATGCTTGTGATGCATAGGAACATTCCTGCTCCAACTCTCTGTAGCTGTGTGATACCTCCGTCTCTGCCTGTGTACTTTCTAAGGAAAGGTACAATGACACGGTCGTAGATAGGTATGAATATCGTCATTCCAAGCATCAAGAAGACGGCATAAGATCCCGCCGGAATCTGGAAACTTCCTGAGCCGAGACGTCTATCGGATTGAAGAGACTGAAAGATTGTGTAGGTTGTTTGTTGAATGTAAGCTAGGTAGAACAAGGCTGCAGAGAGCCAAACCGGAAGCACACGGATCACACATTTCACTTCCTCCACTTGCTGCATGCTGCAGAGCTTCCATGGATCTTCCGGCGAGCCATCTATGTTCAGCTTGTCGTCTGGGGTTTGGATTGCCGCTTTGTCAAGAAACCTGCAAAAATTAAGAAAACCCTAAAACATTTTCTGACTTGTTCCACAAGAAACCAAGAGGAAAGGAGATGTTTTAGGACCTGAACTGCTCTGTATGGCTCAGCTTCGAGTTCTTGAAGTCCTTTGCAATGTAGTTGTAAAGCCCGTTAGACGATGAACCAACGAGCTTTAACCGCCTTTTCTTGATTGCGACGGCGATGACACGTGTTATGCTGTGAATGGGACTGCCACTAGCTTTAACCTTGACATAGAGATTAGAGCCAGCGAAGAAGATGATGCAGCCAATCAACATTAGTATAGCTGGGATGGCTAAACCGATGCTCCAGCTCACATTTGACTGAACATAGACGATGAGCGTTAACGACACCATTTGAGCAAACGTGAAGGTGAAGAAATACCAATTGATGAAACTCTCAATCCCTCGTTTCCCTTCTTTTGTCTTCGGATTGAATTGATCAGCACCGAACGGAAGATTGCACGGACGTATACCACCGGCTCCGATCACAAGCAAAACCATTGCTCCGGCGAGAAACATTATCTGTCCGATGGATGGCCCCTTGCACACGCTTCCTATTTCCTTAGAGCATTTAGCTGGATGCAGCTGATTAATCACAGCCGTTAGATCCATCGCCACCGAACCCTTTAAATCAAACAAAAGATTCATACTTTCAGACGTAAATAGTAAGATCAGTGAGTTTTTAAAAGTGATGAATTGGTTTTTGGTTTTACGAGGAAGCAAGCGATCATGGCGAAAGATAGGGTTTTGTAGCGGCCAAAGTAAGAGTCACAGAGGAAAGCTGCGACGATGGTGCCGAAGTTGCTTGTGCCGCCGTAGATGTTGACGACAGTCGCCGCCGTGATGCTCTTCATGTTGAAAACCGTGGTTAAATATATCACCAGATTCGATGAACTTCCAACTATCCCCATCTTTTCAAATGTCTCATTTCCTAACAAATTAGGAAGCATTAGCTACTCTGTTTATAAGAAGAATAATCAATTGGCTTCGCCCGGGTTCGAACCGGAGACCTTCAGTGTGTTAGACTGACGTGATAACCAACTACACCACGAAACCTGATTTGTTAATCAAATGTTTCCTAGCAACATAGAAGCATAGCATAAGGCTACAATAGTTTTCTAACACTTTCCATTACTACTTTCTTGTTGGTTTCAAGATTAGAGTTAAGTAAATAAAAATAAAAAAAACGAGATGGATCAGTTAGTAGTTTAGTACCAATGATGAAGGGCATAACTTTCCATCCTCTGTAGATGATCTTAGACTCATCATCATCTTCTGTAATGTTCTTCTCCTTCTTCTCAACCTCCATTGCTCTGTTTTTCTCACTCTTCTCTCTTCTGCTCTGCTCTCAATATATGTGTGTGTGTGTGCTTGTATATATTAGTGGGAAGTGTGAAGGATTTCAATATAAGAACCAAAAAGTTAACTGGACATTATAGTATTATACCATATCCAAAATAAAAGTGTTTGATTAGAAACTAAATTGACTAAAAAAGACTCGACTTTATCAAAAGGAGAGGAGGACCGGAGTTGGTATTTCCTATTTACAAATAGGAAAATGCAAAATGAGATTTGGATAATATCATTTTCTAATTGATAAATCATAAGATAGGAAATCCAGTTTTATTGGATTAGTCCAACTAAGTAAGAAGGAAACCAATCACTTTGTGAAAACAATATGTTAATAGTAATTGTCCATCAGCACTACTGGTAAACTGATTAAGTTCGATCTTTGCTAACTAGATAGAAAATAAAAACTAAAAAAATTGTTCTGGAGCCTTATTAATCATCTTTTGTTGCCATAATGATTACAAATACTTTGTCATTATTTCGTGAAAGTGGACATATACGTCATATTTGGATCACAACGTGCGTAAGTGCTTCATAGACCCCTCATTGTCTGTTTGAGAGGCTTCTCCTTTGGTCAGACATTGGACAACATATAGCCAAAACGAATATTTAAAAGAATGCATCATCATTCGTTTTACATTTATTTGCAACATAGACACCAAAACACACAATGATACAAAATTATTTCATCAAAGATATATAGTTTACTAAACAATCTCAACCCGCCATTCTTTAGTTGATTGGTTGCAAAGCTTGCTCATGTTCAAGAGACTTAGTGAACTGCAGAGAAACAGAAAACAAACTCATTTGAGATTGCATAAAGACATGGAATCTGCATTGACTTGACTGTGTTAATAATAAAAGTTTCACCTGAGAGATCTTAAGCTCAAGCTCGTTCCACTCCGAGGATGGATCACTTCCTGAAACTATTCCTGTTCCTGCATAGATCAATGCTCCAAGACCCTGGGAAACAGAAAGATAATGAGATATAGGTGCAGCGACTTAACAGTACATGAGAAGTTTGCTACACTGAGTAAAGTTGTTAATTATTAGTTTTAAAAAAGCTAACCTTTTCGACTAAAGCAGATCTTATGCCAACAGAAAATTCACTCTCTCCACCACCAAAGAATCCAACAGGTCCAGCATACATCCCTCTATCAAATGACTCTGAAAGAAAACATAAGAATATGTATCAAATCTCTGTATATATGCATACTAATCAAATCCTAACAAATATACAGTGAAATAGCTTATTCAGCAGAGAAATTCTCCTTTTTCTTTTCCTTTCTGAAAAGACGTTAGTGCTAGAAAATTAAAAGGTAGGAAGAATCAAATCATATTATACCAATTTTCTTAATCAAAAGCCTTGCTTCCTCCAGTGGACATCCACAAACAGCTGGCGTCGGATGCAAAGCAGTCAAGATGTCAAACTGAAAATAGACAAAACATATTTTGGGGTAAGAGAAACAAAATGTAGCTTTCTTCACTCAATAGCAAGATAAACTGTATGAAAATAGTAACACAAATTTGAGTTAACAGAAACTGATATCTATTTCAAGAGAGCTAGATGATCATGAGATGTCAAGTCATGAAAAAGCCCGCCATATTATTACCTCGTCATCTTCTCTCCTCAGTTGCCCTGCCAATTGAGAATATAGATGCTGTACTCTTGCAAGCTTTCTCACTGTTTTTTGAGGTTTCACAATTACTCTGTCACATATGGCCTGCAAAGCAAAAAAAAAATGAACAAGCTTTAGTATTAAAAAAATCATGGACACTAGCTACTAAGATTCTGCTAAAGAAAGATAATTAGTATATTGAAACAAGTGCTGTTATACTTGATATGCTAACTAAAGTCATGATTCTACTACACTTTCACTTGAATCAGGGAACTGCAGTTGATGAAAAAAACTTACATTTAGTTTTTCTCTTATATTCTGTCGCACAATAGAGAACTCAAGATCGTCTTTGGGACTGCAAAAAGTATTTGCAAATAATATCAGTACACATATCTGGAAGTTTCTAAACAAGGCAATCCCATAAGTGTTCAAAGCACAAAACAAAAAGAATTGACCTAGTTAATAAGTCACGCTCTATCTCCATATCAGAAACCTCTGAATGTCCTCTAGGCCTTGTGGCAGCCAAAGCCTCGCTGCAAACACCTAAATGTTTTCTATGGAAGAGTCTCTCAGGCTGCTCCAACAAAACATGTATATAATATCAGAATCAACACTTGATTTCACATCTTCTCTCAAGCAGCATTATCATAGCAACCAAACTACTTATAAAGAAGTAGACTTAAGCAACCTACCGTGTTCCCTATGAATGCTGGTGCACCTGGTGGTTGAAGACAGAACTGGTACGCGTCTTGTCCTTCACACTGTCACATTCATAATTCTAATGAGCATATGAAAAACTATAACCCCAAAAAGGTGATTAGAGTAAAGAATGTGGGAAGAAGAAAAGACACCTGCAACCGTGCTAACCAAGCAATAGGATCAATGTCCGTATCTGTAATGATTCTGCTGCTGCGTGCAAGCACAACCTAATCCCCAAAACCAAACACATCAAATCAATAAAACCCATAAATGTATAAAAGATAAGATAGATATTGTTCCTAAAGTACCTTGCTTAGTGGTGAATTTTTGTCCTTAATAATCTCCAGAGCACTCTGTACAGCAGGGTAATAGGCTCCTTTACTTGGCACATGGTTCTTGCTAACAACAGACACTTCTAGAGATTCTCTCCGTAATCTCATTATAACAGAAGATACCTGATCGAAAACATAAAACATTGTACATACATTAGTATATGAAGATCATCTAAAGACTTTGTTGCTGAATATGTCAAGTAGTTAATAATAAGTAGATTTTAAGAAATGGTTGTTAACCTGAAGCATAGTCTCCTGAAGTGCTTCAATGGCGTTTTCAAGCGTCCATGAAATATCATTGTCCCAAGCAACAGTTGCAGCCAGCATTGAGTTTCCACCAAACTCATCAAACTCCACCTTTATGTGTGTGTGTATCCACCAAAACAGAGTCATAACAATGGCTCTGAAGATTCTTGTTAACGAAAACAGATTTTCTCATACCTGAGGCACTGTAAAGTAAAACGAGCCAAACTGTTCCCATTCCACAGCGATTTTTCCGTGGGGATCAAACCGAAGTCCACCATACGCGCGAATCAGAGGAGACTTCGAAGACAGAAACCTTCAAAAAAAAACAGGGGAAAATGAATCCGATAAGCCAAGAGAAGCAAACAGCAGAAAGAATCAAACTTTATGAAGTTACCTTCGGATGGATCTCCAGTCATCGTGAGAGAAGGGATCCAAGTCACGGAAAAACACAGCAGACCCGATTCCGGCAACACTGACCGGATTAGGATCAGATGATTCGTTCTGACTCGCCAGGTCGTGGAGAAGATCTGGACGGCCAGTGTCACTGCGACGGGAGAAGAAACTGCGAGGAAGGATCTCATTCTGGGCATGAAGCCAATCGATTGCCCCGATTTGCTGGTCAATTGGCACCTGCAATCACCACAATCCACAAGATTAATGTTTCGAAAAAGTTTAGGGTTTTGTTTCATTTTGCCCGGGACAGAGTCGAGTCGCTTAGGTTTTGACTTTTGACTTTTTTCTTTTCTTATATTTTTACTCTTTTACTAAAATATAAAAGTTTGAATCTCCCACTACATAGGAGGAAAAAAAAATATACTAACATTTATACAAATTAAGGAATTTTAACATTTTTTTTTTATATAATAGTTCAACAATGCAGCAAAATAATTCAAACGTATTTGATCCCCTTTTATTGTCACAATAGTGTTTTGTAGTGACTCAATGATTCTGCAACCGACAGAAAGAAATCACACATACCAATGCAAGATCTCCACGTGGCGTAAGTCCACTATTCCTTCTATGATTTTTGTTTTGTTATCAGCTTCACTCAAAAATGGAGAAACTATTACGTACCTGTAACCGGACAATGCCGGAGGAGAACGGAGGCGGTTGGGATTTAAGATCAGAGACGGCTGTTGTCAGCCTCTCCGTCGCGGCCGCCGGAGACGTCACCGTCGTTAGGGTCCTTGTTTGTACCGTGCCAAGTGGCGCTTTATGATCAGCGTCACATCCATTCATGGACAGCGAACAGAGTAGAGACCTCTGTATTATTCAGAAGGTTTCCAATTATGATTTATTACGTAAAAAGACACGACAAAAGAAACGAGTTGTTGCTGAAACTGACTGAAAAAAACAAACCTGGCGAGAGACGGGAGAGGACAGTTTGGTGAATGAAGCTGGAGAGTAGCTTCGGAAGATCGAACTGGAATTGTGCTTTTTCAAGTTTGTCCCCAGAAAATAAGGTGAACACTGAAGCGACGCCATGAGAACAATAAGACGTTGATAATATTGGTTCTATGTATGGAAGACACTGAGGCTTGAAGTTGTGCGGTATACTCAGTCTCAATAAGTGAATATATAGATAGTGATCGTTTCGTAGAAAAAAAAGAGAGTAAAAGATAGCAATTTTTTAATTGGGGCCCATGAAAATTTCTCAGGAAATTAAGTATGTGTGGAGATTTCTTCTCTGTTTTAAATTTCTCGGGAAATTGCAATGGTTGGTGGTGCATGGTTCTTTTATTTTAAATAAATAGTGATGGTAATTCTCGGGAAATTGCAAGAATTTTTCAGATAGATCACTTGTAGTAGGAGAATAACGCTCGGACAACGATTCAGAACTCAGATGATGATCTTGTTTTTTTCTCTAAAAATAATCTGATTAGGCAACTTAATTAGCTGTTAATTTTTTTGAAACTGAGTATGAGAAGAACTACTTCTATTTCTCTTCTTTGTTCTAGCTAAGTACAGTTTTTTTTTAAACCCATTAACTGTATGCAAATTGTTTTGGGTTGGTACGTAAACAAACGTTTTGTTACTCTTTTTTTTGCAGCATTTTTTTTACATAATTTAACAAGTTTGTTTTCGAGTAAATTTCCCTGAAGGGCGTTAGAGTCTTCTGAGTATAGTTCTTTAACATGTAGTCAGTTTCTTTAATCTATAAAAAAAATTCAAATTATTAACTATTGAAAAATATGATAAACAATTATTCAAGCTATGATCGACGTGAAACCAGTAAAGACTGAAGACTGTAATAGACATTTTACTATCATGATTATTTATGGTTTAGTCAAGATATCATCATACGAGTATCAACTATCAACAACAAGAAGATGTGGTTTCGTACATGCCAGCTGGAATAAAACTCGAAGAGAGCAACGTGAAACATGACAATACGACAACTAACACGACAGTCTCGTGTTTCCACTCATTGACGTTACTCGATCAATAATCACAAGCAAATAAACATCAATGATCAACTCAGAGGACCATCCTTGTGTTTTTGTCCTTTGTTACGTTCGATCTTCCAAATTCAAGTTCATATAAGGAATATAATTAAAAAAACCACCTTTACCAAAAATAAGTAAACCAAATAAACGTACGTAAGATATCACTTCACCTAATTGAGGTGCCAATTGTTTGGTTGAGATTTGGGTCTATGAGACTCCTTTTAAAAAAATGGGGGAGTCATTCTATTATTGTCAACTAATCCACATGATTCATGTTGATACATGTTTTTTTCAAGCAATGTAACAATCGTTTCTATTTTCTTATTTTCGCTGTGACCAAATCAAATTTGTTTGCACACTTCGGATTTATGTTTTTTTTTATTTTTTGAGAGAAAGAGAGAGAGAGAAGAGATTTGTGTTGTAGTGGCTAAATAAAATCACATGGGAACAAATATGTTTCAGTCAAAATTTTAAATTCTCCTCCCGACTCGCAGTCTCACAGAACAATACAATCTAATTGGACTCTAATTGGATAGACCACTTATATAATTGGGCATGACTATGTTGCTTCTGGTTTGGAAAGATAAACCATAAGAAACACAAAAAATACTATTTTAAATTTGTTCGTCTACACAAGAAATATCACATTATAAAAAAGTCAAATGGTCATCAGGTCTTCTTAAATTCCCTTTGCCAAAGTAGATGTGCCTCATCAAGTCCGTCCCAAACCAAAATTAATTCATGTATCTATCGTTGACACATGAGGACGTCGACATATGGCCCGATTTAGCCAATTCAGAGCCATAACTTTTATATGGCCCCGGCAGATACGAATGCTGGTGTCCTCACTTAATTGTCGTCTGTCTTCAGAGTTATGTATTTTGTTTTTTTTCTGTCATTTATAACACCACTAGCAGTAGATGTTGCTGTAAAAAAAAGAGTAAAAAAAAGAAAAGAATAATGAACAACACTAGATGTTACCAGCATCATGCACATTGATACCTTATTAGTTAACAATTTACTTTATACAACAGCTGGATCTAACTGTACTATATATACTGATGAGCAAATATTTAGCACATAAGATTCCGTACGATCTAGTATTCAGTTTCTAACGTACTGAAACCTCCAAAATCGTCCTCTTATTTGACTTTTAGAGTTTGAACCATGTAGATAATATTTCATGGTTTTTTCATCAGTCATTGAAACCAAAAATGTTTAAAACGTTTCGTCATATGTACATATTAGTCCGTTTAAAACCTTTTTCAAGTTTTATATTTATTTGTTCTAAGTTTCATATGTACATATTAGTTCCATAATCCCAAATAACAAATTAGAATCACGATTAAACAACCAAAATATACCGAACTAGGAAACTAGTAAAACTAAACCCATATATCAGTTTATTGGGTATGTATATATATAACAGCATATAGAGCAGTTCCTTTAAGGGCTCTTCTCGGCTTCACTTTTGGTCACTTTATCAATCTTTAAATCGCCGCCTATGATGGAAGATAGAGCAGTCGCCAAAGCCGATTGGAAACTTGGATCTGTCGTGATCGCCTTGATTGTTTCAGCCGGTAAAGATTGCACCTGATGAGTAATAATGTTCTTGATTCCATTATGATCAAGATTGGTTTGTGTAGCGTGTGATGAAGAAAAAGATGAAGATGATCTTCCAAATGGGTCAAATGATGACCCTGCTGTTCGAGTTTGAATCATATTGTGGTAAGGTACTTGCTGATGGGTGCCGTAAGCCGCACGGTATTCATTATGACTACCACCACCCCAAGTCATCAGTGTGTTGGTGTTGTTTGAGAAGTTGAGATTGGTGGAAGGATAACTATTAGATCTTGAGACATTACTTGTAGGAGAACTGAATCTATTGAGCATTGATAAGAACGGTTGCTGCGACGAGGAGGAGGTTGTAAGGTCGAGAGTGACGGTGGGATGGCCTGAAGAAGAAGGAGAAGAAGAGGTTTGGAGGAAAGGTGATTTAGTTTTTGGAGTGATGCTATTGCCGGAGAGAGAGAAGTTAAGACCATGAAGATCGGCTGAGGCGGAAGAGGAGGCACCGGAGAGGAGCATGGAGGCGGCGGCGGAAGTGGCGGAAGCCATGGCGGTTGCTGACATGGGAAGTGGATGGTTGTGTGTTCCTTCGTATGTTGAGATAAGTATAGACATATCTTCCGAACATCTTTGCACCTAAATAAGGGATTACCGGATTATTTTTGATGACACGTATACATTTCTCTATATAATAATTTGAATTAGTAGTTTGGGTTTAATTACCTGTTTTCTTACAGGACAAGAAGGTGCAATGGTACAACGATAGTAAGCTCGAGGACATGGATTCCCTTTGGCTATTTTCTGGCCGTATTTTCTCCATTGACATCCATCGTTCATCTACACAAATACCAACCCAAGAAAATAAAAAAGTCAAACTTCTAATACTCTTTTTGATATAACTCATGGGGAAAACAAAATTCATGGTTGTTGGACTGTAAAAATATAAGTGGAGCAAATGTACTAACCGTCGGTGTCTCACATCTTGATCTCACAGAAACCCTAGTTTTCTTAACAAGGTTTTGAGGCAAAATCTCTTCTTCATCTTCATGATCATTTCCATCATTTTTTAACCCAAAACTATTCTCTGATGGGATCTTATTATTGTTACTAATCTCCAACGACGTCGTTTCTTGATTGCTCAAGTCCTTGTATTCAAATCCCATACTCAACCCTTGGTCACTACTTTTTTCATGATCGTTCTCATCACCGGTTTCATCCATGACATCTTTCTTTTTTTCTTCTTTATTCGCCATTGAGCTACTTGGAACCGGTGGTTCTAACCGTCTTCCTAGACTTAATAAGACAAGTTCTTCACGCTCGCTAGTTCTTTCTTTGTCGTCTTCATCTTCGTTTTTGTCTTGATGATCACTTTTTGAGGTGAACTTAAGTTGGTCTTCGTGTTGTAACATTAAATGGTTGTATTGTGTTTGAAGGATCTCAAACTCTTTCTTGATTCTATCCAATGATGACTTCAGCCTTCGATTTTCCTCTTTAGCCTCCTCCATTTCCACTTTAGCTGAGTCCAACTGATTTCATCATACGTTTATAATATGTGGTTAATCAAAATATGTAACATATGCAACAAACATCTATTGGCTGGTTAGTTTCTCCATGATTTGATATGTATCACTAAGGATAAATTATGTTCAAATTTCTTTTGAGAAAATTATCATCTGGTTATACAATAGAAAAGATCTAACTAACTAAACTTTTCATAGCAGAAAAAAAAACTAACTACAATTTAAGAATGAGACTCAAGCTTCATTGATTAAGATTAATCAGAGAACATATCGGTTTTGGATTAAAAAAAGAAGGTTTATCCAAGAAAATCTATGGTGAGAAGAAGATTATGATCTCCAAGGATAGTGATCTATATATATGGCAAATAATAAAATTTCAAAGTGTATAAAAAAAAATTACGATACCTTGGATCTCATTATATGGTCGTGTTCTTGATGAGAATCATCGTGAGACGAATCAAGTTTTCTCATCTCCTGACGGCTTTCTTCTTTTCCATGACCACTCCTCGAGAAATCTTCATTCTCCATTGTTCTTCTTTGATATTTTTTTTTCTAATTATAAGCTCTCATATTTTCTTTTGGGAACTGTTGATTGATTTCTATATATGCAGCCTATACAACCTTTGACTCTACCAATTAAAATATTCACAAAAGCATGCAATTTTCTTATATTAATATTCAGAGAACATGATTTCTATTATAAAAAAAATTACCAAAAAAATATTTTAAACATATATAGCTAGACATATACTAGTATACAATATGATGAAATAAAATTCAAATGAAAGAGCGATTTGGTTGAACAATCTATTCAAAAATTCTTAATGAAATATCAGTTAAAGAGTTTTGTAGGAGTAAAAACATTGTGCAGAAATGGACTAGAGGCTATATTATTTTTATAAATTCTATAAACAGATCTTTTGCAGCAATATTTCAGAGCATCAGAAAAACAAGCACGCAACTCTGAAATCTTGAAAGGTCAACAGCCAATCCAATTGAACTAAACAAATAATTTAAAAATAAGAAAAATACGACCAAATTTAAATAAGAAAAACAAAGAAGTAGTTCTTTTCTTATAAACAAATACCAACACACGTACTTAAAGAACAACAATTATGCATCCGATTTATTAGGAAATAAGAAAATAATAATATTGTTCGTGGATCGGTAGTGTCGACTAATTGGAAGAGAAATATTCAGTTTCAACGCTGCTTGTATTGTTAAACACAGCAATGTCTCAACAAACAATCAAACACTGTTCTTTGACAAAAGAAAAAAACAATTAAACACTGTTAAGGTTTGGAGCCGAAATCGTGGACCCACCACCGGCCAACGTTAGTTGCTGCTAAAGAACAACGTTGAAATTTCTTTATCACATGTTACAAGTTTATCTCTACGACCTTTAGTAAAATGCTAACCTATATGAGACTTCTCGTGGTAGCGACTGAACAAAATGTCAAGAATAGGCAAATGGATAACGGTGGTTAATATAAAATGAACGAAAAATGCAGTATTTCGACTAATGAAAGAAGTTTTCAATATCACTTGTAAAGTCAATGAAGCTAATCAGTACATTTGTTTTCTGGAAACACAAAAACAACAGTTCAAACTTCAAACACCGCTCGTCCTTGAGTTGATGTCTTGTTGTGTCACTCGCGCGTATCAATGTTTATCGACCGTTAATGTGACCGGCTGTTTTTTCAAATTGCAGATAATGACTAAATGCAATTTTCGTTGCTTTGCCATCAGTGTATCGTTCTAAAAGCATCAAACGAATTGAACTGTTTTATTTGACTTATTTATTTTCCATTCAAATTTGGTAATACTTCATGTACGTTGACAAAGAAAACAAAAATTTCACGTATTGTGTGTAAGAGTGGAATTATGATATACTACTATTAACGGTTTGGAAAGACTTTGACTATAGATCGAACATCCTGATCTTAGTTACTAAAACAATAAATATGCTTTTTAACCTTTAGCACTACAAAATATGAACAAAAAAGTCATACGTTAATGACATACACTAACAAAATATATTTAATCATAAATAGTGTATCGTTTATCATCATTAACCAAGAGTTGAGCTTATAAAGCTGTAAATCTAGACCAATAAATAAATGATCATATCTAATTGACCACCTTGCAATTGTTAAATCATATATACGACTTTGTTACAAACAAAATTCCAGCTGAAAGTTTAATAAACTTCAAATTGCATACTTTTATTTTAGTTTACCAGTTTGTTTCTTTGTTTACGAAGTCTTATAAAACTCAGCCAAATGGTTGGTAGACTTGGCATTCAATTAGTCATATAATACACACATTCATAACTACAACATAAATATAACCGTAGAGTTGTAATCAAGTTTATCGACATAGCTAGTGAATATTTTCATGGACGTGTGACTGGTATTATTATTAACCACTACACATTTAAGTTAAGTGGACCACGATCATAGGACTTTTGCTGGTTGCGTAGAGTTATGTATATGCCATTGACATTTTTGAATAATTTATCAACCTGTTGACCAAGTTCTAAATCTCATTTCCTGTCTTAATTGTTTCGTTTTAATTATAAACAATTCCTACAGTTGGCCACAAAGAAATCATTTTCGAAGACATCTGCTAAATTCGTCGCTGCTCAAAATCCAAAGAAAATGTAATAAGTAAGGGAATACAAGGGTATATTTGGAAACACAGAAAAATACAGAAGAACTGCTCCAATTACAAAACCCTAAACCCTAATTGCCGCCTTTCTCTCCTCTAAACCTCACAGATCGAGTCTGGGCGATTCGAGCTATCATTCTCTACACAATCCAAAAGCTTAGCTACTCATCTTCCTTGTAGTCTCCTTCCGAAGGTAATAATTAGATTGCTCTGTCTCGCTAAAGGATTGTTGTTTGGGAGTAATCGCCATGGAAATTTTCTGTTTTTTAACTCTCTCTTTTGTAGCTTTTGTTCGCGAAATATATGAAATTGATGATTTTGCGTTTATGGGTTCTCTTTGTTCTTACAGATTTTGAATAAAGTTTGGATTTTTTCGCTCGTTCGCAATGACACTGCTCGAAGTTATCTCCAGCGCCGTAACGAGTCAGGAACGAGTCGACTCGCAATCCGATTATCCATTCCCTCTTAGCCACAATGGTCTCTTCGCGAATCTGAAACCGAAGCTAGAAAACCCTAATCCCGGTGCCCTTATCAATCCAATATCCGGCTCGGAAATCTCTGGAACCGATGCTGAAGTCATCGATTTGGGTAAAAGCTTCTCATCTAAGCTGAAAAAGAAGCTGAAGAACACAAACGGTTTTGGCAAAGAAGAGTTTGCCAAAATGCTGAAGCAGTTTCTCGAGAAAATCGGTGACAAAGTTGGGATTTCTGAGGCTGATAGCGAGGAGTTGAAGGAGTTGGTGGAGAACACTGAGCTTGTGATGGGGTCAGATGTAGCTGGTTTGCTGTTTGGAGATCAAGATTTGCAGAAGAAGGTGGAGAAAACCGGTTTCTTGATGGGCAGAGATGTCTCTGGTTTAGTTTTGAAAGGCTCTATTCGTCTAGAGATGTGGGAGTTGGTTGAGACCTTGATTTCGAATTCCTTGGTTGATCAATCTTCATGCTCTTATCTAGTTAGCAGTCTCGTTGAGAAGCAAAGGTCAGATTTGCTTTGCGTTGTGATCAAACAAGCTTCGGATCTTGGTGCAAGCGAGCTGCTTTCGATCTTGAATTACTTTCTTCGCCCATCTAAAGAAGCAGTTACCAGTATGGTTAAGGTTGTAGAAGAATGGGAGAGTCAGGCTTTGTTGGCTATTGAGAAGATGAGCAGCAAAGAGCACTCAAAGAAGTTTAAAGTTGCTGAAGAGGCTTCGATCTTGCTGATGCTTGCTCACGACGGGTTTACGCCCGCTGAGCTTTGCCTTCATTTCTTGTTAGCTTCTCCGAATGTTGATGAAGTCATGTTTGCGTCTGCAGTGAGTAAGCTGAGTGGGAACGAGATGAGTAGCTTTATTCGTTACCTCTCTAAATGGATGAAGAAGTACGAGAGGTTTCCTCAAGCTGGTCCTTGCCCTAAAGCCGCATCCAAGCTCGGTTTGAAACTCTGTGATTGGGTTCCTAAGCTCGAAGACGTGACCAAATGTTTGGGGCTTATCATCGATGAGAACTTCTCTACTCTGGTTCTGAACTCGGGTTTGCATGAAGAGCTGAAGTCTATTGAAAGAGTAGCAGATGGTTTAGCTTCAGAGTCGAAAGTTTGCTGCTTTGTGGCTAATGTGGCTGAAAGTTTCAAACTTGGAGCTGCCCGGAACTAGACTTTTGCAGTTCTTGAGAGTTCTCAAGCCTAGATGCAACTATGTTTCACTTTTAAAATGTTCTCTAGTGCCTTCTTGTGTTTTCTAGTTTTACTTCGTCTTTTGTTCTTTGATAAAGTATAATTTTGTTCGAGATTTTGTCACCCATCTTGCAAATTGCCAATCTCCAATGTGACTAGAGTGGTCTTCTTGGTTTAAAGTTTTAAACGAAAGTCTCGTACAAGGTTTCTCTTTGTAATACCAAAAGAGAGAGACTTTAAACGAAAATAAGCTTCTTTCTTCAGTCTATGTAATCCATGTGCTAATACAAAGTTACAAACACACGTCCATCCAAAGGGCAAAGGCATATTGATTACATAAACCGCATTTTCGATTTCATGGATAACACAAAGTCTTCCTTTTTTTACTTGAAGCTTTGATTAGCAAGGGACAGCTCTCACGAGACCTTGCCGCACGATCCAACGGCTAATGTTTCACTAGAGGCAGTGTCATCTTCATCAGGTTGAAGAAGGAGAGGGTCAAGAATGTAATTATCCACAAATGCTTCATAGTCACGCAGCTGATTAAATGACACTTGTTCCCAAAGCAAACTGCACACTGGGGACTAGACTACCCTACTCCTAACTTTCCCAACCTTCTTAAATTATTTGTTTATTTTTCACTTATATCATTTCCCAACTGTGTTGATTCTTTTAATTAGAGGCATTTTTTTCCACAAAGTTTTGATTTTTTTGGTCTGCTGTACTCTGTAGTCTGTATCAGAAAATGGAGTTTTGTGTTTTGTTTATGTAAAAGGTAAGTATCCAACGGCTGTGAAAGAACGGTGCTTGATTTGAATTTTGGAGATGCGTTTGCAAGTCTTTTTTTAAAGATTATTAAATAGTATAAAATAAATAATTGTGTTTCTCTCTCTCTCTCTTCGTGGGTCACTGAAACTAAACCACCAAAGAGAGCTTCACTAGTCTTTTTAGGAGATTGTAAATGGAAAGCATCTCTAGCTATATTCACTGAACCATTTCACGGTAATGCTGTCTTCCTCTTCGTTTGTTGTCGGATTCGGACAGGAGATCCGACTGCTGCTCTAATTTGATACCGACATTTCTCTAAAATAGTTCGATTATTCTAAAGTTTCCTTTTTTCTATAACTAAAACTCGAGGATCCCTAATTTCTTTTTTCCATTATAATTTTGGCTTCTTAAAGTGTTGATTTGGAGATCAGATAGTGTGGATTTGAGATCAGGTTCATAGACTTGCAAGGTATGTTCCAGATCTGGTTTTCGGCAATTTCAATTCTGGAGCTTTTTATACTCATTTGCAACGTTATAGATTTTGTTGTTGTTTTGAAGGGTAATCATTGTATTATCTTTCTCTTTCTAGTTTGATTTCGTTGGTTAATGATTGTGATTTATTATTTAACTTGTGATGATTAGAGCTGATTATATAAAAAGAAAATACAAATCTTTACCTCATCTTGTACTCATGAACGAATGGTTCTATGTTTAATTCTTCTTTAATTTTGTAGCCGACAGTGATTCTAAATTTGGATCTTTCACATAGTCTGTCTTATTGAAACACATGTCTGATCCATTGAACTTAGTCGCTTATGGTCTTATGGATCTCTTTAATTCCAAGCTCAAAATTGAAAATTTCAATCTTTGGTAATAAATTGTTGTTGGTCGGACAAATGCAGGTGTTTTGAAATTTGAAGACATCATGGGAAAGCCTGCAAGATGGTTAAAGAGTGTATTACTTGGAAAGAAACCATCTAAATCCAGTGGTTCTAAAGACAAGGAGGTAACAATTGATTTCATTTCTTCTTTGTTCGAAATTTTCCTTTCTGTTTCTTAATGGTTTATAACTATTTCTATTGCAGAGAAATGTGAATGGAAGAGAGGTAGTGGTCATTTCAAAGATCGAAGAATCCGATGTGGTCACGGATCTTCCATCCTTTGGAAATGAACCTGTTCACACCAGTGGTGTGGTAGAGACAAAGACTATAGAACATGAAGTGGTCTCAGACGACGAGATACAGCTTCCTGAGGAGGTCCAACTCCAACCAACAGACTCTCAGGATGCTGCTTTTGTTCCTGACGAATCTCTATCCGAATCAGAGAAAACCCAGCAAGAGATTGCAGCAACTACCTTGCAGTCTGCTTTTAGAGGCTACTTGGTAATATTATTTTCTTAAGCTTCTGGATTATGTATAGACATAGCTCTTGAGTTTCATTTCTTAATCATGACTTGATCTCTCTATGTGAAGGCTCGACGTGCTTTCTGGGCGTTAAAAGGTATAATAAGGCTACAAGCGCTTATCCGCGGTCACATGGTTAGGAGGCAAGCTGTTTCGACTCTCTGCTGTGTTATGGGAATTGTTAGATTGCAAGCACTTGCTCGTGGGAAGGAGATCAGACATTCTGATATTGGAGTTGAAGTTCACAGGAAATGCCGGTTAAATCATCAGCCATTAGTAATGCTCTTTCTCTGTGATTTTCTGTTTCTCTAGCTGAATAGCTTTTTAACTATAATATTCTGCAACTTGTTTTTTTTTTGGTCTTTATCAGGAGAAAAAACTCTCTAGCAATTCTGTTGTTGATGATAAACATACTTACCTTGGAATCAAGAAGCTAACTGCAAATGCTTTTGCTCAGAAGGTATGTATACTTGTTTTAGCTTATTACTATGTAGCTGAGATCAAGATCTTGGTGGATGATTTTGTTGTCATTTTTGGTCTGTCAGCTTCTTGCTTCATCGCCAAACGTGATGCCTTTGCACCTCGACTATGGTTCCTCCAATTCAATCTGGTTAGAGAACTGGTCAGCTTCTTGCTTCTGGAAACCAGTTCCTCAACCGAAGAAACCATCAGTGAGAAAGACTCAGAAGAAGTTTGCCAGTAACTCTCAGACAGTGGAGGCTGAGTCTGCTTCCAGACTGAAGAAGAGTGTTCGCAAAGCCCCTTCTTCAAATCTTGACAGTCCCTCGGCTGCTGCACAGACATCATTTGAGTTTGAGAAACCAAAACGTAGCTTCCGCAAAGTTTCAACTAGCCACTCTGCAGAGCCACTACCGGCTATGGAAAATCCTCAAGTTGATCTTGAGAAAGTGAAACGTGGCTTGAGGAAAGTACATAACCCTGTAGTTGAGAACTCTATCCAACCTCAACCTGTTCTTCCACAGAAGGAGATCGAGAAGCCAAGTCCGGCTGTAGAAGAGTCTGTGAATGCGTTTGATGAAGAGAAGAAAGATGAAATGGCTGACACTGTTGTTGAACAGCCTGAGGATTTGATCCACACTCTTGGACCATTGGAAACCACTGAAGCAGTTGATTCCACAATGGTCAACCAAATCGAAGAAAGTGAAGAAAATGTAATGGCTGAGGAAAAGGAAGATGTGAAAGAAGAGAGCACTCCCAAACAGAACAGCAAGAAAGAGAACTCAGCTGGGAAAGAGAATCAGAAGTCAGGGAAGAAGAGTTCTTTGGTTACTGCTACTCAAACCGCAGAGTGTCAAGAGAGTAGTAATGGGAATCAGACTAGCAGCCCGGGAATACCGAGCTATATGCAAGCGACTAAATCCGCAAAAGCAAAGCTGAGGCTACAGGACTCTTCATCCCCAAGGCAACAAGGAGCTGAGAAAGCCACTAGACGCTACTCGCTACCATCTTCAGGTAATAATGCAAGAGTCACTTCTGATTCTCCTAAAACCACAAGACTCTCAAACTCTGGTGGCAAAAGCACCGGGAAGAAGACCGAGAAAACTCTGCTTTCGTCGTCCCGGGAAGGAAATGGTTAGTGTCCTAAACAAACCAAACAAGAAAATCTATGTAGTGATTTTTTTCGTTTTCTCTCAACTAAGTTTTCTTGGATTTGTTTTGGGGTTTTGCAGGGAAGACAACTCCGGTAGAGTGGAAGAGATGATTGTTCCATCTGGTATTGGAAAAAAGTTTGAGGCCTTTTGATGTTTCTCACTCTCTACGATATTTTACCATCTATCTGTGTGTTGTGTTTATGTTGAGAATGTACATCACAGATCTGATTTCTTCTTTCTTTTGGTGTGTGGGAATTTCATTTTCTGTCTTCATCCTACATTACTTCTATTACCTTTTAAATAAACCAGCTTTAGATGTTCTCATGTTCCTCAACTTTCTTTAGAAAAACATATCCATGAAGTTTAGTGTTCATAAGATAAAAGTAATTCCACCAGTTGAACTAAATTTCTGAAATTCATGGAATGGATACATTAAGGTCCAGTTGTCCTAAGTTTGAATGAACAATAACGAAGGGAAGGGCTAAGTAATTAAAGGGGAAAAAAAACAAAGGAGAAAAGCATAAAGGATCATCCATAGAGCTCAAAGAAGCAAGACTGGATTTTATTGCATGGAGAAAAGAGCTTGGGTTTATAAAAGTTGATATTCACACAATCTTTCAAACTAACATCCCCTTCAAATTTTATTCCTTTATTTTCATCAGTTTCAATTTATTCTTTTTTGAATAAACACTTTTCCCCTCTTTAAGACGGCCTTCTTGCTTCTTCTTGAATAGCAATTTCTTTCAAGCCAAACCTTCTTCTTTGCATACTTATTCTTGAATTTATATAGTTTTGCTTATCTAAGCATAAGTGCATTTTCCTATTTATCCCATCTATATGTGACACAGAAAATTAGATAAAACTCATCTATATTTTTTTACACCAATTCTAAAATTAACCAATTGCTATTTGTTATATGATCATAGTGAGCAAGATGCCTAATATTTTGTATGAACATTTAAGGCAAATATACAGAAGTATATATATACGTATATGTAAAGGCTGTCCATGTCAGGCATAAGGGATTGTTCCAAAGATATCTCAATGCTCTTTTGGTGATTCCACTTGATAGGGACATTTTTGTGTGAAGAACAACGCCCAAAAAGCAACTCAAGACTGCTTCTATGAAACTGTATTTGTATGTATGTATCACACAATCCACCTTATCCAATTAACATAAATTTTACACATAAAATATAAATGTATGCATATGAGTGCATATGTTAAAAATAGAAAAAGCGAGAAAATGAAAAAGAGAAAGAGAGAGATATGCTTAGCTTCCGAAGAACAGATTTCCAAGTGTAAACCTTTTCTTGGTTCAAACTTTGTCAGAAGAGAGTTCTTCTAAAACCACCCTTTATATATGCTATCTCCTCTCCATTCCAAAGACAGAGAGAGACAAACCTTCTCTCATCTTCTTTAACCTTTTCCATTTCATATAATCTCTCAGGTTTCTATACATATCTACACACACTGTACATTTCTTCAAAATGTGTGTTTCTGTTCGTCATAGAGGAATGATTCTTCTTCTTACCATCGCGTTTTTGGTACTTCAAACTGATAAGGTTTCGGGTCTAAGATGGGACAGAGACATGAGGATGCAACTTCTCTCAGTTCGACCTTTGCGTGTTCTTGAAGAGTCATCATCATCATCATCAAAGGAGGGAGATTTAGATACAAATCAAGGCTTGGCGCCTTCTCCTTTCGTTATGTCTGATCCTTGTCAATCTGTGAAAAGAATGATTGGAAGAGGATCTGATCCTATACACAACAAATGCTGACATTCTTTTAAAAGAAGAAACAATGTTTTGTTTCTGAGAGTAAAGCTAGTCAGTACTCTGTTTTATAGAAAGGTTAATGTTTCTCTTAATCCTTCATGTGTTTAAAGTTTATATCGAATATTTGTTCTTTGAGACATGATTATTCATGTTTTGTTTGATGCATTATATATTTGAGTATACAAGACTTACTTTGTTTTATGTGATTCTCTCTGATTTGAATTGCATTGGTCCTGGTTAATATCAGTTATTAATTAGTTTAAACCTCAAGTACTGTATGTATATATGGATCTTCTGACATCTTTTTGGTGAAGAAAATTCTTCAAGAGTTTCTTGACCCCAAATGGCCAATCTAGATCAGCTCAGAAAGTCAGCTGGGAAAATTCTTCCAGTGGGCTAGGCTTTATGTTTGAAATAAGCCTATAATATACTTCGTCGGAGCCAAAGACGATCCATTATGTAACTAAACTAAACTAGACATGTATTGGAACTTATTTTTGTCGTAGTACTCCGTAAGAGTTTAATAATTTTGCTAATGTCTTTAGCAGCAACAAGTCAACAACAACAACAAAAAGTTGCTAATGGGAAATGCTAAATTTCTTATTATGTTTTCGATTTCATTCAATAATGAAATTGTGAAAACAATATGGAGGTATAAGGTAAGAGTTAGACATAAATAAATAAACAAAAAGTGTATTTAAAAGTATATTTAAACCTACAATAAGTTTGGCAATCATTTTGGGATTTCCTCTTGTTGGTTCCATAATTTGTTTATCTATTTCTGTTAGTCAGACGCAGTTTATATTTTTGTATCCATTAGGTTAAATAGGTTCTTGTCTTCTATAACAACAATAAACTGTCTCTATCGGTGTTCAAACTCGAAGGTTTGGAAACTTTACTTTAGGTAGTCAGTTATAGTATGCTAATTGCAGTTCCAAATCCGTAGATTTCAGTATATTTCTAATTAACGTTTGAAAAGCCTAAGACAGCCATTCAACTGATATATATATATATATATATTCAGTATGATGAATGTGTGGTATACCGTATACATATATAATAATACAATTAAACTAATTCAAATTATTTGGGGTCATAAGATTCTGGGTTGGCAACTTCACGAGTAGGGCACGGTTGGTGAGAAACAAAGACTCTTTACACACAAATATTTAAGAACATCCCATATCTCTTTTTCTATTGCAAATGTTAATAAATGCGGTCTTAGCTACTTTATGTACAAATATAGTATCATACACATATATACGACAGCAATAGTACCAATACTGCTATAATGTTAATTGTAGTTTTTGATAATTTATTTACTCTGTAATCAGTATAAATGAGAGATATGATGTGTTACGTGTAGCTTATATGTTTCATAGAATTGTAGCAAACAGACTATTCAAAACACTCGTCTCAAGGAATTAAGCAATGTCGATGTACTCTTCACGATAATAAATTTGTATACAGAAAAAGGATTTTAGTTTTGGTCGTTTTTAGGGTAAAACTAATTTATAGCCAAATCGCATGGGGCAATGAGGTATTGTCTTTTGTGTAGCGGGATCCACATTTGTTGCTTCACATTATAAGAACTTAAAAGTCAATTCTCAATTGCCTAACTAGCCAGAATTCAAAAAGAACAAAAATTGTCAGTACAAGCATTTTAGGCGGGAAATACAGAGAGTGGTATTTAAAAACTGAACCGAATAATATATTGACAAAAAGCGAATTCTACAAGAACAAAAAAAACCGAGATAGAGAATTAATTTTGTTGCTTATCTAAAATTTGCATGGCCTGAATGAAATATTTCAACTTGGCTATAGAGACATGCGTGAGACATGCATAGACAAACATATAGACATAGTCTCATAGGTAGATGGTAGATACATGCGCAATATAATGTTTAATATGATTTATAAGACATCAATCAGAGTATAGAAACCTTTTTTCTTTTTTAAAAAGCAGAGTATAGAAACATATTTAAACTTCTTGTAGGTTGTGGTTTTGTGAAAAAAAATAAAATAGACATGAAGTGTCGTTGTAAGTTGTAACTCCATCAATCTGTATGAATGGGGGAAAAGAATTCGAATACCATGCATTATGACATTATCTACAAGACTACCACATACGAACTTTGTGCGACCACTCCAGTTTCGTACAAGTTATGCAAATTCTTTTTAAAGTAAATTATGCATCTACATCTTTTAGTCATTGCACGTGTAAATCTCTAACGCACGCATCGTATCTTCATCTTCTCTCTTGACATGTCGATAACAAAAAAGGTATATCCACTTCTTCTTGTTGCTGTAAATAAATAACTCTGAACTACGTAATAGTTTTTGGAGATTCATTGCGCACCATAAGTATATGTAAATTTTGATGAGACTAAATAAATCGTAAATGGAAGTCCATTATTTTTATAAAAAAAAACAATGTGATTTATAATGCGATTATACTCCAACTATCTGTCAGTGTCTATTGCTTGTGGGAGCATGTCCCTTGGAATGACTCAGATACGCATTAATATGTTTATTCAATTATTTATTTCAAAAATTGAATTATTTATATATTTCATGATCAGGCTAGTGGCTACCATTTAATTGGGTTTTTGATAAACTATTTTTTCAATTAACTATATGCTCTTTATGCAAACCAATGCACGTGAAAATATCGTTAAAAATAAGACTGGTTGCTGATATATATGTTTTCCAATTTTATTATGTATACTTGAAAGACATAGTTGGAGATGAAATGAACGTTAAGTTTTGAAACTTAAATTTAATTTTAAAAAGAAGTATAATAAAGCGTAGATTTACTCTATTGAAATTTTATCGTTGTTTATCGTACTATTATTTGCGAAGTCAGAATTTCGAATGAAGGCACCACGTTAACTTTCAGCCTCGGAATTACATAACTACCCTTAATGAAAATCTTGAATAAATCTTCAAAATTTCCTTTTATTAATAATTCGTTTTTTTATTAAAAATCTAATATTATAGAAATAATCTAATTCAAATTAAACAATTTATTATTATGATTTAATGATCTTATTAAATTAAGCAATTCTTTTATTTTTATTTTCTGATTTTAAATTACCTCTACCACAAGACAAAGCTCTATAAGAAAAAAATAGAGTCGGTGATGGCCGCATATAAAGTGAAAACCCTAACGCTGAAAATCTATATATATTAAAGTTATAGATGTTTTAGCTCTGTAGGTTTCAAATTTTTGTTTATTTCGTAGATAATTTTTTTCAGTAATTTCAGGGGTGGTTTTTATCTTTTCTTTGTTGATATACGTTTTTGTTTGTTTATGAGATTGTTATTAGACCGACGATTTGATTGTGTTGTATTTCTAGGTTTCATGGACTATCAAAATAATAAGTCAAGCTGGTGATTTGATTGTGTTGTGTTTCTAGGTTTCATGGAGATAGTGTTTCTATCAGAATAAGAATAATAGGTCGGTAAAGAACACAAAATAAATGTTAATTACTATATCAATAGTATTATGTTTTTGTAAACCTAACTATGTTAGACGGTCTTTAGATTTAGATTGATGAGATGAGAAGACCTTGATTGTTGGCTGCTGTAAATTCCTCTTGGCGGCCGGGTAATCAGGAGGCACTCGGCCCAACGCTATTGCACTAAACATTAATCGTTGATTACATGTTGAGATTGGTGATGATTGTCAGAAAATCGGGTCGAGAGTTGTCATCATCGTCGCGACATACTTGAACACAATGATGTCCCAAGAACTTGGTGACTGCCTAACTGGTACGAAAGTTTAGTTGGTTACTTATCAGATAGTCTATTTAGACTATATTTACTAATAGATTTTTTTTTGTAACTCAGAAACACAAAAAGAATGAGAACTCTTAGATTTGGTGAACGGGCTAAACCTGTTGCCGATCAGAAACGAAGCCTATAGGTGATGAGATTGGCGTTCGCATCCGAATTCTTCTGAGACATGTACAAAAACTCGAAACGAAAACAACAATTTTGATCATAGTGATGATTTGGTGGAATCAAGTAGCACCAAGGGATTGAAGGATAAGGTTACTCAAGATTCGAATTTGTTGAATGAGCTTGAAGACTGGGTTTCTCGCTACAAGAAGGAAACATAGTATTTGAGAAAGATGGGTTTTCTAATTATTATAACTTGTGACTCAAGCTACCTTTTTGTTGATTGGTATATTGGAGGATTCATGAGTATTTTTTACAGGGTATGTGGATCTGTATGATGATGGATCGAAGTGAGAATTGGAGCACTTGGTATAAGGTAGTTCGGTGTTGTTTCTGCTCATTGCAAGCTTATTCGTTTCTTGGAAAATTCATTAATGTTATGCGTGTGACCAACAGTACATTACGTGTGTATACTTCGGTCTTGGTTGCTTCCTACTATGTTGCTATCTATTTTTATAGATGCCAAAGTGTGGATTAGATTACTTTGAGCAATATTTTTTAAACTAAAATACCGGTTTATACACTTTAGCTTTCGAGATCTTCTGCTCAAATACATGGAAAGCTGTGGAATACATAACGATCGATGATGGAGAGATGGTAATACATCTGTTGGAAAACGCCTATGTGTTGGAAGATATTTGTCCCTTCCAAAAGCTTCGTCTCCGATCAAGAAAGGCCACTTTGAGCGATTGTATCTTGTTTCCTTCGTCCCAGTATCGATGTTTGTGTTCACTCTTCTCAATGAAGATGACTTGGAATCGGTAAATGTGTAGCTGCAGTTTCTTGAATTTGATTATACTTTGTTCATGTAGCTCTATGATATATAATTATATATATACCTGTTTGTTTCTTGCATAAGTTTGGGTGGACGCAAAGATTGTTTCAATAGAAAGGGAGTCTCATGAAAAATCTGAATGCTCTTGCAAGATTCATGTCAGGATTTATATTGACCAGGGATGCATTGGATCGGAGAGAGAAAGGATCAACAAAGATTCGGGCTAAACCAAATCTCCATTCCAAAAGTTTTTCAAGGAACAAATCACTGACCAGCACTACATGTGGAGATTCTGAGGACTGCACTTCACTGATGAAAACAAGACTGTCCTTGGGGAAGTTTTTGCCGGATCTTTCGTGGTTGGTTGTTGCTTCGATCATGAAAAACATTGTGTTTCACATAAGAACAGTGCAGACCAAGATTGTTTATAAGATTGTAACAGATGAAGAAGGCTCCAGCAGCAGCAGCTCTTTGAGTTCGATGAATACCACAGAGGAAGACGGTGTTTCACTATCGATAGTGGTTCAGTTTAACCCTGTGGGCCGAGGATTCTCAAGATCTTGAAACAAATCAAGAAACCGAGTTTTACCCTGTATAAGATGAGGTAATGGAACTGCGTCGGTCCAAGAGAAGATATGTGAGACCGGATAGATTCACCGAATGTGACTATGAGCTAGATACAGATGACGGTTGGGTGAAGATGATGCCAACCATTATGGAAAACTGCCAGTCGTTAGCATGGAGAGTGAAGAAGACTCTGTAAAAGAAGCTTACCAAGAAGATGACTCTGAATATATGGTGGTGATCAAGATCTTTTAAGAGATGAAAGATGATGAAAAATAAAAAGAATGAGAAGATGATGAAGAAGAAATAACAAAAAGAATATTACTAATAAGAAAAAGAAAAAGAAAATTTCGAATGAAGCCACCACGTTAACTCTCAGCCACGAAATTACCAAGATGCCCTTAATGAAAATCTATTATTAAATCTTTTGAAATTTCCTTTTTAATTATTTCACAATTTCATTTTTTTATATAAAAGTTCATTATTTCCTTATTAATTTCCTTATTAAATATTGATAATTATCCTTTTTTTTTTCCTCGATTTATATATATCACTTAAATAAATATCCTAACTATTATATTACCGCACCACTTTTTTTGGAAGAAATCAAATAATTAGGTATTTAAAAAAAACCCTAGATTTTACAACCAACTTAGTCCTATTTATATAAATAAATTGTAACAAGCAAAATAAACAGAATTTCGTTTCTTCTTTTTCGTGTTCTAAATTCTTCGACCATATTTCAGCTTTTGTCATGTAGGTTTATAGTTATTGCTAGATCTTAGTTGTATTAGATCTAATGTTTAACTGATTATTCGTTATTTTCTGGAAATTTTATTCAAAGATTCGCATCTAACTTCTACTTCTTTTACCTTTATATATAACAGTAAATTCCAGGTTTGTTAGCTAATTGAGTCAAAGAAATCAACTATGGTACCAACTAAAAAAAATGCATTGACAAAAATTGATGGTATGCACATCTTTCGTTTTTATTTTCAACTTAAATCTTATGAAACCCTAATTTGAATAAACTTATCTAAAAAGATTTTGTAAAATGTGGGTTTAGGTGTGCGGATTGGGGGGGGGAGGGGGTTAGGGGTTAGGGTGTAGAGTTGTTCAGGGGGGTGGTGTTATTAAGGGGGTTATTTGGTAGTGGTGTTACAATGTGGGGTTTGGATTATTTAGGGGGTGGTGTTACACTGTGGGTTTCGGTTAGGGTGTAGGGTTTATATTGATTGGGGGGGGCAGGGGTTAGGGTGTAGAGTTGTTCAGGGCGGGTGGTGTTATTAAGGGGGGGTTATTTGGTAGTGGTGTTACAATGTGGGGTTTGGATTATTTAGGGGGTGGTGTTACACTGTAGGTTTCGGTTAAGGGTGTAGGGTTTATATTGATTGGGGGGGGCAGGGGTTAGGGTGTAGAGTTGTTCAGGGCGGGTGGTGTTATTAAGGGGGGGTTATTTGGTAGTGGTGTTACAATGTGGGGTTTGGATTTTAGGGGATGGTGTTACACTGTGGATTTCGGTTTAGGGTGTAGAGTTTATATTGATGGGGTAGGGTTTAGTTTTTGGTGTATTTTAAAAAAACTTGAATTATTACAGAAGAATTTCATAATAAAAAAATCATTTATTTGAAATTTATATCTACTTTCAAAATTACATTCACAAATAAAAAAAAAACTAAAACAACTAAAGAAAATCCAGAATTGAAAGATAACAAAACTAATAAATTTTTAAAAGACCTCAACTATATAAAGATAGAATCTATTTCAAAAATATTGAAAATTTTAACTATCGAAATGAATTGGTAGGTGATATGCAAGACACAAACAAGACATAATAGATACATAAGTAAAAGAAAAGAAAACAGTGAAAAAGAAGATGAAAAATTTAGAAAAGAAAAAGAAAAGTCGAACATGAGGAAAAAGAAAGGAAAGAAGAAATAATGGAATGTGAAGAAAATTTCAAAACAAATGAAGAATATTACGTAGAAGAACAAGAAAGAGAAGATAAAAATAAGACACCTCAAGATTACAAAAATAAGAAGTTTGCGAAAACAAAAACGATGAATACAATAAAAAGTTGTACTACTTATATTATTTAAATCTTTAATTAATAATTGTATTTAAAAAATATTGTACCGCACAAGGTGCGGGACAACCACCTTGTAAATAAGTATATCTTCAAAAGTTTTTAAAACATTTTATTGAATTCGAACTATAACAAACAAAAAATCAGTTTACATTTCATGTGTTAATAATTTTTATACTCTCTATTTTTTAATTATATGTTTTAGAAGCACACTTTCTTTGTTTTCGATAAGTTTTATGCTAAATTTATACTTGTTTAATATATTTTTGTTAAAGGATTTTGTGGTACCTCATGCTACGAAAGCTATAGTTAACCCTTAATTATTTGTGAAAACAAATATTTACCCTCGTAAATTAAATTATGTCGAAGTCTTTGCCTTACCATATATAGATAAATTAAATTTCACAATGACTTCTTTTTATAGGCGACTTTTCCTAATGCCTAGGCATATAATTAAACAAATGCTTCGGCAAATCCGTCTAAAGTGTAGAAATATAGTCAACACTCAACAACCCTATTTATATTGGGCTACAAAGAGGCATTTGCAAGTACCCCTTAACTCCGTATCCGAAAATAGTATTTGATCATTTTCGAAACGAAATTATTGTACGAAAACTTTTTTAGGGTTTTTCCTTCTGAGGAGATCAGCTTACGGAGAAGATGAAGAAGAGGCAAGTAGTGATAAAACAGAGAAAAAACTCTTACACTACAACTTCTTCGTCGAGCAACGTCCGTTACGTTGAGTGCCAGAAGAATCACGCCGCCAATATCGGCGGCTACGCCGTTGACGGTTGCCGTGAGTTTATGGCAAGTGGCGGCGAAGGAACTGATGATGCTTTGACGTGCGCTGCGTGTGGCTGTCACCGTAATTTCCATCGGAGGGAAGTTGAAACGGAGGTTGTCTGTGAGTATTCTCCTCCGAATGCAAACAACTAATTATGAAGATGGAAAGAAGGAAGAAAATCCAAGAAAGGTATTGGTGATTCTTCATACAGAAAAGATGCATATCTTTGGATTTGTTTATGTTATTTAGTGAGTATTAGAGATGTATTTATGTGTGTGTATATTGTTATTAACGTATATTCAAATACTTACACTAACGCCGATCTATATGATTAATGTTTCTTCAATCTGATTGAGTGTTATATACTTCAAATATGATCGATCTTTAAGATTACTGTATTTGGAACAAGTATTTGTTTACTTTCGGATCTTGATTTTGTTTCTATTAACCGAAAAGTGTTAAGACTTTTAAGAAGTAGTCTATTTAGTATACAATGAGGCGTAGATAATCTCTGTGATGGATTCGGAAGACGTAGGTAAATTGCTAACTTCCCAACACGCAAGAGTCTCCAACTAATCTTGAATTCTTGATTGAGGCATTGGGATAATCAGATTTGGATATTATAGTCTATATTTGTATGCTAAGCGGATACATATATAATTCTTTTCTGAAGGAGATGAATGATGAATCCTTAGTCCAGTACTTTTTTAATGTATTAATTTATGTTGATACATATATATGGCACATGTCCGGACTCCGTAGCATATGGTCAATGACAGCAACATCAAAGATATAGAGATTTATAAATAGAAACTAAAATAAGTAAGCAAGTTAAATCTTTGGTCTTATTCTAATATTTATCTAAATAGAAAGGATTTTTTTTTTTTTAAAGAAGTAGTTAATAAAATTATTTTATTATTATAAATAAACAAGAATTGGATTTTAGCTTTTTATCACCTAAGAAACAATGCATACAACTATAAAAATCAAATGTTTTTCCCTTTGTCTCTTTATCTTGAATATTCGACCCACCACTATATATACAAAAGATTCCGATAAATATTCTACACATCTTAAAAGAATATAGCTTTCAACTATAATTTTATTGTCATGGCCACTGGACAGTGTCAAACTCTGTGGAGGTCATTCACAAATTAATTTTCTATAAAAAATAACATTAGTTTTGTTCAAAAGTTTTTTTTATCTAAACACACATGGCCAGTTGTCATACATATCAAAGATAAATAAAACAAGAAATCATTTATCAGGGCATGAATTAAGAGACGTCCTGAACTTTATCACCCTTCTTTTTTTTGTAAAACAAATATCGGTATGGAGTTATTTTCCCTTTATATATGAGTGAATGTGTATTAGTGTATGAAATCGTGGATCATGATTTTTTGATGTTTGTGTTAAAGTAATATAATTTGTAACACAATCGGCCCACATTTCAAATCACGTTATCAAATCGTTTAGGTTCATGTATTTCAATTCGCTCTAACTATTATAACAAAGTTTGAAGTCATTACAAATAACATAAAGCAATGTTTGTTACCGATACCACCCAAAAAAACATTTTGGCTGCTTCTGCTCTCATTCAAGTGGCCACTCGAATTTGTTGGAAAAGACCACTGTATATATTATTTTATTTAAAAACAAATATATCTAAACTCTTTTCGGAGATACACAGTGTGATTTTGTGAATCTCTAGACATTTCTTTCACTATATTAGTGAGCTTTCTAAGTCTTGTGGTAACTAAAATAGACGATAACAGGGGCCCATATGTTTCACACACACGGCCGCTCTATTTATTTTGACTTTTAGTTTGCTAAGAATGGGACTAAAAGATTAGCTAAATAACATGTTAAGAAGTGTTTCGATCCCTCCACCTTTAAGACCAGTCTCATGAACCGCTTTTCCAACATTGCTTGGCTCTAAATTAAGCCTTGTAAGCAAATGCTGATCAACGACACAAAGACGGTTCGAACTCTATCATGCAGGATTAGTCTAAGAAGAAAGAATAAAATAACAATACATTCCACATGACTGCAACATTACTCAATCAAGGACAGTTTTAGTAGATCATGATGATTATCTATGCAAATCACCAAAACTGGATAGATTCGTCT